TTCTGCGGGGCGTTGCCGAACTCTTGGAAGCTCATTGCCATGGACAGAAGACGGAGGCAGGCGACACGCAGATTGACAATCATCTCCGCGTTCTTGAACTCGTTGGGCTTGGAGGCCAGGGATTCGTCATCAGCATCGGCCAGAGCAAGCGATTCCAACATAAGCCTGTTGAGAGGGTCATTAAACGTGACAATGTTGTTATGAAGACTGAGACAGTAGGTGATAGCATCGATGAAGCCGATCTGAATGGGAAATGGTAGCGCTCGCAGAGGCTTGTTGAAGATAGATTGCAAGAGACGCTCCTTTACCGGTAGGATAAGCTCGTGGACTTGGCACCCCAGGACTTCAGCAACGGTGGAGAAACTACGCCGCGAGGTCTCACGAACCTGCTTGTTCATGTGCGACAGTTCGTAAACAAAGTGACCGCACAAAGAATACAAGCGGCTCTTCTCGGTTTTGAGGTCCTCGAGGGACAAGCTCTTGCAGCATCTGCGCAGAATCAGGTCCAGCGTTTCTTGGGCCCTGACTCGCGTACTGGCTGGCAAGTCAGCTGGAGTGTCCTTAATGACATACATGAGCGCCCTGACAAAATCAACCTGTTTGTCAAGGAGCCATGCATCTCCTAGATCAAGCTTGGTCGCGAATAGATGGATACCGAAGCTTCCTCCAGCTTTAGTAAACCACTCCTCGCTATGACAGCTATGACAGAACACGCGCCCAAGGTGTTGAAAGAACGGCAGCTTTGCCACTCGCTCTGGAGCGCCAAATATGATGGCGGCAGCGTCTTTCATCACTTGCATGGCCGCCTCGGCTCCCTCGCGAACCTGTGCATTGTCGGACGAAAGCGACTCGACGACTGCTTCGGCCAGGACACGTGAGTCGAGATACACGGGACCCTCGCCACTATTGACGTCGAAAGGCTTGCGGGTATGCCGAGCTTGGGCGAGTGCGCGACCAACCTCCACGACGGCGAAGTGCTTGCAGACATCCGCGACAAAAGCCGTTGCAGACTGCTCTAATTCCGGAATGGTTATGGCGTATATACATGCCTTAAGAAGTTTCTTCAGGGAGGCTTCTTGACCTAGCTTCTTGGGAATAGAGCTTGAGCGTTCTGACTTCTCTAATACATCAGCCATGGAGGTGGTCTTGCTGTCAAACAAATCGTTTGCGTGCAGACGAATGAGTGAGCCCAGATCCTCAGGTAGATTCTCGTAACCGATGTAGAGCTTGAGCTGCGACGAGACCATGCGGAATGCCTGCTGCTTGTAATAGTTGTCAGATGCCTGCCCCGAGTCGTTCTTGGCAACTTCCATCAACTTGGCGATTGCCAGGTCCAGACCAATATCGATTGGGAACGGCCGCTTCTCGCTGGGGCCAATAAGTTTGATGTCGAAACTTGGCGCGTCGTCGGCGAACTGTTCAAAAGTGAGGTCCGGAGGATGATTGAGGAACTTGCGATTGCGACCACCGAGCTTGCCTAGGATGCGCATGGTCGTGTGGGCATGAAAATGGTTGTAGGGATGCGGACGCAAGTGATCCCACAACGCTGTCATCAGATCGTCCATTATAGGAGCCATAATAGGGTCCAGATAATCGGCAGTGAGGTTGTCCACGCATAATTCGAGGGTTCTCAGACCCTGACCTACAAGATCCGAGTCCGCACGCAGCGCCACCACGATAGGACGCATGAGATAGCTGAGATGCGGTAACAGATGACTCAGACGAGCAGGAACCGTGAGCGTAAGCTCCACATATAAATCACGCTCTTGTGGTTTTCGAGCAGCCACCAAGAGATTGTTGAATGTCTCAAGCAGCATTTCTAGCAAAGGCAGGATTTCCTTGTACAGAAGCTCGAAGCGACCGCCTCCAATGCTACGGAAGAGCGATCGCAGCAGCAGGAAGTAATTCATGGGTTCCTCGGCAGTGACCGAGAGCTCTATGCACTTGGTAACAATCTTGGTCACATGTGGGTGCAAGACCTGCTCGTTCTGAACCGAAAACAGAGTAACTGCCATGAAAGAAAGCTTGAACATTCTCAGCAGAATCTTTGCTTTGGTCATGTCGGAAGTGCCCACTTCGTGTATGCGGTCCATGAGATATTGTAATACCATTCCCGAGAAGGCAGGAGACGTGGCTTCGCTAGCCAAGAAGAACTGAGGTAGGTGAAGCAAAGCGCCATGCTCAAACATGAGCTCATGAAGATACGGTATCTCGGAGTGAAAGACTTCATGAAACGTAGCGGTATCAATGCAGTGGAAGACAGTGCCGAAGCTCTCCAGGAGCTCCTTCTCCTCCCGTGACATTGGAGCCGTGTACTGACTGGCAAGGAAGTCGAAGGGAGACGAGTAATTTACCTCCGGTGGTGACTGGTCGACCCCGTAGTATCTGAACACTCGTGCTCCCTCGTGGAATAGCTTCTTGATGACGCGCACTTCCTCGGCATTGTATCCATATGAGACTTCGGACCAGTTGATCGGCACGCTGTTTGGGTCTATTTGAATATGCTCCGGGTTGCAATTCTTGAGCTGATGAAATATGGTTTTCAAGCCATTGATAAGATTCTTGAAAAGGAAGATGTTGTCTGACACCGGATCGCCGCCACGATCACGAGGGTTAGATGTCTTGATTGGCGAAGCCGAGAAGATATCAATCTCATCCCAGTCAGGAGGAAACTCTTTCTCCGCGAGATACTTCTCTGCAGAAGGCTCCAGATCCTTCTTGGTCTCTTTGTACATCTTTGAGACTTTAACAGCATTGTTGAATTGGTAGTTCATTGAGGCGAACTTGTCACCAATGGCATCCAGGATCATGATTAGGAAGTATCGGGCTTCTCGCTTGTCTTCAAGCTTGGCAATGCGCTCGGCCATGTTCAGCAGCAGCTTAGCGCTCATAGTCTGGAAGCTCGTTCCCGGAAAATCGTCATGCATGTTCTTGGTGTAAACCTCAACAGTCCGTCGAATTTGGTCCCGAGTCAAATGGTCTCGCACATGGTGAATCAAGTCAGCGAGCATACTGTAGGCGAGAGGCCTCATTGTCTCATAGACAGTAAGTCCGTCGCCAATGAGAGTGCGTTCGTCCAGAAGCTCGTCAATCTTCTCCAGAAAGATCTTGCGGTAGTTGAAGTTGATGATGTGACGAATGGCAACAAGTAGTTCCTTCCTAGCGCTGGACTTTTCTCGAGGGCAGTCCTGCAAAAGTCGAACCACGACTGAAGGGAGAGTTGGGAGGAAGTCCTGGAGCTGTTGGGCATACATGCGGAGCAGGTACGCCAAAAAGCTCATCGTCTTGACCTGTGCTGTAATGAATTCACCAAACGCAGCTCGATTCTTGATCTCCTTGCAAACGCCAGTGAATATCGTTCCCTGAGCTGCGGCCTCTGCGTGCGCCCGCTCCTGCGGCTTGGCTTGTAGGAGAAGAATGCTTTTGATCAATGGCACAAAAAGCTTGACGTTCGCTGCGACCGAGTTCCGGTGAGTCTGGAAGATCGAGACGACAATGATCGGACATTCCGCAAGGACCTTGAACGACTGCATACCCCGCAGAAGAATATTGTTGGCCTGTTGATCCGGTCCGAGATCTGAGACGGAAGTGGCTGGCGAGCTTGGTCGGGGCGATTGGAAGTTCTGGGCCGTGGCACTCGGGGTCGAAGGCATCCCGGAGGGAGTCGCTTGATTTGGCGTGTCAAACGTGTCGCGTACCACCTGCTCCATCATCTGAAACATCTCTTGGATCAGGGCTAGGAAGGGTTGGACCCGTGCTGCTGTTGCCTTGGCTTGATTCCTCTCCAGGTCCATAATCGTCTTCATGCAGAGCACCGCGTTCTCTTCGTTTTCAATTCGGACAAGATCCATCAACAGGTCGACCATATCAGCGGCGTACGGTTCAACATCGGGAGATGCCATTGGGAGTCTGTGTAGCGTCTCGAGGATATAATTCCGTAATTTCTGTTTCCAGGCGAGTTGCGTAAGCTCCGGGGTCATGGGTGACTGCGGACTGTCCATGATCCCTGACTCACCTGCTCGAAGGACAAGTTTGTGAAGACCGGTTCGCCCTTCAAGATATTCTTGAACACGGGCCATAGCTTGGAAAGGAAGATGGGATAGCTTGCGCCGGAGCATAGCGGCTCTATACTGTCTCGTAGTTCAACGGCGACGTTGGCTCGTAACTTGATATCTGTAAACCAGGCAAGTCAGCACTTGGCCGGTGGGGCTGGGTTAAGCTCGAGTCGATGCAGACCCGGGAGTTGCCCGTGGGGAAGCTCGAGAATCAAGCATACCGAGCTTCTCATCGCCGAGTTTAGCGGCGTAAATGTCGATGTTTCGCTCCATGGTTGATTAGTGCCCCTCACAGGGAGTCAAGGAGTGATGCGGGATTATAGATACTGCCAGGCCACAAGGCCGGCCTTGGGGTGAAAGCCAGCACGATCCGCGTGGTGTATTGTATTCATGTGCGAATCCGTGAGAGTGGAACTATCTCGACACGCCCAGCGACGGAAAGCGCCTTGTGAGATAGAAGGATACAATCGTTAAGTCATTAATTGCGCTCGCTGTTTACAGGACGAGAGGCGAGTGGTAGAAGGGAGCGAGGCGGAGACACGAATTATCGGCGCGGGCGAGGTAAGGAGAGGAAGGGAGGAGAGAAAGAATCAAGAGAATGATGATTGAGCGCAAATTGGATGGCCTGCAAACCGACAGGAACAGAAAGCAGCAGAGCAGAACGCGGGTATCGCAGAGACCCCGAACGGAACACTAGGCCGAAACAGGCAATCCCGGATCTTCGTTCCTCCAGCCCGGCAAGCGCGCGTCTGTCCCAGCTACCCCTCGATTGATGAGCAAATCGTACTCGAGTACTAGTCATGACGCCGTCAAAAGAGGGTCGCTAAACGAGGCACGGGCACGTGTTGCAGGCACCAAACCAGGTACTTACTAGTACATATCCATGATTTACCGTACCAGGTCGCACTTGTCCAGAGAAGATAGTAGGGACACTTTGGACTCTAGGAATTAATTGAATCTGGTTGAAGGCTATGCCATAAATACTTCATGTTTTAAAACTCAAAAGAGGTCGTCGACATCAACGTCGACCGAGGGGAAACGCCATTCACCCGTTTTCCAGACCCGAACACAGTTCTAGTAGTCCAACTGACAACAACGTCCGCTGAATTGCACCCGGGCGTGGCGAGCCACGTGCACGCTGGGACACAAGAATATTGAAGGCCATGTACACAAAGATGAGAATTGAAAGGAATAAAAAGAAAATGGGGGGAGGAGAAGAAGAACGAAGATAGAAAGGCATGATGAAGAGCGCGAACAAAGGGGTGAACCGAACGTAAAACCAGAGAAGATCGAGTACACTTCATCGCAGCTCATAGTCGCTATGCCATCATTGCAGGAAATCTAGCAGGGAAATACCATTAAATCGACTGTCACTTGACAGAATTGCTTCGTGACAAGATCGAGAAAGCAGCGCTAGAGCCAGCCGACCGCCGTCGATCTACACGAGGTCGAATCTCACTTGCGCTACCACTTCTTCGTCTCCGAGATTCATCAAGGCCGCCGCGGCGCCGTCTCTGAAGCAAACGGACGTTTCAACATTAGAATCACGCTTGCTGTACAGGGAAACCGAGGAACTCTTAGCAAAGACAACGACAAATCAGGGTGATGGAGGGCACCTAGCGTGATGCGATAACGTCACGGTTGAAGCATGACCACACAGGCATTCAAGGAAGTCCATCACTCACCGAGGTCGCCGTGTTCTCCCGCGAACTCCGCTCCGTCGATGCCTCTGAATCATCCAATTTCAGGGCATGAAGGCGCTTTTGGCTGTCTTGGGTGACCGCATCGATGTCGTCCAGCTGAACGGGAATCTCCGCGATCTGGCACTGTGGGGGAGGCGCGACCCCATTCTTCCGTTCGTTGGCCTGTTCCAACACCTTCTCCCATTTAGTCTGCCGGCTCTGCTCCCGCTGTTCGGCACTATTCTGCCGCTCGTTGTACTCATGGGAGCACTCATCGAACAGCTGGGGGTTGATTTCCATGAACATTTTCATGGCATTGTAGACCATACTGTGGATTGTTCTGTACGGACCCGGAAATCAGCACAAGAGGGACTGGTGGGCTGCAAGGACGCGAAGACATACCGGTTCCAGTGACCTTTAGAGTTTTCATACAACGGTGGAAACATGATCGGCAGGATGATCTCCACATTGTCACTGACGAGGTTGCAGAAATATTCGTTGTTCCAAAAGTACAGTGCACGTTCCGCAACCTTACCCGCAGTTAGCTTCGGTACACGTCACAATCGGAGACAGATATCTCATACCTGGAAGTGCGGACTGGCCACCGACTTGGCGAGTTGTTGAAACAAGGGTACCTGCACCTTGGCGAACTCGGCGGGATCCATCACCTCGAATATATCCTCAACTTCGTTGAGATACATGACTTCCTTGGTACTGTTGGTCTTAGGCCAGTAACGCAGCAGTCCAAGAACGACCTAATTCAATGTTAGCATCTGCTCAAGAATCGCCTCCCATAAGGCAGGCGTAGAGGGGTTACTCACATCTTCCGTCAAAGTCGAGTCCTTTTCGAGAAACTGAACAATACAGTAGGCCAGCTGCGGGTGATACATGCTAAGACTCTTGACTTTGTGCAGAGGAAGCAAAACCCTGGTGAGGAACAGCTTGTGCTCCTCCTTCAAGGGAAGGGCAAATCCATTGATAATCGAGCCGAGAATTTCCAACAATTCGGCAATGCCATTGAACCGCTCGGTCTCGTATGTGAACTGGAAGAAGACGTTGTTGATAGATCGACGAATGTACGAGCGCAGATTCAGGAACTTTCCGTAGATCCGATGCAGGGTAGTCTTGAGGAAATCGCGTTCGCGGGGATCTTCCGAGTCGAACAGCTCGAGCAACTGGAGGAGTGTTAGTGGTCCGAGTTCTTGTTTTGACTAAACAATGCGGTCGGGCGGCCTACCTGCAGAACGAAATGGTGATCGATGTATGCCTTGGCGATGTTGGTGTTGAAATCTTGGCTTTCGATGAATCGCAGGAAGAACTCGTAGACCACCTGGATATGCGGCCACGCGACTTCCAGGACCGGCTCGTCCTCTTCCGGGTCGAAAGCCTCTCCCTGAGGAGTCACTGGAGGTGGAATGGGTCGGAAAAGGTTCTTGGCGAACATCTCGACGACTCGGGGGTACATCGGTTCTGTGATGACGGAGCGATTGTTGGCGATATAATCTAAGAGTTCGTGGAGCGCCAGTCTCTTGATTTCCTTAGACTTCATATCAGCCGTCGGGTCATTGAAGTCGAAAATGATGTTGCACTGGTCAATCTTCTGCATGAACAGGTCCTGACGTCTATTGGGTGGGACTTCGTGGAAGCCAGGGAGTTTCTCGAGCTCGCGCTGACGCTGGTCGGAGATATCAAATCGCGACGAATGCTGGCGCTTGGGGGTTCTGATGCCTTCGGACATATCTTTAGGCGTTGTCTGAAGGCGATCGAAGACATGGGACTTCCTAGGAGGAGCCAGGTCGCCTGGCATTGTCTCGGCCGCACCGGGAGGGGGGACATGATGCTGCGTAAAAAGTACGGTCAGATGGGCTCACGAGCGGCAAGCATTGACGCGCACGCCATTCAGATCAGGAGTGAGATGACTTACTGGGCCACTTGGGCTGATGACCACGCTAGGAGCCATCGGCTGTCCCTGCTTGGTAGGAGTACCTGGACCACCGTTAGCCACCGGTTGACCAGCAACGCTTCGGGGCTGCAAATTGGAATACTAACCAGGGGGGTAGATTCCGGTCTGCGCAGAACTCTCCGGCGACTTTCCTCTGGTATCATTCACGGAAGTTGTGGACGAGGTCGGGGTGCCCTGGTTGGGGGAAGAAGATTGCTGGCCATGGTGAACTCCGAGGGCGGCGTTGTTCTGGGCGGAGGCGTGGGAGGAGTCTTTCTTCTTGGAGGATTTGTTCGCGTCTTTCGCCCTCGACAACTGCTCGTGCTATGGAGGTCAGCCCAATTCGGGCGGTCGGCCGGCGAATCTGGAGGGAGATGGCGGAGGCGGGGAACAGCTAAGGGGCGGAAGGCGACGAGGGCGAACTCACCACTCTCTGTCTGAAACCCTTCATCTTGACGACTAAACGAACAGCCACATGTACTCGGTTCGGGGACTCGGTGCCAGTGCAGCAAGAAGCCGCACCCTAGCAGGAGGGATGGAGTCGGGCAGGGCGGAGACGATTCAGGAGAGCCACGTCGGGATTTGTTTATGTCGGCCTAGGAATGACCACATGAGCATTTGCAGCCACAACACAACGCAGCATAGCGCTTATTTCGAAATGAAGAGAGACGGTAATCTTCAAGGTGGATTTGTATCAATTTCTTCGGAAGGCAGGCGATGGAAGGTAATGCGTGGTAGGATGGGGGAGAGTGGTGAGGGGGAATTATTGAATGCTTGGGACGCAAAGCAGCACCGGGCAGAATAGCGGGCAATTCAAAAGAACAGGCGTTCGAGGTGGTCGAGGGACCGCAGTGAGAGAATTGGAAAACAAACAAGGGGTGGATCGGGAAGCAGAAATGGAACAAGAAACTATAAGCTGCAGGACTTACCTTAAGAGATTCGAGCTGGGACGATTGGAGAGGGAGTGAGGCGGGGGGGGGGTTCAGATTGTTGGGTGGGAAAGTGGAAAGAGGAGGATCTCTCACACTGCTGTCTCTCTCTCTCTGTCTCTCGTTGGCGCGAATGGGAGCGGTATAGGGAGTAGCAGCGCAGTTGCCGGTCAGTCAGTTGGCAGTCGGTCGATCGCCTTTGCCGTGGTCGCTTAGCGGGTTTGGCTTAGAGAGCGGGGGTGCAACAAGAGCCCCGGGGGGGGGAAGAGAAAAGTAAATCAAACTGCACGGTCAACAATCCACGAGGGACAAAGAAGATGATAATTGATAGAGATGACGAGATGAGATTGCTTCGAACAGATCGGTCTGACAGACCAGATGAGACACGAGGCGGGGAAGCAAAAAAAGTAGCGTAGAGTAGCGTAGCGTAGCTTAGCTGTCAACGGGAATGGAAGAAGTAGTATGAAGGTTTGGGGGGTCTCGGAAGGGGGGTGAGTAAATGAGTGAGAAGCGATGAGTGAGCGAGTGAGAGAGCAAGGTCAAGGTCATCGAATGCTGGGCTGTGGCTGAGATGAGAAGAAGCGCTCGGACTGGACTGAGTGTTGCTGCTGCACCTGAACTGCAGTTGGTTCCAAAGGAACAGGCAAAGTGAATCACAGTGGTTCCGGTTGGTCTACGGACTATGGACTACTCTGCACTACAGTATACATACATCCAGGACTGTGCATATATGCAATAGAACGTACTGGCACAATTTACGTGATACGTGAGATGGATACTAAAATAGTTGTCTATCGGTCTCCCGAAGTCATCTAACGGTTTACCACGGAAGCACTAATCTCCAGCTAGATGGACGATGGTCTAGTCTGTTTCAGACCGTCAGTCTACGATGACTGAGGCGTTCCAGTTCGGGATGAGTTTTTCTCCATGGATTGTGATGCCGGTCACGTGCTGTGCGGATAGATTCCACCACCCCAATGCCACCTCGACGAGACGAGATTCTCCTGAATAGGTGGTGATAGTCCTATAGGTTAGTCGCTTCTACCGCTTCTGCAGATTTTGATCAGTGGTCCACTGGAGATTTCCTCCGTGTGGAAGAAGGGATATCACAATTTTCAACAACTGACGTCACATGAGCGCGCATCTCTCCGTCCGCATACTCTGGTTTACTCCACCGAAAATATATTGAGCACGCGGTCGACCATCGGATCTATAAACCGCACCATAAAACACCCCCCCCCAAAAAAAATTGCCATGACAGACTCCACGGAGTCCAGAACGGCTCCGTTCTATTCTATCCCCGCTCGCCGCATGGTCAGCGTGGAACATCCCGCTATTATCAAAAATGTCGACAAAGCCCTTGACACCCTCCGCGGCGATGCAGGCATCACGCGAGTAAGCAAAATAGCCTAAGAGACTCCAGAATACACATACAAGACACCACTCATCTGACAATGCAGACTAGATCCTCAACCCTCCCAAGGCGGACAGCCCGGCCAGGCTCTTCCTCCGGCCGGAGGATGCCATGTCCAGACCGATGAAGTCGATCAGCTCGACGGCCAACAACATCCTAGTCAAGGTCACAGTGCCCAAGCGGACGGGTCGCAAACGCAAGAAGGGCTCCGATGAGCCATTTGCCGGGGTTCCCATCACCACGGGGCATGTGGAAGCGCCGCGACGCAGCGCGCGGGAGGTGCTGCAGAGCCTTCGCGACAATGTCGGGGGGTATCAAGTAGAGCCGGTAGGGATGATCGAGCGGACGCATGTGTTTCGAGGTGAGAACTTTTCTGGTCCTTTGAAATCCATCGACAGGGACTAAACGCAGTTAGGAATGCCCGACTTTGTCTTCTCGACGGCATCGAGCGCATTTGCGAACAAGTTCCGCGAGCATATCTTGCCGTTTGACTGTAAGCCGCTGCATCTGCCTCCAAGCACACGTGAATATCAACTAACCCCCTCCAAACAGACGAGAAGATGAAACAGTTCGATCTGGACATGACCAAAGGAATCACCTCGAATGTGGACATCATCCCTCCCCCCTCCTTCAGCCACGGCGACCTGCCCTTCAACTACATGTAAGCCCACCACCACCACCACCCCGAAACCACCAAAACTAACATCCCTTCCCAAGCTACCGCCAAAACCCAACCATGCAGAAATCCATCGACACCACCGGCAAAATCACAACCGTGAACACCCAACGCACGGTAAAGGTGCACACGCACCTCGTCCCCTACGACATCCCCGAAGTCCCCACGCAACCGCGGGACAACTGCCCCCCAATCTCGACCCTGGACCCCACACTGCAAGAAACCATCACGATCCTGCAGGGCCTCTTCAGCTCGCGACCGGCCTGGACGCGACGAGGTCTACGCAACGCGCTGCCCACCGTCGAGAAGCGATACGCCCTACGGCACGCGATCCCCTACGTAGGCTACGTCTTCCGCTCAGGACCGTGGCGCGACGCGATCATCCGGTTCTCACACGACCCGCGCACCTCCCCCGAGAACCACATCTACCAGACGCTGATGTTCCAGATCCAACCGCGCGACGCCGACGTCGCGCGCGACGGCTACTTCGGCGCCAGCACTACTGGCATCAACAACAACAAAGACGGCGCCCGCCGCCACGCCTACTTCCGGCCCAACGAGGTCCCGCAATTCGACCCGACCGCCTCCTTCCACAACCAACTGCACCACCAACCGGGCCAGCTGCCCACGGACACCCACCTCTTCACGGGCCAACCGCCGCTGGCCCGGGACGGCCGCATGTGGATGTACTGCGACATCCAGGACCCGATCCTCCGCAACATCCTCTTCCCATCCGAAAACCCGGCAGCACCGCCGCCGGGCTTCCTGCGCGACAAGTGCGACGTGCTGACGGACGGGTGGTACGGGAACGGCACCCTGGCCAAGTTCAAGACCATCATGCGCCACAAGGTGCTGGCGTTGCTGGACGACCGCGCCACCGACGACGCCGAGTTCGCGCAGATCCTCTCCTTACCGGATTATGCCACCCCGGAGTCCATCAACACCGACTTCTGGTTGGATCCCGCCACCGCCACCTCCAAGAGTACCATGATGGCCACGGAGATCCGCGCTATCATCAAGAGTGCGCCGGCGTTTCGGGAGCGGGCCGCCGCGGATAAGCGGGCGGGGAAGCGACGGAGGGGTCGGGGGATGGCTACGCGGCGGAGTGCGGCGGGGCGCCGGGTGCAGTTCCGGGAGGATGTGGTTGGTGGGGAGGAAGAGGATGTGGAGGAGGACGAGGAGGAAGAGGAAGAGGAGGAAGAGGAGCAAATAGATACACAGGGAATGGAGGTTGGGGAGGAGATGGGTGAAGGGGAGGAGGAGGCTTATGAGCAGGAGGAGTTGTTGGAAGCTCAGGCGGCGGAAGCGGCCGCTGCGGTGTCGGCTGCAGTGGAGGAGGATGAGGATGAGGCGGAGGAGGAGGACGATGAGGGCGAGAGTGAGCAAGATGAGGACATTGATACCTTCAGATGATTACGACTATCTGGGAGCTGAGATACAACTGAAGTACACAAGTATATTAACAAGGTATCAGATTTTATCAAGTTTCATTTATTGTAGCTAGCTAGATTTATTCTAAGTTTAAATAGGTAGTAGAGGTAGGTGGTTCGTATAAGACATTAAAGGGCATGACACATTCTCTGGCCATTAGCTGATACATGCAGACACAGGCGTTCATCGAGTTAGGAGCGAGGGAAAGGGTTAGTAATATGAGCTGTCCAGCCTCGGATAAATATAGTTCGCGCGGTGTAGGTAGTATGGTCAAGGTAGACGAGAGAAGGTAGGCCTCCGAACGCGAAGGAGCACAAGGGGAGGGTTGCTGAGTCGTGGTGATGTAGGTCGAAGAGGATGAGATCAACATAGAAAAGAAAATCAGAATGACAGTAGCCAGTAGGGTATCCATATAATGATGCAGTGCACTCTCAAGCTTTCCAGACGCCAAAACAAAGACAACGACGAAATAACAACCAATAGAACACCTTTTTTGCGATGCAAAGCGCGCATCAAGCGCTAATGAATGACTCAGCAGCTGCCTCATCTGCCTCAGCTGCTTCTTCCGCAGCACTTGCGCTTTCCCAGATCTCAATCTCAGCCTCCGTTGGCTCCGACTTGGCGTCGGTGGTAGCCTCAGATGGAAGAGAGGCCTCGAGGAGGGAAGAGATGGAAGAAACACTCGAAAGCTTGCTGGGGATGGAACGAGGGCTAGTGCGCGGCAAAGGGTGGAGTGGCGCCTTCTTCTCGGCGCCGTCCGTCTCCTCATCATCATAAATGACGACATAAGAGAAAGCATGGCAATCATCGCCGTAGAAGTCAGCGGCGTTCAGGTCTCCAAGAGGCGCTCGGGACTCCTCCATCATGACCGATTTGCGTGCTGCGGCGGCAGGAGACTCCTGCTCGCGAGAGCGTGGCAGATCCAGTCCCAGTTCCACAGGTGGAACGTTCTCCTTGCCACGACCCGAGGTCTCTACTTTGCCCTGCTGATCATTGATGTCCAGGACGCAAGTAGAGTGTTGCATGAGGTTCGTCATCTCCTCTTGCTCGTTATCAACATAGATATCGAACGCCCAGGAAGCCGGTGCTTTGGGATTGGACTGGCGCTTGGGCTTTGGACCCGACAAGGCAGCCGCGAGGGAGAAGGGGCGGTGAACGGCTTTCCGACCGGTCGATTCAAGTCGGCTCTTAGCGATGGTGGAACGTCGAGAGGAAGATTTGCATGACTTTGGTTGAGGCGAGCGTCCAGCAGGCTTGAGGATAGGAGCTGACTTGGGAGTAGACAGAATCGGCTTGGATGGCGTTGCAGGCATATGAGGAGCAGTGCTTGGTTCGAGGGTGGTCAGAACAACGCGGGAGGTCTTGGACGGCTTTGAAGAAATCTTGATCGCTGGTTCGGAGTCGTCGTCGTCCATAGTCCGCTTCCGCTTGGTCGAGAGCTTAAGAGTGACTGGGTCGATATTCTCCGAGTCAACATCCATTGTTGGCTGGGTCTTTTTGGACAAGATGGCACCTGAACCACGGCAGTCAGTACCCCAATCAGGACACGGACGGAGCGGAGGTGATGGGTCACAAAACATACCATCTTGTTTGTTTTTCAAATTCAGCTTGGACCGGAGCAAGGAACGCATGCGAGGTGCATCCAGGCTGGCGAAAGGCTGGCGAACGGCGGTCGGGGTCATTGTGAGAGCGGCCATGTCGACGAGGGGTGGTGGTGGTCGCAAGCACCAACTGAGTAGAATCTGTCGGAGGTGGAAGAAGGGGAAAGGGTGGAAGATGTAAAAATAGGAGCGAGCGACCGACAGGGACCGGCCGGGCAATGAATCGGGCGTTGCAGTGACTGACAGACGAGTCTGTTTTGGTCAACGCCGTGGAGTACCGGGTAGGATGGAAGGTGATTGGCGGCGGAGGATGATCGACGGGATTAGGAGCGAATCGAGACAGCAAGCAAGTGAGTATAGTATGTATGTAATTGATGTGTGTTTCAATAAAGTTAATACGAGCTGGGCCACGATCTTGTTATCGGAGCCAGCCAAGTCACTCGAGCCGGGGGTGGATGTGACAGAGAAAGGGAAACGAGCGAGCCGGCGGAAGGAAGATATAAAGAGTTTCAACCAGGCAAGGGTTGAAGTGGGCGAAGTAGACGGTTGGGGGGGAGGCAGAAGATCTGTGACGGGGTAAATCAAGTACGCCTCTCACGTACACTGGAAGGTATCTAGAAGGTCATTCCTGCCTGCACAGTGACTGGAACGAGGAAGGTAGGGGTAAGTGGGAGGGTGGTGATGAAAGTGGCAGTGATAATGGGTGGTAAGGGGAGGGGGGGGAATAGAAATTGGGACCATGGGAGTCTGTAATGTATAAGTAGGCATGGAGAATGTGGGAGTTGGGGAGGAAGTTGGAAGGAAGTCGAGGAAAGTCGAGGAAAGTCGCGTCAAGTTCGTGTTTATTCCTTGGCCCAAAAGGGTAATAGTGGTAACATTCAACTCAATTCAAAGGTTTCCGGTTCCAAGTTTACCTTCAGCTTGGCCCAGTAACTTCACTCCAGTGAGCTATACTTCCAGGCACTAATCACCGATTCACCACCAATGCAAGGCTGTAGGCTCCATTATTGCCTGATAATTGGTTGATGCGACAATCGCATTCTCCTCTTTCCCCTCCATCGTCTTGTTCTACTCTTCTTTCCTTCTCCCTACACGTCTCCTCCCCCCCTCCTCCACCTCGAGGCGCGTCGCGTTCAGCTTCAATTAAGTTAAAGATCTAACAGCTACTAACTTAACTTCTCCATTGATCTAGTGGATTTAAACATTACTTCTACAGAAATCTTAAGCATGATGAAGTCAATCAGTCCCTCACGATGGTTGCACAACCTGGAAACCACCGTAGCCCCCACTGATCTTCTTTTCTGTCCATCCCCCTCCCCCCCCATCCCTTCAACGCGTTGCCCATCACGACCCCCTTCCTTTGTCGTCTCGTCGCGTCTTCACCACCATTTCTCCTCCTCCACTCCTTCTGCTGCTCCATAGCGCTCGCTGGCTTGGCAACTCTGTCGCGTGTCCGTCAATAGTGGACCACGTCGACATCGGCTCCATCCCAATGTTTCACCAGTTGCAGCTGCATCCCTTGATTGCGGCACTATTGCCGGCGGCTAGATACCAGCCCATCATCCCATCCTCATCTTCCGTAGTATATTTCCCACGGCCACCATACAGTCCCTCTCCTCACCTAGCACCTAGCACCTAGCACCACCAGTTTCAACCTCTCCCCGAAGTCTCGGTTGCATTACCGCTGAAACACGGACAGCCCCCTAAAAAGATCCTTACTCGCTGCACCTCGAGCTTCCCTCCCACCTAACGTTCTATAATTATCACTCACCACTTGACATTTCATCTCACCTCGCCCCCCCCCCATATTCAAGGGCAACTATGTACGTTGCTACGCGCCGGAACAGGAATACCCCTGAACCAGCCAGACTGACCAAGAAAGATCTGTGAAGCATTCCTCAGGGGCGTTTCTTTTTATGGTTCCCGCCGGCCGTCGGGGGGCGACGCATGTGCTTTATACTCAGTATGGGCTATCTGCCCTGCCATGGCAGTGTGGTGGCGGCACTTCACATTCCATTCTTCGCGACAGTTAGTGACGAACCACCACCGCCCCTCTGCCCTCGAGGATTGGCTGTGACATACATACATACATACTCATGCGGGTCGCCTGCTGCTGATGGCTTCGTCTCAAGGTTGCCACGGCGCCGCCGCATGGGGAAATCCGGCTTCTCGACTCAGGTACTGACCGTAATGAAAGGGTACTGTCATGACTGGCTGCGGGGAGCACCCTCTTTATATTGCTGCAGCAGGATGGATGAGCCCAGAACCACTGGAAGCTTAGTAGCAGTAGTCTAATGATGTGCAGTCTTGGGTAGTTCTAGCCGCGCAGCATGTGTCTGGTGTGGTATGATCCCTAGTGATGAATTATCAAAGCCACGAACACCCCCTCCCCTCGAAGTCTTCAGAGATTGGGGAGTTGAGCGACGTGGGGACCCAAGCACACTCGACACACCAGGACTGTGCATGCTGAACAACCCCCAATACGTGTAGGTTGTAGTCGGCCCAGGCAACAAGAGACGTTCTTGACCCGCGAGTCGGGCTAATTGGCAACCTTGCATTATCAAGTACGAGTACAAGGTGCTGCACTATGATACAAACCCCGCCGGCTGCCCTGCCCCCTTTACAATCTTCCCCGGTTCGGTGTGCGCTCTCACTGCAGCTGTCATTGGGCTCGCCCGTGGGGTTGAGAAGAACACTCGAGCATTTCCAAGACAGTCAAGCTCCACCCTCGCATGTCGCGAGCTCCACTGACGAGTTATAACTCGAAGTATCTTGCCAATGCGTCCAAAAGATACAGAGGCTTCTAATCATGATGCGGAGCGCTTGTCTTAGTTATTATGTGCGTTATATTGATTGTTCTAAATAGATAGGGTTCTCGTAGATTGGGAGAAAAACAACACCTGCGCCGTACACCGTTCATCCTCGCTGTGCCCGAAACCCAATTTGGTATGTAAACGAGACTCCGCCAAAAAGAAAGTATCATAATCAGAAAAGCAGCAAGCAGTCATGACCGTGTCACTGGACGTCAAACCGAGAGAGTGAGAGACCCAGAGGCCAGAAGGAAAGGCAGAGAGACATTACACACCGTGTCGATACACCTGGGTTCCACCCGAGCGGATCTGAACGGTATCCCGGCGTTGCATGACCACCAGAGCGCGATGGAGGGCTTGTTCGGTGTATCCTCTACCTTCCACGAACTCGCGTTTCAACGTCGCCAGGCTCGTGCTCCAGCCGATGGGGAGACGGCGCTTCAATTCGTCTTCGATCTTGCTGGCTTCTTCCATCATCTCCTTGCTTCCCTGGCCCTCACCCTGGTTGACCGCGTCCATGGTCGAGGCCAAGAAGAGGCGGATGGCTTCGTCGACATGGGCCTCCGTTGCGATGGGCGACAGGCTCAATTTAGCTAGCGATTCAGTGATACGCACAATGGCCTCGAGTTGACGAACGGTGATGGGGATGGACGACCGAGTGCCAGCGTCGACTTCGTGACGGTGGACCTGCTTCCGGATCGTGACAAAGTGTGAAGACAGCTTTTCGGCTGCTTCATCGGACAGGCGAGGTGCGCAACGGCTGGGGCACTGTTAGTATCTCTATGCATAGCATTCGAAAGGGCGGTGGTAACATACGTGCGACAGTAGCTGATATACCGCTTCATCTTCTCCAAGGGGATCTCCGCTTCGATCTGTTCTTCAATGCCTCGTCCACCCATGTGAACACCCATGACGTGTCTGGCGATGCTTTCGTCGCGGCTGCGCTCGTGGTCATCCCGCACAATGAAGATCATATCGAAACGCGACAAGATAGTAGTCTGGAAATCGATGTTCTCGCCCGGGGTCTTCAGATCATCATAACGACCGAAGATGGGGTTGGCTGCAGCCAAGACAGACGTACGGGAGTTGAGGATCGTGGTGATACCGGCCTTGGCGATCGAGATAGTCTGTTGTTCCATAGCTTCGTGGATAGCGACACGATCTTCGTCTCTCATCTTATCGAACTCGTCGATACAGACAACTCCGCCGTCGGCGAGCACCATGGCACCTCCTTCCAGGTAGAACTCGCGCGTAACGTGGTCACGTTGTACGGAAGCAGTCAAACCCGCCGCGGACGAACCCTTACCGGAGGTATAGATTGCAATTGGCGATACCTTCTCTGTGAACTTGAGTAGTTGCGACTTAGCGGTACCGGGATCACCAAGCATGAGGACGTTGATATCACCACGAAGTTTCATCCCATCGGGAAGAATCTTCTTCGAGCCACCCATCAGCAGACAGACAATAGCTTTCTTGATATCCAGGTTTCCGTAGATCGACGGGGCGATACTTCGTGCCAAGGCGTCATACAGATCTGGACGACGACTGAGTTGCAGAAACTCTTGTTCTTCTTCCTCGGAGAAAATAGCATTGCCCTTGGCAGTGTGGTCGAGATCCGTGCTGATACCGACCGCCCGCAGATAGGGGTTGCGGATGGCGACTGCTCCGTCCTTCTTTCCGCCTTTCGACGATTGATAGATTGAGAAAATGCCCATGACTGTGCAACGAGAACCAGGTACAACTCGGTTGGCGAGGTAGCGATCGGCAGAGATGAGGACGTGGCGAGGAAGTTCACCCACAGGAACCTGATCAGGCGCCTCCTGCAGCTTCAGGACTTGCTGATCGACGAAGTGGCACTTCTCGTGCGAAACAACATATGGGTCGAGCGGGCACGGCTCCGAGTCAGGATCGCCTGGCTGCCTTTCACGGCCACATTTTCTGGGGAGCTGCATCCCTGCGAATCCACCCTCAACCGTGAGATTTTCGGTATAACCACAGTTTTTGCATCGGAGATGCATCTGGGTAGCTTTGGACGATATCGTCGAGGCGCCAATAACGATGCCCGGGATCCGCACGAGATGCGAGATATTAGTAGCGTTGAGGTCTCGGATCGAGATATGTGTTGCGGACGAGTGGAGCAAGAGCTGATGAGGTGGGAGTTCGACGTCTCTTTGGGAGGGATATACAATGCGTCGAGTACATTCTTGAAGGGCTGACTCGAACTGAAGTGGGTAGAAGTACTGATTAGAGCTGTCTCGACCTAAGGAGGAATCGATGGGCTTACGAGGGGGATGATGTTTGCAGGCTCGGTGGTGAGCTTGTGGGCCAGCTCCTCGTTATATGAGATCATGTGTGCAATATCAATGTCGCAATAGTATTGCTTGACCAGGACATTTTGTCTCAATTGGTCACTGCGATGGCAAGTCAATATCAAAATGTGGCTACAAGACGGCGGCGTCAACATACCGATAGATAAATGCATTATCCAACTGAAATTCCAAGACGAATTCCCTCAATTTCGCTTGGATCTGACTGCGAGAGTCATCGACACCATCGACGCTGGGAGCGAGGACGCTCAGAGTGTAGGGGGTGCGTCTATCCATGGTGGTGACGGCAGTGACAAGAGTGGGGTGGCAGTTGTGATGAGGTGTGTAGGTTTTCGGTGTATCCCGTTGCGAGGAGAAACTGCAAATATCTTCCTGAGCAACGGCACACGAATGGAACGCGTCGCGCCGGCTTTTACGCGTTAAGTGGTTTTGGCCTAAGGCAAAGATCAATTAAGTCACGGAACAACCAAGCCCCGGGTTCCGAGGGGGCTCGGATGGGTCTTTGTCATCCCTCATTCCCGGGGCCTGGCGCCTTACCCGATCGGGTTCGAGCTATCATGAACCCACCCCCCCCGTATCAGATGCAGCTGGGTGACGTTGCAGCAAGAGTCAATTGCTTCCAATTTGCTCCAAGCTTGCCCTCTCTTGCTGTTCAATCCTGGTTCCCAGTGGTGAACACTGCTTGTTAGTGTACTGCTGGCGGTCTCTTTCTTGCTAAACCACAACTGTCCACTTGTCATGTTCACATAGTGTTCCCTTCCAACAGCACGGTGACCGCGGGACTTGTCAGTCGCCAAATCGGCATCAATATGTCCTCTGCCAGTCCCCGGAAGTCGATTGACAGCTTGGCCTCAGGCGCCTCCACTCCTTCTCTATCTCAGCTCTCATTTACACAGATCGAATCCCCTCGGATCTCATCACAAAGATACCCCTTAAGGAGAGGATCAACCGCAAGCTCGATCGCAAGTATTGGGGGAATTCTGGATCCCTCCAGCCGCCATGGGTCTATCGCTGAATCTGGACAGAATGGTACGACCCATTTTACTATACTTCGAACACTGAAGGTTAACCTCATTTCTCAACGACAGCAATCTCTACTCTCCTGCAGCCTCCGATTGTCCGCACGGGTCTTGTGCCTCATACCGCTGTTGGCACCGCCGGATACAAACCTCCGACGACTCGTGACATTCCTCCTGTTACCTTGACCAATATCCCACATGTGGACTCTAAAGCGTTCGAATCATATCTCTCTCAAGTTGGATCGTTGTATGATGCCTTCCAGCAAGCCAAAGAAAGCAATACAGAGCAGGAATCGCAATTAGTGCGGGCAGGGGGCAAGGCCTCACCGAAGCCGGAAGATTCGGACTCTTTGGCTCCTGCATCGCGGGAACGCCGACCGTCAACTCTATCGAATCACTCTCGAGCGACCTCTCCATATGATACGCGGGGCAGGAGGCGGTCATACGCTGGCCGTGGTCGGGGTCAAGCCGTTACTCCCTTGTCCACAATCCCCACAGTATATTTCGAGGATGACTTCCGTCTCGAGAATCCGCGAACGTTTGATGTGGTGTCGGAGAAGTCTGGAATCATAACTTCCAAAGACAAATCGGAGAATGGAGCCGCCGTGGAGTCAGCTGCCACGGGGAGGAAGGCCCTCGCTACGAATGCTATATTGCAAGAAAAGCTTTCATGGTACATGGACACCGTGGAAATTCACCTGATCTCTTCTATCTCCACGGCTTCTAAATCTTTCTTTACCGCACTCGGGTCTTTGCGAGAGCTGCATGCAGAAGCCGCCGACTCGGTGAAACGTATCCAAGTCTTGCGGAAGGACCTACAGAAGATTGACCGTGAGATGGCTTTAGGAGGTCTCAAGATTGTGAATCTGCGGCGACGGAGGGAAAATGTACGTATGCTGGCGGATGCCGTGGCACAGCTCCGCGATGTGGTCGAGTCAGTTTCCCGATGTGAAGCGCTTGTCGAGAATGGTAACATCGAGGAGGCTGCCGATGGCCTTGAAGAGGTGGAGAAATTGATGACGGGGGAACAGGCTGCAAGTCTATTAAAGACAAACGAAGAACAGCAACATTCGAGGAGGACGGTCGACTTACGGCGACTGAAAGCGCTCGAAGGTGCGTCTGAGGACTTGGACCAACTGAGATCTCGAATTGGTAGCGGCTACGAGAGCCGTTTCTTAAGTGACCTTCTCGGCGACCTGAGACAGCACGTTGAGAATGTACCGCTAGATGCTACGCTACAGCGATGGGGATTCTCTTTCCAGCGACAACGCGGTGCACGCTCCGGCGCCGCGCAATCTCCCGCTTATATGAATTTTGATGAGCAACTGCGGTCGAAACTGCGCATGCATCTCACTGGTCTTGCTCGTGTACGCCACACAACACCTGCAGCGACTTCCTTCAAGACAGCGGTTCTACGCGAGATGAAGAGTCTTATCCGCAAGCATATGCCCAGCTCCAGCGACGACGACAGTGAATCAGTGGTGTCAGTGTCCACGCACAAATCCCAACAGCTTAGTCAACAAGAAAAGTCGTCGATCCTTGCGCGCAACCTCCGCGCCTTGGACGCTCAGGATTCGTATGAAATGCTAGCCAAGGTATACACTGGGATCAGTGAATCTTTGAGAAGACTCAGTGTTCAAGTCAAAGTTCTTCTGGATATCGCCAGTGGATTGGGAAACCCTGTCTCGTTGGGTGTGCGGTCCGGTCCCCCAAGCCCAAACCCGCAAGGCCCGACGACTCCGGCCTTGGAAGCAGAGAGGACTGCGGCCCTCATGGCGCAAGATGAGATTCTACAGGTTCTGGACATGTCCAGTCTTCTTGGCCAAGCGGTTGACATTGCTCAGTCTCAAGTTGTTAAGGTCCTGAAAGTTCGCTCGGAACAGACATCTCAGTTACCGATGGAAGACTTCCTCAAGTACTTTACACTGAACCGACTCTTTGCGGACGAATGTGAGGCTATCTCCGGTAGAGGCGGCGCCGCATTGAAAACGGTTGTGGGAAATCAAATTCGAGATTACATCAACCGGTTTGGCGACAGCCAACGGCGCCGCATTGTCGAAGTTATGGATTCTGACAAATGGGACGCACGGGACTTCGGAGAGGATGAGAACGCTATCCTGGACCGGATACTTAGCGCAAGTACGCGAGATATCGAGCTCTGGACAGATGCATCCAAAATTTGGCTGTCCTCAAACGGACACCAGGAACCGAAACCTACAGCGCCGTTCATAACCAATGGTACGGGTAAGGAGAAGCTGCGGAGTGCGGTGATCGACGAGCAGAAGTACATTCTCACCGAATCCGGGGTGGCGATGATGAGGAGCATCGAAGAGTTCCAGTTCCTCATGGCGAATATTCCCAGTATGATGCAGGACATTGCACCCGGGCTTCTGGAGTCATTGAAGCTGTTCAACTCTCGGTCTTCGCAGCTGATCCTGGGTGCTGGCGCCACGAGAAGTGCGGGCCTAAAGAACATCACCACGAAACACCTGGCTCTATCCTCGCAGGCACTCAGCTTCATCATTGCGCTGGTTCCCTATGTCCGCGAGTTTGTCCGCCGACACGCGCCCTCGATTCCGCTGCTGGGCGAGTTCGACAAAGTGAAGCGGCTGTATCAGGAGCACCAGAACGGCATCCATGAGAAACTGGTTGACATCATGGGGTCACGATCTGCCATCCACGTGAATGCCATGAAAAAGATCGACTGGGATGCTTCTGCTGGATCCACCACTGTGAGCCCATACATGGAGACGCTGGCCAAGGAGACGGGCACCTTGCATCGGGTGCTGAGCAAGCACCTTCCCGACATGACCGTCATGATGATCATGGATCCTGTGTTCAAGAGTTACCGCGAGCAGTGGACGAAAGCCTTTGACGAGGTCAAGGTGACTTCGGAGGCGGCCAAGCAACGGTAAGATATGAACTCCCTTCTAGAAGACGGACGCAGCTAACACAAGCTTTTAGGTTACAACGTGATGCGGAGCACTTCCAAAGCAAGCTGAGCAAGATCGACGGCTTTGGCGACCTGGGCCAGCGACTCTTGGAGCTGGTGCAACAGAAAAGCCTTGTCACGGAGCCACGCGAGTCCAGCCCGGTCGACGGAAGTTCATCGAAGGGGTCGTCCGAGACCACTGACACTGGCCGGAGCCAGAAGTAGCTGTCTGGCTAGTCTATACATTCGTCTTGTATCGATCCCTCGGCTCAGGTCCCATTGCTCAGTGTATGGAGGCGTGAGGCTGTCTGACCTCATTGACTGTTCGTTTAGCGTACATAGAAGTGCAGTCGGGAGACATACTTTCGCTTTCTCGAGCAGCAGCTCCAGTGAGCCATTTCTTCTATATATATACTTAATTCATGCACCTACATAAATTCCTCTTTGAAAGTCTAGAACCACCCCTGTCCAGGCCCAGTCAAGTACACCTTCTTAGCATAACTCTGTCATATACCTTCCCGTAAACAATACTCCAACTGCGCAAACTCAATTCCAAGGCCAAAGCCGCAACATCCTACGCCAGTGTAGGCACTCGAAAATAGTTTGATCTACAATTACTTTATGTACTACCCTTTCCCACAACCCATCCCCCAGAATAAGAGTAAGAATACCCAATGAACAAAAAAAGTCCATTAATTTAAGCCCTAACCAGTAGGCACCTGTCATCGTAGCCAGACGAACAATCATCATCACCATCCACACCTCATGAGTGGAACCAGAAAAAGTATATCATACAAAAGCAGGATATCATATATCCCCCCGCAACCGCATCATTTGTAAGCTGTTTTGTAAAAACGTATCATCATCCCCCGAACTCCAATGCAATCAGAAAAGTTTCTGGTCATGCAGCCATCAATCTACTGGCCGGGCAGGGCACCGAGCCCCTTCTTCTCGCCGAGGGTTTTGGGCTCGTGGCCACCCTTGCCGCTGCCGTACTTGTTGGGGCCGGAGCTGCCCTGGGCGCTGAGGAAGCCGCTGGACTGGCCAGATTCTTCGGGGAGGGGGGCGGTGCGCTGGGCGCGGCTGAGGGTGTCGTTCTTTCCGGAGGTTAGTGGTTGCTCGTTCGACGTTGTGTATACAAAAACAGAAGAGAAAGGGGACGGCATACATCAGGGTTGGTGCCGTGGACCTTGGTCTGGCCAGCCTCGATAGCGTTGTCGCTGTGAGGGACACCGTCGTCGTATTCAGCTCCGCGAGGCATTTTGTGTGTGGGTTTGTGGTGGTGGTGGTTGAAAAAGGTAGAGAGGTAGATGGTTTGGTTGCTGGGGTTGGGATCGGGTTAGCTTGGTTGCTGCTTTGACAGTGGGCGAGTCGTGCGATGACTTACTGTAGGTTGCGAGTTTCGTAGTCGTTGTCTTGTGATTGTGATGAAGACGGTAAGGAAAGCAAGGGATCTTATATGTTGAGTCTGGTGGTGATGTGTTCATTGATTCTGGGATGAGCACGTCGAGTGCTGACAGCATCATGAAGTCATTATCCCCACCCAATGACTTCATGGGACCCGGTCTGAGATCAGGTACAGTCACTTCTCTCACTCACTCTTCCATTTTCTTCGCTGCGTGTTGGACATGGTAGTGATCGGCGAGGGATAAGACATGCTAACATTTCAACTTCATTGCGCATTCAATTGAGGGTCGACTATCTGCGTGACTGATGCGGTCGTAGGCTGGCGAGCGGAAAGTGTCTAAGTCGCAGTGCACAGCACGGGATCCGGAATTGGAGGCGGGAATCCGAGGATCGGGTTTCCTGCAGCTGGAAAAAGGGTCGGGTTACACTGACGGGATCCTTTGAGAGCCCTTCGATTTGATCTAGATCTCAATGATCTTGGATCTGGATATCTTCATGTTAAGGTTAGCACACCGATATTTCATCAAAAGATCGGAAGAATTGTTACCGCTAGTTGCTGAGGGCTGCGATGCTTCCCTTTGGTATTGAACCAGGCAGATTGTCCGGACTCAAGGTCCAGACCCAAGATGGCCAGTTAGCACCCGTGCCGTTTTTTCGGTTGAGATTCAAACTTCTGGTCTACATGTAGTATCACCCACCATCCTCCGTTCTTCTGTGTCTCTTTTTGTTCCAGCTGTTTTCCCAATACCCTCCATATTTGCGACACAGAAACCCGTGAAGTCTCACCTTGTATTATCAAGAAGTGTCAAATACCAGACAACGGGAACTACACAACCCCCAAGCTTCAACATACCCACCACCCAGTGATATATAACTGACGACAATACAACCATTCCAGCTGACAACCCACAAGAACACAAGCCATGATCACAATCCAACCCCAACAGCAGCTCCCCTTCCCCCTCTCTGTCTTCTCCCTCCCTCCCATCCAGACCCAACCCCCAATGACAACCCAACCACAACGACCGTAATTTCCAACCCCTCCGACCAATTCACATCACCGCATCACCGACCAGCCCGCTCCCTCATAACCTGTTAAACCCCCCAACCCCGGGGCTCCACTTCCCGCGCACCCTCGGCTCCAAAACGAAAGGAACCCGGTACACGGTATGATCGCAACGGCAAGCGACCGGCTCCGACCCCGGTCTCACACATCCTCTTCATCTCCGCTCACGCAACCGTCTTAGCTCGGGATGAACCAGGGCGAAAAACACGGAGTACGCACGTAGCGGTGGTCAGGTTTCCCGAGTAACAGGCGACAGGCGACGGGTGCCAAGTGGGCGATGATGGCCCTGGTCTTGGTTACGTTGACCGTGGACGGTACGGTACGGAGGGCGCTTTACCGATACCGCAAACGGCTTGGGTGGGGGAATGGGAAAAGCGATCGGGATCGTGATCCGTGGGGATTGCGCGCGCACCGGGGAACAACGATTTCAGTCTCGGTCGGATCATGGATGGCCATTGCGCTTTTGCGAGCAGGACGAGGCGATGGCGGGGGACGGGGAAAGGTCAAGGCCATGGCTATGGCCATGGCCAAGGCCGGGGGCTGGGTGGTGGTGGTGGTGTAGTTGTTGTCTGTCAATGTCAAGGCTTGGAGGAGGGGTTAGTGAGGATGCTAGGCAGGTCTGGATTGTTGATGGATGGGGCCATTCGGAGTAGGTAGCTCGTGCGGCGGAGGGCGGGCCGGTCGCAGCGTTGGCCAGAACAACTACCTAGTACTGTGAACTGCGATGACAAGTAGAAGGTCTATCTTGACAAGAGGTAAGCGCAAGCGGGCATAGTTACTATTTTGGTTCTTTGGTTTGGGTGTGCGGAGAAAGAGGGGTCATTTCAATGACTACTAGGATCGTGGGCAAATGAAGGCATTCGGAGACGGTGAATGCGATGAAGCTGGGGCCCCCAGAAATCAAGCTGACAAGCTATATTGGCACTATGAAAGATCTGGTTAGATTGCCGCTAGCAAAAAAGTTAAGAAGGTCGAGACGGAAGAGCTGAAGGTGCTCTTTAGAGGAATCTTCCAGATCGAGGAAATGGTGAGGGGCATCAGGACAGCGAGGATAACGCGGCCGCGGAGATGATGGACACTCATAGATGACTTGGGCTTGTTTGCTGCTCCGGAACTGGCCGAGGCCCTACGTGTAACGAACTGAGATCTTTACTTAATACTAATCTGGTAATTGCATCCAATTCAAAGTGGACCTTAAACTCCAGTATGCAAGGGTATCTGACGACGTAACGAGAACCAAATCCAAGCTAATGCATTCCACCGACTAAAACCACGCCGGGGCCTAGTTTGGATCCAAAACGCCCAACACCGCCCTAAACTAATCAGACCTGTCAGGTAGACAGCCTAGCGCCTGGGGCACTCGGTTGCGGCTGATCTGGACCCTCAGTCCGTTGAAAATGATATGGTAGAATAAATCGACCTCCTCGTGGTTCAAGTCGAACGACAAAGAGCTCTCTTGGGACTCGGACAAAATACTCGTGGCTCTGGTATCGACGCTCGACAGGCGACTCTCTGGACGAGTGCTTCGCGTGGAGGTCAGAGAGTGGGTATAAGAGCTCGATCGCATTGTAGATGAGAGGAACGGTCTTAGCGAGCGGATACTGTCCGCAGGTTCGGACTCCGGGTCAGGATTGACAACAACGAGCCTTTGTGGGGGTACGTGCATGTAACCGCCTTCGACGAGGGCAGAGATGCCGTTATAGTTGATGGCCTGCGAGTCGGGCGATACACGATTGTTAACCTGTTTGATGTCCGGTTGAGGCGTAGGAGGTTCGCTCGATTTCTGGAAGGACTTCCAGAGCCCCTGTAGGGCTCTCCACGGTGCTCGACAATTTGATTTCGACATAAGGCCCCGAAAGTGGCTCTGAATTTGCTTCATAGGCATGGCTTAATCTTGATCGATGGCAAAGTGGATATAAGTGGAGGTTGGTATGGAGGACGATGATCCGGCGTTGGTGGCAAGCGGGGGCGGGGATGAGGGGAAGAGGGTTATGGGCTCTGCCTGCGAGGCTGAGATGCGACTCGAATCACTCACTAGAAGGCCAAAGATCAGATGTATAGGAAATGAAGAGCAATGGCGATCCACTGAGGTAGAAACATTGGAGAATCTCAAGTCACTCCTGGCACAGCGCCTACCGCGCAATTCACTGAATGATGCGATAGAGATGCCGCGTAGGACATTTCCAGTCGATCCAGCTGAGGAGCAGCCATGGCATTGTTAAATGTCTTGTTACTGAAGATCTGAAGATCCAAGACGGAGCGGTAAGAGCGAGTTTCGGGAGTGTATGAGTTGGAAGTAAATCATGGCGAACTCAATTGCGCGAACTGGTGACCACGAATGCTATTGTTTGTCGCTCGGAAGAAAAAGGTACGAGAGAGGAGAACACAGTAGGCTTGGATGGCGCATGAGTGCCGTCAGCATGGAAGATTTGCAGCACGAGGGGTGGCTGCTCTGCATCAGATTAAAAACAACAAGACGGCACGATTGGCAAGCGAGGACCGTGAGGCGGTGGGCGGGTGGACGGTGACGTCAGGGTACAAAGCAGCTTTCCCCAGATTTGCCCAGATTTACCCAGTTTTTTACCTAATCCGGCTGCCGGAGCCAAGCGGAGACAAACTTTGGTTTTTGAGGTACGGTATAATTCATACGCTGTTGAGAGAGGGGAACCAAAATAAAAAAAAAAAAAGATAAAAGAAAAGGAACGACACCGTTACAATTGCTAATGGGGACATCCATTGGGATGGGGGGATTTTCCCTGATACGAGATCATCGCTTGCCTCCTCGTTCACCCCCTCCTTCGCTCGACCATGGCGGAAATCGATCGTTCCCTTGTGTGTGTCACGTAAAATGAACAAATGAGACCAGCCCCCTATTCCCCTATCCTTGTTCGGGAGGAGGCAACAAAACGTAAAACTCGCAGACGGCGGCAGCAGCAGCAGCAGCAGCACTCACTACCACTTTCTTGAGTAACGTAAGTCTGAGCTTCGATGGAGTGGTCTTGTTGCAACGCTTTCCACGGATCATCATCCGGTCGGATGATTCTGCAATTGACGGGACCAACCGGGGGTTGTCATTAGCCGGGGGTCCCTCTTCCAAGCTTCGAAGCACTCCAGAGATTCTCCAGAAGAGGCCGAGGCCAGAACTGGGGATGCGTCCGTGCAACGCCAACCTTTAGTTTAGTTCAGCTGTTAGCCCAACCTGCTCCCGGTGAGCTCGACAGAGACACAACACGAAGGATATCTTAGTTACTAGAATTGAATGAAGGGTAGTAGGAAATGAAGGGAAAGGAAGCTAATTTCTGCCCTTCCCCTCCCTGTGCTGGGGGGGTTTTTAAATTGTCCCTAGCAACCTCTCAAATAAGGAAATGACAGGATTTCACCTGGCAGGTTAGCGGTTGTGAACTCCGTATTGGACCTTGAACTCCGTCCTGTACGGTACTACTAGTATACTAGTAGTAGTAGTAGCAGCAGCAAGCCTGCCTGTTTCCCTCCCTCTTCCTCCCCCCGCCACCCACCTTGTATTTCTCCCCGCACGTCACCATCACCTTCTCCTGGAGATTTTCTTCTCTCTCTTTTCTTCTTCTTTTTTTTCTTTACTTCTTTACTCTTCTCTCTACATTTCTTCCCCTCTTTCCTCCCCCCAAACCCCTCCCATTCCATCACCAAGAGAGAGTTGACGTGAGTTTAAGTAGCTCATCGTCGGATTCTCTTTCTCTCCAGCTTATCGTTAGAGCTTCCTCCGCACCCGCTTTATTGCACCCACACAGCTCTTTCGGCGCACAATGGCGAGCGAAGACAACGGTCAAGATCCTCCCAAGCGAGATGTTCGCAACCACCTGCTCTTTGAGATCGCAACTGAGGTCGCCAATCGGGTGGGAGGTATCTACTCCGTCCTCAAGTCTAAAGCTCCCGTCACCACCGCCGAGTATGGTGAACGATACACCCTGATCGGACCGCTCAACCGAGCCTCCGCAGCGGTTGAGGTCGAGGAACTGACTCCATCGAACCCTCGACTGATTGAGACAATCCAGTCCATGAAAGAGCGTGGCATTGAGATTGTCTATGGCCGCTGGCTGATTGAAGGTGCCCCTCGTGTGCTACTCATTGACACTTCAACTGGTTACAAGTACTTGGACGAGTGGAAGGGAGACCTGTGGAATACGGCCGGAATTCCCTCTCCCGCAGGAGATACCGAAACGAATGAGACCATTGTGTTTGGCTACTTGGTAGCATGGTTCCTGGGTGAAGTATGCGACTGAGAAACCCCACAAGCATAATGGAAAGTGTTAACCAAGTGTTGTAGTTCATCGCACACGAACGCCGCAAAGCAGTTGTGGCTCATTTCCATGAGTGGCTTGCTGGTGTTGCCCTTCCTTTGACGAAGAGGCGCCATATGGACCTAACCACGATCTTCACAACCCACGCCACATTGCTCGGTCGCTATCTATGCGCAGGGTCGGTGGACTTCTACAACAACCTGCAGCACTTTGACGTCGATGCAGAGGCTGGTAAGCGTGGCATCTACCATCGATACTGTATCGAGCGGGCTGCAGCTCACACGGCCGATGTCTTCACAACCGTCTCTCACATCACTGCCTTCGAAAGCGAGCACTTGCTCAAGCGGAAGCCCGATGGTGTGCTACCGAACGGACTGAATGTGAAGAAGTTCTCAGCTGTCCATGAGTTCCAGAATCTGCACTCGCAATCGAAGGAGAAGATCAATGACTTCGTTCGTGGGCATTTCTACGGCCACAACGACTTCGATCTCGACAACACTCTGTATGTCTTTACTGCCGGTCGCTATGAGTTCCGCAACAAAGGTGTGGATATGTTCATCGAAAGTCTGGCGCGTCTCAACCACCGCCTCAAGGCGAGCGGATCAAAGACAACGGTCGTCGCCTTCATCATCATGCCTGCTCAGACTTCATCCCTCACTGTGGAGTCGCTGAAGGGCCAAGCTGTCGTGAAGTCGCTTCGGGAGACCATCCATAACATCGAGCAGGGCATTGGCAAGCGCATGTATGAGCGCTCTTTGGCATGGAAAGAGGGCGACAACATGCCGGACGAGAAGGACCTGATTACGAGTCAAGATCGCGTTCTTTTGCGCCGTCGGCTTTTTGCCATGAAGCGCCACGGCCTGCCGCCTATCGTTACCCACAATATGGTTAATGACCATGAAGACCCAATTCTGAACCAAATCCGTCGGGTGCAGTTATTTAACCACTCGTCGGACCGAGTCAAAGTGGTCTTCCATCCTGAGTTCCTGAACTCCTCCAACCCAGTGCTGCCGCTTGACTATGATGACTTTGTGCGCGGCACCCACCTTGGAGTTTTCCCCTCTTATTACGAGCCGTGGGGATACACCCCTGCCGAGTGTACAGTGATGGGCGTTCCTAGCATCACCACCAACCTTTCTGGTTTCGGTTGCTATATGGAGGAATTGATCGAGAACTCGTCCGACTACGGTATCTATATTGTGGACCGTCGCATGAAAGGGGTGGATGACTCTGTGAACCAGCTTACGGACTTTATGTTGAACTTTACTCAAAAAAGCCGGCGACAGCGGATCAACCAGAGAAACCGGACCGAGAGATTGAGCGATCTTTTGGATTGGAAACGGATGGGTTTGGAATACGTCAAGGCCCGGCAGCTTGCTCTGCGGAGAGGTGTGTATTTCCCTCGTTACTTGGTCACTCACTATCAGGTACTGATCAGCATGTGCAGCTTACCCTTCGTCGTTTGAAAACGGAGAGGATGTTTACGATATCATCGGGGGCACAGAGCAGAAGATCTCGCGACCCCTCTCTGTTCCTGGATCCCCAAGAGACCGGTCTGGAATGATGACCCCGGGAGACTTTGCCTCCCTCCAGGAGGTCAAGGAAGGCCTCAGCACGGAGGACTATGTTGCGTGGCGACTTCCGTAAGTCGAGCCCTGATAATTTTGGAGAACATGTAGTCGCTAACAAGTTTTCAATACACAGGACCAGCGAGGAAGAAGAGCCAGATGACCACTACTTCCCTCTTACTCTCCGAACGAAGAAAGCCACCGATCGGCCTGCCTCCCCGCTCGACCGGCTTTCGTTGAATGGTGATGCATGATTGATTGTCTATACGATACCAACCGACCCCCAAGTACTTCTTTCCTTCATGTGAAACACATTGTTATGTAGTTGTTGCATTTTGTGCCAGTCCTTTGCCTCGTCTCAGCATACTTGCAGTTTTGACTATTGTCGAAATGTCTCGATTCGTAGGTCCTGAATACAGCGCATCGTTCCGTTTACCGTGCTCTCTTAGTTTGGTTCTTTTCACCCCTTTGTTTAATATTGATATGTGCCCTCTCCTTCGCATGCCTCGATTGTACATCCTCTCTACTCAGTCACTTAACAGATTGAAGATTAGATACTTCGAATGCACTGAACCATTCTGTTCATAGCCAGTATCTCCCTGGTAGCACCTGGTGATAAACATGGAGGGAGAACTGCTGCACATGCGTTCTAGTCCGAGACCGGAGGGGAGTGAGTTCACAGTGGTGATTGTCCTCGAGACGCCAAGAGGTTGAGTCATTTAATGGATTAATGGACAGAGAAGGAGAGTTGTGGTGCGGGTCTTCGGAGCGGGGAGCTGCGAGAGGATCAGCACCAGCCAGGATCATTGAGACATTGAGAGATCCAGCCCAATTAGACTTTGGGATTATCGCTGGTGAGCGGAGAGTCGCGCTTCGGTGAGAAGGTAGTGGTAGTATGGCAGCACAATACGTGCTGTACATGTGATGGTGGTGGTGGTGGTGGTGGTGGTGGGGGTTTCCACATCAGTTTCCCTGTTCCCCTCCCTTCCCTTCCCTCCCCTCCCTCTCTCCTACTTATACTTCCTTTCCCCTCTCTCTTCCTCTTCTCTTCTCTTCTCTTCTACCTTTCATCCTCCTCATTCCACTCTCCAAACCCTCAATTTAAACCTCCAACTCCACCGTACACTATCGTCTGGTACGACTCACAATGAAGCTACGCAATCAGGATGACTTTCCGAGTCTTCTCGCTAGGGGTTCAGACGGATCAAGGTATCGTACTAGTATAATGGCAGTCACAGCTCGCGCATGACAGGTGTTCGACTCGAGTCTCCGTCCTCCTCTCTGGATCGGGCAGGGACTCGGTCGTTCTGAGATTATACTGTCATAACTTGATCTAGATAATACTAGCGAAAGGACATGCGTGGCATTGATTGTTCCATACCCCTTTACACCAGATGGAAAGGGGAGCCTCGTCTCCCCATTGCTGACAATGTCCAGTACTTTGATCTTGACTTGAACTCTGTGCCAAGATGTCTACTGACAAGATCACCTTCCTGACCAACTGGTACGCATTGATAATTCTTACAGGCAGCCTTATATGTGGGATCCCTGCTAAATATGTTGTGTTTCAAGGCACGCGACTCCGTACCACGCCCCCCTTTACCTTGCGCAGAGCAAAGGCTTCTTCAAGGAGGAGGGCCTCAAGGTTGCTCTGCTCGAACCCAATGACCCCTCCGATGTCACCGAGATTATCGGCAGTGGCAAGGTTGACATGGGTTTCAAAGCCATGATCCACACTCTGGCCGTATGTGCTCCCCAGATCAACAGCTCCTGCTGGCTGCTAACCATTGAGATCAGGCCAAAGCTCGCAACTTCCCTGTCACCTCGATCGGCTCTCTCCTTGATGAGCCGTTCACTGGTGTCATTTACCTAAAGGGTAGCGGGATCACCGAAGACTTCCGCTCTTTGACGGGTAAGAGGATTGGCTATGTCGGCGAGTTCGGCAAGGTGCGTACAATACAGACCATATCCCTCCCTTGCCCTACGCTAACTGGTGATCATAGATCCAAATCGATGAGTTGACCAAGTACTACGGCATGACGGCGGACGACTACACCGCTGTGCGCTGCGGCATGAACGTGACCAAAGCGATCATCGAGGGCACAATCGACGCGGGAATTGGTCTCGAGAACGTGCAGATGGTCGAACTGGCCGACTGGCTGGCGAGCCAGAAGCGCCCGCGCACCGACGTGCAGATGCTGCGCATCGATCAGCTTGCGGAGCTTGGCTGTTGCTGCTTCTGTTCCATCCTGTACATCGCCAACGACGCCTTCCTGGCTGCCAACGGCGAGCGCGTTCGCAAGTTCATGAATGCTGTCAAGCGTGCCACCGAGTACGTCCTTGCTGAGCCCGCCCAGGCCTTCGAGGAGTACATCGCCATGAAGCCCATCATGGGCACCCCGGTTAACCGGCAGATCTTCGAACGGTCGTTCGCGTACTTCAGCCGCGACCTCAAGAACGTCCAGCGCGACTGGAACAAGGTCACCAACTACGGCAAGCGGTTGGGAATCTTGGACGCGGGCTTCCAGGCGAACTACACCAATGAGTTCCTGTCCTGGGAATTGGATGCCGATTCCACCGACCCACTGGGCGATCAGAAGCGCATGGCTGCATTGCAGAAGGAGGTGGCTGATCAGGGCGGTTTCCGCCGGTTGCAAGTGGCCTCTGCTTGAGTTACTCGTTGCCTAGCTGAACAAAGGCAATTGTTGCCTGTGAGCAAGTTTCACTGAAATTATCAGGCTAGCGGTCTCAGCTAGCTATGCAGTCGTTACGAAATGAATAATTCTCGAGCCTAGGCTCTTTTTGAACAGTCTGCAGGAGAAGTGTAGCTTGTTACCTGGCCCACGTAGTGATTTGGTCGTATCTCATGAACAAAGTTGTCCCAAACTATCATAGCATATGCATTCTACACTCTATTGAAGGTGATAAAGTCGCTCAAACATTGCTTGCCAGTCTTAAAAGCAATCTGATGAATTACACCTGCACCCCGGGTCTCATGTTCCTGCTTCGATGATCTTCATCCTCTCTGTCCGGAAGAGAGCCTATCCGGTGATGTCCCAACAGAGTCGAGAGTTCCACCCCCTCCCCACCTTCAACATCGCTCAAACTCCCCTCGTCCTCCGCGTCCCAGCGTTTCAAGGGCTGGAAGCCTCCCCGCTCCCGACCATCCACCCGACGGAGCGCAGACCTCCGGGACAGGAATCCGAGTCGGCGCACGAGACAAACAGCGACAACGAGGAGCAGCGCACAACCCAAGAGCCCGACCACAGCTGTCCTCCCCTTAGTGCCAAACCGCCCTAGTCCATCGTCCTCATCTCCATCCGCGCCAGAGACCACAACCGCCTCCTCAGCCGTCGGATCCCAGCGCGCAAGCCTCGACGCACTCAGCACATGGCCCGAGGCATTCAGCGCCAGCACGCGGAGATACCTGTACGCAGTCGCATCCTCCGGGATAGGGATCACAGTCTCAAACCCCACCTTAGGCACGGTTATGACTCTCGCAAAGGCGGCGACGGCCCTCCCACTCCCACCACCACCATCCCCCTCTTCTCCCATTTGCCCCTGCTGCTGCTGCTGCTGCTGCTGCCGCTCAGCAGAAACATCATCCGTCCCCTCCAGCCCCCACGCCACCACCTCCGTAGCCCCATTCCAACTCGCCGCGGCCCGATACCGATACACCTCAAAATCCGGGCGTGTGCGCGGGGCCCCACGCCAGGGGTGCTTGAACACGCGGTAGGAGAGGATATTGCCGAGGCCGAACTCGCGCTGGGGACCGAAGTGCACATGGCAGAGGGGCTCGCCGGCGCGGGAGAACTCGGTCCAGGCGGCGTTCCAGCCGTAGCCGATCAGCACGTTGCCGTTGGGCAGGAGCTGCAGGCTGCCCTGGCTCTGGCTGCTGAGGGCCTGGTCCGGGGCGTTCCAGTACTGGTGGCGGAGGCGGACGGTGAGGTCCCTCTGGTCGAGATCCAGGTACAGGCCGCGGGAGGTGCGGGCGGGGGCGCCGAGGCCGCGCGAGGCGTTGTCGAAGAGGGTGAGGGCGGTGTCGTTGTCGCGGAAGCGGGCGTGGTGTTGCCAGGTGAAGTTCGTGGCGGGGCCGGGGCCGGGGCCGGGGCCTGCTGGTTCCCCGAACGATGATGCCGCGGCCGCGGGGGAGGTGAGATCGGTGAAGTTATTCCTCTTCCCGCCCAGCCGCCACAGGATCTCGCCCGTGCGCCCGTCGACGTAGCTCAGACAGTTGGCGTACCGCGCGGAGACGAGGTAGTTGCCGCGCCGGTCCTTGTCGACGCTGTTGATGTGGAAGAAGTCCCAGGGGTCGGCCGCGGAGGCGCCCTGCCCGGCCTCGCGGCCGCGCTCGACATCCTCGAAGGCGAAATGCTCCGAGGCGTGCCACTCGAAGAGTAGCCGGCCCGTCTCGATCTCGACCTCCTGGAACGTCCCCTCCCAGATCCAGCCGTCCACGGGGCCGACCCGGCCGGTCTCGTCGGCCACCCGCGAGAGGTCGGCGCGCCGCCGGTCGTAGCTGGTCAGCAGGGCCGTGTCGTCGTGCGTGATGTGGAACTCGTGCAGGTCCCCGGGGAGGTTCCGCGCCGCCGTGAATCTATACGCTTCTTGATACGAGGAGTCTAGCTTTATTCCGGGCCAATATGCCGCGCATAAATATTTAGAATATTCGTTCATGTAAACCCCCCCCCCCCCACCCCCCCGCTGGAGAATGACCCAACACTACTATCTAACCCGCAAGACAAAGACAGAAAAGAAAGCAAAACATACCATAAAATACGTGCCCCTCCCATGCCCAACATCGGCGTCGCTCCCCACCCAGAAGGTCAGATACTCCTGGCCCCGGTACCGCTGCACGTTCAGGTTGTACGTCTGCCCGTACTCCCGGGTCCACACCAGGTGGCCGTCGGGGTCGAGGATCATGGGCCCCGGACGGTGGACGCTGGCGCCCCGCGGCGCGAGCAGGTAGTACTCCCCGGCGACCTTGCAGCGCGGGCTGGTCTGCACCCAGTTCACGGCCAGCCCGACGGTCGTGGTCGACCGGAAGAGCTCCGTGGGCCACGAGCCCATGCGGCCTTGGTCGTAGAGTTGTGATTGGTTGTAGGGGCCTTCATCTGCGAGGACCGCCGCTGGTGGTAGTAGTAGCAGTAGCAGTAGCAGTGGCAGTGACAGTGACAGTAGGAGGGAAGTTGGGAGGGGGTGGGTGCTGCCTTGCGTCAACGGCATGATTGTCGCTAGGGGATACGGGGCATTGAGCTGCGGGGCGGTAGCGTCAAAGACAGAAGAGAGGGCTCAGAGTCGCATATCCAGACCGTCTGAGAGGCAGAGGTCACAGGAAGGGAGGAGCTCAAGCCGAAATCGAGGCGGATCTTCGATCTTCATAAACACCGGCGGAAGATCCACACTGTGGCGGGCGGTTGAAAATCGGTTGGCTGCCATCCGTGCCCCGAGGATAAGGGGGGGGGCCCACTTGGAGTGATAGAATGAGTATCTTGCGATATGTATTATATGTGTACTCCGTACCCGGAATGTGAAAAGTGCCAAAAAGCATGGTGCATGGTGAATGATACATGATGGTGTGATGTGGTCCACGCGTTGGAGATGAGTGGTTGCCGTTGGGCAATGCGTTTCTCCACTGGACGTGTGACTGGTCGTTGGTTCTCTAGGTTGAGGGGATGACGAATCCTTACTTAGTATCGATAAAAATATTCCCATTCTTCTCACGTGAGGTTGTTACTCCTCATGAAATGCGTTCGATTTGGGGATCAATGTCGGTAGATGAGTTCAAGTAAGGCAAGAGGTTGGCCCTGGTGTTTGGGTCTGTTTTGCTCCAGGCGCAAAACTGACAGGTCTCCCTCTCAAGGGCGGCTAAATCCGAGCGTATGTCCTGATTACTGATAACGCGGCGTCCTCAGACAGAAAAAGCAGATTACAATACCATCATACGGCAGTAAATCACAATGTATGCTGTATCTTCTCTGGTAGTTTAGCTAATCTATCTTGATGGGGTATGTATGCACTATTAAAAGATAGACGAAGAAGTGTCGCGATGGTTAGAAGGGGTATCGTTCGTCCGACCGTTTACTTGCTACGCTTGTAGATTTTGGACAGGAAGGCCTCGAAGACCTCCTTCTTCAAGCCCTCGGCCTCGTTGATGCTGTCGATCTTGCCGCGCAGCTCGCCCACCACCTTCTCCTCGTACTCCAGGTAGACCTTCTCCAGGTCGAGCTCCTTGTAGAGAGCCTTGACCTTGGCCTCCTGCTCGCTGTCCTTGCGACCGTACGCGGCGTCGAGCACCTTACGCTGCTCCGCGGTGCAACGCTGGATGGCCTGGTTCACCAGCCAGGAGCACTTGTTGTCCTGGATGTCGGTGCCGATCTTGCCGATGACGGCGGGGTCACCATAGGCGTCAAGGTAGTCGTCCTGGACCTGGAAGTACTGACCCAGAGGGATCAGGATGTCGTGGGCCTGACGGAGGTTCTCGGGGGTCGCGAGCTGGAGGTAGTGCAGGGCCAGCGCCACGGGGAGGTAGAAGCTGTAGTACGCGGTCTTGTAGGTGACAATGAACATGTACTTCTCCATGGAGAAGTTGTCCAGGTTGACATTGTCCTCGGGGGCGGTGATCAGATCGCACAACTGGCCCAGCTCGGTCTGGTAGGTGATCTCGTGGAACAGCTCGACAAGGTTAATGTAGGCGGGGTGGGAGCGGAAGTATTTCTTGAGGATGATGTAGATGCCGGACTCGAGCAGGAAGGCGTCGTTGATCGCGATCAGGCCGACGCCGTCGTGACGGTACCAGCAGGGCTGGCCACGGCGGGTGATGGAGCTGTCCATGATGTCGTCGCTGACCAGGAAGAAAGCCTGGAGCAGCTCCGTGAGCCAGCCGAGCATGCTCAAGTGCTTGAACTGCTCTTCGCTCAGGGGCTGCTTCAGGAGAGCCAAAGCGGTATCGGGGACGGAAAGACCGCGGTTGAGTTTTCCACCAGGAACGTTGACATTGAGGTTCTATGCGCGAGGCAGAAAAACGTGTTAGTGATTTCTCCTGTAATGTATCACGACAAAGGTTGGGTGTTCGGCTGGCCGACAAACCTTCTCGAACCATTCGAGCGCATTCTGGGGCAAGTTGTACTGCTTCGCAGAGTTCAGGAGATCATCGCGAATTGTGGGGAAGATAGCCTCAAAAGAGGCACGGCTGGTGGTGGAAGGCATTGTGCAAAAGTATCACTGTGAACAGCGAGTGAGGAGGGAAAGGGGAGAGGGGAGAGAAGGAGAGAGGAAGAGGAAGAGAAAAAGAAAATCGCAACAACGATAGTTAAACAGTGGGGGAGGAGGAGGGGAGAGAGAGGGGGGCAAGGCGGGGGGGGGAAACAGACAAAGCAACAGCCAGCCTGGAGCCAAGATCAATGCCCAATGCAGTTATGAGTAAATTATTGTTTGTTGATGCCCCGCTGTTTGCCGTGTTTGCATACTGCTGGCCCAAAAGGGAAATCCAGTTACTCCCGGGCTCCATTCCAGTCCGCCGAGTCTAGTGCAGTCCAAGTCCAGTCCAGCGCCTGCTGCATCTATCTGTGGTGGCGCGAAAGCATTGCGAGGTGTTTGTGGTTGCTCTCTGTCGCATTGTTACCGACTTCTGGCCTCATTTCTCACGAATTCCCAGTGTCTCTGGTCACTCTTGGACGCGTGACAATCGTTCCCATACCCTTCGCCGCGGGTTTTGGTCAAGCTCTCCGAAGCTCAATCAAAACAGCCTCGTACAATGGCCCTTGCGCATTCCTAGATTCAGAACCCTTTTCAAAACAACTAAACGAGCCGTGCAACACAGTTGTCAATCTAACTGCGTTTGCGCGCAGGATCCTTACCGCCAGATGGCTGCTCAATTCACAGATGAGAACATCAAGGAGCTCAAGTTCCGACTCGAAGATGCGGCGATCAAGTGCTCCGAACGATGCCTCTACCAATCGGCAAAATGGTACTGTCGCCAACCGAATCCTCGTCAACCTGTGCGATGACGGAAAAGCTAACAGGACTGTCAGGGCTGCGGAGATGCTCGACTCCCTCGTCCCAATCGACCAGTATGAAACGGATCCCGATTCACCAATGGACCAGCCCGATGCTCCTCCAAACGCCCAGAACCCCTACCTCCGGACCCAAGATTCCATAGAGGCGGCGCTCGAGGCGCAAGAGTCGTATAAATATCTCCTGGCCAAGTCATACTTTGACACCCGCGAATACGACCGCTGTGCCGCCGTTTTCTTGCCTCCGACTATATCCCCCATCCCTCTTGCGACTGCATCGCCCAACCCGAAACATAGGCAACCGTTGACTCCACAGAAAGGCAAATCTAAGGCATCGCCGTTCGCAGGGGTGAAGGACCATGGCGCGACAAGGAATCCCTACCCTAGGCTCAGTCAGAAATCCCTGTTCCTCGCCTTGTATGCCAAGTACCTGGCATGCGAGAAGCGCAAGGATGAGGAGACAGAGATGGTACTAGGTCCCGCTGATGGAGGCTCCACAGTCAACCGGGAGTTGCCAGATCTGGCTCGAGGGCTAGAAGGATGGTTTACCGAGCGACGCGAGAAGGGACTGGAAGGTCGGAACCAGGGTTGGTTGGAATACCTTTACGGTGTCATACTCCTCAAGGGGCGGAATGAGGATGAGGCCAAAAAGTGGTTGATTCGGAGCGTGCACTTGAACCCATTCCACTGGGGCTCGTGGCAAGAATTGAACGACTTACTGGCCAGCACGGAAGACGTACGCATACCTCAGCGACATCTGACAAGTTGCTTGCTAACCACTGTGTGCAGTTGAAACAAGTTGTCGATCTTCTCCCGCAGAACATCATGACTCTCATATTCCACGTATACTGTAGCCAAGAGCTATATCAAGCCACAGATGATACGTACCAGGCTCTGTCCGAGCTGGAGACGATCTTCCCAACAAGCGCCTTCCTCAAGACACAGAGAGCACTCCTCTACTACCATTCGAAAGGTGAGATTGCTTCGCACGAGACTTCCTCTCTGAGCCTGACCCAACAAATTCCACAGATTTCGAAGCAGCATCGCACATCTTCACAGACATACTCATCACCTCACCCCACCGCCTCGACAGCCTCGACCATTACTCCAACATCCTCTACGTCATGGGCGAGCGCCCACAGCTCGCCTTCGTCGCCCAAGTCGCGACGGCGACCGACAAATTCCGTCCCGAGACGTGCTGCGTCGTAGGAAACTATTACTCGCTCAAATCCGAGCACGAAAAAGCAGTCATGTACTTCCGCCGCGCGCTGACGCTCGACCGGAACTTCCTCTCCGCCTGGACCCTGATGGGCCACGAATACATCGAGATGAAGAACACGCACGCCGCGATCGAGTCCTACCGGCGGGCCGTCGACGTGAACCGCAAAGACTACCGCGCCTGGTACGGGTTAGGCCAAGCCTACGAAGTTCTCGACATGTCCTTCTACGCGTTATTCTACTACCAACGCGCCGCCGCCCTGCGGCCGTACGACCCGAAGATGTGGCAGGCCGTGGGGTCGTGCTATGCCAAGATGGGCCGCATCGAGCAGAGCATCAAGGCCCTGAAACGGGCCCTCGTTGCTGGCTCCTACTACGCTGAGGACTCTTCTTCTCAGGTCGGTGGCATGGGCGGCGGCGGCGGCCCTGCCCGCAAGATTCTCGATCCGGAGACATTACACCAGATCGCCACGCTCTACGAGCGCCTGGGCGACGAGGAGGAAGCCGCCGCATACATGGAACTCACCCTGCAACAAGAGTCCGGGCAGGTCGTCCAGGAGGAGGAAGAGGTCTCGTCCGACGACGATCAGTCCGGCACGGATGTTCCGTCCAGCTCGCGCCGCACGCGCAAGTCGTCGAGGGAGGCAGAAGACGAGGAGGATACATGGCACGGCACGGGGGTCACCGCGACGACGTCCAAGGCGCGGCTGTGGCTCGCTCGGTGGGCGCTCCGCGGCGGCGATCTGGATCGCGCGGATCAACTGGCCGGCGAGTTGTGCCAGGATGGGGTGGAGGTGGAAGAGGCCAAGGCTTTGATGAGAGACGTTCGCGCCAGAAGGGAGGGTGGTTGATGCATACATGTTCAGGTGTCTCATACCCCTTCGAATTAGCCAGGCGTTTTTATGGAATATCGGTTTGTAATCTGTCTCTAATTATATCTGTATATGAACTAGACAAGCCAGTACCTTGGTCAATCGATTAAGCGTTGTAACTCGTATGGCATCTCATTTGGACGAAACGGTCTAGTGTCTGATGTCGATCTCATTATACATACATTCCAATGTGAATCTATGCAGAACATCCGGAAAGGGCAACAACATACATGCTAGACCTATTGAAGAAAGAGCGATGTAGCAAAGCCCAGGGTTACAAAGACTACCTTCGTCAACATGCACCACCGGGTTAGGTCACCGCGAACAACTCGCTCAGCAGAAGCAGCTCCCGCCTATTGAAACTAATCGTAGCCTTGATATCAATGTCTCTACGTGTCCTTCTCCCACGCCCCCCCGCTGCTCTCCGATGACAGTGCATAGGGCTTGCATGAAGACCGTCGTCATGCGAAGTACGCTCCCCCGTCCCGCCGAGATCCCACTTCACGCACGCATAGAAGTACCGTCTCCCGATTGACTCCCAGGTGTGACGGAGGCCGAGCCTGGCATCGTCGGGGCTGATGTTGAGATTCAGGAAGCTTCGGTCTAGGACGAAGATTTTGCCGGCTGGAGGGTGGGTTATGCTTCTGGTTTGCAGGGCGCGCGTGATGCGTTTGCTGAGGTCGAAGAGGAGGTGGCCGAGGGAGGATTCGTTGCCGGTCAGGATGACGAGTCCAAGGCGCGGACTTGATGTTGTCGTCTTTGGCGTGTGTGTCAGCAGCATATCCAGGAAGTTGGCAAGGGGTTGGGTGTGGTGCTGTGGATGGGGTTGCTGGGGGGCTGTGTGGTTGCTGCACGTTGGAGTGATATATATGGGGATATTCAGGAGTAGAGATGCGAGAGGTGGATTTGGTTTGTGAGGACGATTATCAGCTACATGGGTGTAGCTAGATATCTGCGGTGGTGAAGGTAAAGGTATGCTGCTGCATTGTCCGATTTTTAAAACCTTGGTACTGTCTTGGCTGCTGACCTGACCAGGCTCTCGAGGCCGAGGAATTGACTTGTCTGCGTGTTCAGAATCAGGGTTGCGGTTTGCATATCCTCGCTGACGGGGGGTATGAGCCGACAGGTTCTCATTACTGGTCAAAAGATTCTGTCGTTTGTTTTCAGCTGATGGAGCCCAATCCACAGATCCATCTGCATATATAGGTATGATACGGCTGTTCGGACAAATCGGAACATTCGGCGACGTTAACAACGTGGTCGATCTTTTTAAGGATTTGGGAGCAGGCGATGGTATATCCGGTGGGTCGCTTGAGAGAATGGCAGCGGTGGTGTCGGTCCCCGACCTTAATGTAGAGCCTTGACTGGAAGAAATGCTTCCAGATTGTTCATTTGAGACACGATGTGCTGATCCAGTTCCAAGTTTCACGCGCTTGGACCACTCGCTTCGTTCTTCGCCCATGTCATCCGTGGGAACAGCCCGAGCGTCTTCGGCGAGTTGTTGCAGCTCAGCATATGATGCCGCATCCTCGAGAGCCCTGTCCCAGTGTATCTTGGTGATTCTCGGAAAGCGAAGTGCGAAATATCCAGCATTGGATGGTTTCTCAAACCCACTGCCGAGTATCTCAACGATGAAGGGAGTCTTGAACACAACTTCCATTCTGGAGGCGACATTTGTTCCATAATGAAGTGAGAACCCGTGGTCAGATTCGGCGTTGCAGGCATAAAACTCGCCGAACTGATTGAGGATCTGCATGTTCTTCAAACTCATGCCATTGCGGTTAAGCACATCCACAACCTTAAACTTAGGGGAGACGTTGAACTGCGCAACTGCATCTTTGTTGGTGAGACAGCCGACGTAGAACTCCGTCCATAGCAGCTTCCTGACTTGGTGCAGGGCTGTCGCATCTTGCGGATTATATCTCGCGCCAATGATTGCGAGGTCAACCGTATCACCCAGCCCCGGTATATAATCCTTCTTGAGCTTGATCCAGCGGCCGAACGTGTTATTCTCCTGGCCTGAGAAAAGGGTAAAGTAGGGGTCCTCGCATCCTTTGAGTACAAAGCCCTCCCAACGCTGTGCAATTCCCCTGGAAAAAATGCTCTCCAGTCGGGCCTGGCCGTCATGTCGCGAGAAATCCACTATTTGTTGCTCGGCAATATCTGCACGCCCGGGGACAACGTGTATGATGTCCTTGAGAAGTAGACGTCGTTCCCGATGCGGCCGCCTTAAGCATATATTATCATCATGAAGCAGAATGTCGAAGAATACCATCATCAGATGTTCATGGGGTTGCGGTCTGGCTGCAGTCAGCAACAGAAATGTGGATGATATCCTATTGCCAAACTCACGGGGAATCGCTTTCAGTGCCAATGAAGGTACCGGACCGAGATATAAATTTACGCAGCTTATGAAAGTCCATGATCTTGTTGTGTTTATCACTCCACACAAGTAATTCGCCTTCAAGAATGCACCTTTGGGAGACCTTGCACCCAGGCGCTCCTAATTTCAAGGAGTCTTTGATGACCTGGTGAATACCTACTCTGTCGACAGTAGAATCTTTACCGCTTTTAGAGAATATTTGTATGGAACTAGGGCCCAACGTGAGGTCAATATGTACTTGACAGTATTCACCATCGTACTTCCTTTCAATACTCATTCGACGGCGATTGACCATGCGACAGCAGTGCTTGATGCTCCGGGCCTTGTGGTACTCCGGTCGACCGATCTTGACCCCAACCCTAGGATTGAGATGTTGCAAGGCCAGATAAGCCAGGTCCCTGGCCAATCCAGGGTCCGGGTGTGGCGGGAAATGGCTGATGGGGTCGGAGCGGAGCATGCTGAGCGCACCCTCGAATGTGTCTTGGAAGAGAAGGAGAGGCTGAAGGAGGAAGTGAAAGCTCCGCAACGTCAAAGGCAAAGGAAATACAACAGGGTAATACCCCTTGAGTATCATGCGCGTTAACCACTTTGCATCCCTGCTCCTGAGTCGCTTGAAGAGAGAGCCGAGAGCCTGCTCGACGTCAACCGCGGTGTGCTGCTTTCGCACTCGAGGACCGGAAAATCTGCAACGGGCAGCAATACTGTTCAATGCAGAGTCAACCTCCTCGACCGTTACCTCTCGACCGGGGTCAAGATCGTTCTCCGCTTGCCGCATCACATTTTCGACACATTGACCGAGGTCGAGTCCGCTGGACACGCGCCAACGCTCCAGCTCCGCCCGTCTGGAGGACCCGAGAAGTAAGCATCGCGCTATTATCCTCGCCAGCGAGGTTTCTTGCAGCCAGTAGACCCTGTCTGGCCTCTTCTCGGGAAACATGCAGGACAACAGGGCCAGAAGATCAGTGTCGGGGCCACGTATCTGTTTCCCATGCTGAGAAAACCACCGAGTCACGGCCCGCACATCAGGATTGAATGCTCGCGCCTCATGTGACGCCTTCAAGATTCTGTTGTCCTCGAGAGTGGAGAGTAGATCGCACAAATGAGTGAATTTGAACCCCATCAATCAGACAGATAGACGCGTCTGCTGCTGCGATCATTGAGACCCCGGTTCCTAGAGGTGCCCAAAGCTTCAAATACACGAGACCGCATTGACTCGATAGAAGACTGAAGGCTCAATGAACAATGGCCGGGACAATGAACCTATCTGCAAAGCAAGGGTGCGAAAAAGGTCGAAAAGAGCCAGGGAGACGCGTCCATGGATCGCGAAGACACGTGATGCGAACCAGATTTGGTCTTAATTAGTGAACACTGGGCATCCTTCTCATTACTTTGGAGCGAACATGACGTTGGATAGCAGAGAAACTCGGATTATGCTCATGAATCCTTTGCATAGAATACATAATGTGCAGAGCCCTTGAAGCTGCTGCAATTGACTAATCAATTCTAACCAACAATGATCCCAGTGGTCCAGGTGGCAACCATAAACAACAAGAAAAAGAAAACACCGCCGAACTCCAGGCTTTTCAAAGTAAAGCATCAAGACAAATAGACGAGGCCATGTGTTGGAGAGAAAGAAGTGAGAAACGCCGCTTACAAAATACCTTGCTTCTGGAGATCAAGGTAAATTCTCTCCGGCATCACGTTTCCTTCCGCATCCTCCATCTGCACCACGTTGTCACGGTTGTCTCTGTCCTTCTTACGGTCCTTTTCAAGCTTCTCCCATAGTCGCAATGCCTCGTCAATTCGAGTGATCTCACGGAAGAGATTGGTGTTCGACGTGATTCCCAAACACTTCAGGCCGAAGATATGCAAGGCCTCGGAAAAGTGCTTGTCGAAGGCGCGACGGCCCATGTATACGAAATTTCCGCAGATTTCGCATGGGTATTCGACACCAAGACCGTGCAACTTGTAGAGCCAGTAAGGGATGGGCTTTCCATCCCAGGCAAGTGGCAGTTTGAGAGGGTTGTAGATCCGATCGTCGCCTTCATCATCAGACTGGTCGTTTCCACGATCTCCACCGGTGTATTCCGATTCGTTCAGTAGCGCTTCGAGTTCCATTTGACGCTCCCTCTCAGTCATGCCCTGCTTGCGCTCGACATTGATCTTGGTCGCCTCACGCTCTGCGCTAAGGACTTGCGTAAGGGACCGGACGCGATGTTCCCTCTCTGCCACCGCGCGTTCCTTCAATCTGTGGGCACCTGGGATCCCGCTGCCAGCAGCTGGCGCGGGTCTGTCGCTGGAGTCACCAGCGGCCTTACGAGCCTCAGCGGCACGGATATGCTTCTTGCCCGTCAGGTGGTTCTTGTAGACGTTCTCATTCGTGAACTCTCGCTCGCAATCAGCACACCAGATGCCCTCCCCAGACCCTTCAGTCTTGGGGCCCTGAGTCCCATTCTCTGCTTTCTCCTCCGTCCAGCCCGGAACCTCGTTCGCCGACCATTGTTTCTCGAATTCATCGTCGAAGCTAGCAAAGAGCTTGCTGAGATCTTGTAGCGGTCTGACCTTCTTGATGAAGCTTTCCAGGTAACTCGCGAGCTCGCCGACGTATTTGAAGTATCTATCTGAGATTTTGTTGCTGCGCTTGATCGGCAATTGCGGGGCCGTAAACGCATCGAAGATGTCGAGGTATTGGACGTACGAAAGTCTCTTCACACCGGGGAGGTTCAGGTACTCCTCGTGCAAGGCCGTCAGGTCCAAGAACTGCCCGTAGCTTTCCTCGCCGGTGAACAGATTGTCAACTTCCATTCCGGTCGTCTCACCCTCGCCAAGCTGACGGCGCTTGTAGGCCCGCTCGAGGTTCTCGACCGGTTCATTGGGGTAGCGCTTGTGGAAGTCCTTGATTTCGTCCAGCTGTCGGTAAAACTCCTCAAACTGATCGCCAGTCGAGATAGATTGGATCTCCTTGTTGCGCGCGCCATCGGTATCCTTGTAAATGTCCAGCAGTCTCTTTGACTGTTCCTCTATGCGGTTGAGAAAGTGTGAGACCTCGTGGTCGCGGTTCAGGCGGTCGCGTAGCTATATAGAAGAGCAATAGTTAGCATCTGCGGTGACTGTGACAACGGAGCGCTCACGTACATTACGGGGTTCTTCAGCCACGCGGTCGGCAATGGCCTGCTCCAGCCGCTCCAGGTCCTCATGGATAAATCTCTGTTCTTCAAGAATCATGTTGAAAGCGCGCACAGAGTGTCCGTTCGTCTATGCGATGTAATACTCACCCCAGATTGGAGGATGTTACGCCGCTCTATCGGCGCCACCCATGAGAGCTTTGCGGGCGAATTGCGGTCACGTGTGGTGGGCGGTGAATCCTCGATCGCTGCGAAAAGTCGCGAGCTCCGGCCACTCCACCATACCAGTACCTCTGATTCCAGACTGCGGTCCTTTATTGTTTGAATCGATTTATATCATCAGATATCTCAGTGGATTCAAAATGGCGGACGGTATTGACAGACGCGCTGATGGTATGACTTTCAAATGACATTTGAGATCGAGGATTCATTCACTGACCGCGCAAATTCAGACCGGATGGAGTTCAACACCTCGAAGGAGGTCACTGTGGCTCCTACCTTCGAGGACATGCACCTGAAGGAAAGCCTTCTTCGTGGTATCTACGCTTATGGCTACGAGTCCCCCTCCGCTGTCCAGTCCCGCGCGATTGTTCAGATCTGCAAGGGTCGCGATACCATTGCCCAGGCGCAATCCGGTACCGGTAAGACAGCTACGTTCTCGATCAGTATCCTCCAGGTTATCGATACCGTTGTTCGCGAAACCCAGGGTATGTGGCTCACACCATTTTCACACCACGATTTTGCATGCGAAATCAAAAGCTCACACATTGGCCGGTAGCCCTCGTTCTCTCCCCTACCCGCGAACTTGCCACCCAGATCCAGTCCGTCATCATGGCCCTCGGCGACTACATGAACGTCCAATGCCACGCCTGTATCGGAGGTACCAACATCGGAGAGGATATTCGCAAGCTCGACTATGGTCAGCACGTTGTCTCGGGAACGCCCGGTCGCGTTGCCGACATGATCCGCCGCCGCCACCTGCGCACCCGGCACATCAAGATGCTGGTTCTCGATGAAGCCGACGAGCTCCTGAACCGCGGATTCCGCGAGCAGATCTACGATGTCTACCGCTACCTGCCCCCGGCCACCCAGGTCGTGGTCGTCTCCGCCACGCTGCCCTACGATGTGCTCGACATGACGACCAAGTTCATGACCGACCCCGTGCGCGTGCTGGTCAAGCGTGACGAGTTGACGCTCGAAGGCATCAAGCAGTACTTCATCGCCGTCGAGAAGGAGGAGTGGAAGTTCGATACCCTGTGCGATCTGTACGACACCCTGACGATCACGCAAGCCGTCATCTTCTGCAACACGCGCCGCAAGGTCGACTGGCTCACCGACAAGATGCGCGAGGCCAACTTCACCGTCTCCAGCATGCACGGCGAGATGCCCCAGAAGGAGCGCGACAGCATCATGCAGGACTTCCGCCAGGGCAACTCGCGGGTGCTGATCTCCACCGACGTCTGGGCGCGTGGTATCGATGTCCAGCAGGTCTCCCTGGTCATCAACTACGACCTCCCCACCAACCGTGAGAACTACATCCACCGTATCGGTCGTAGCGGTCGTTTCGGCCGCAAGGGTGTCGCCATCAACTTCGTCACCAGCGACGACGTGCGCATCCTCCGCGACATTGAATTGTATTACTCCACTCAGATCGATGAGATGCCCATGAACGGTAAGCGCTTCCGCCCCGTCAATCAAGCCGACAGATCATATGCTAATCACCTCCCTTTCAGTCGCCGATCTCCTTTCCTAATCTCTACGAGTCATCTATCTGCAATCTTCTTTTTTAAAAGTTCAAGTTGCGCTCGAGCTATGGATGTCCCGCAAATCAGTTGCTCACTAGCTGGCACCCTTCCATATCACTTCCCACCATGATCGAAAGAGAGCATCTAGGCTCTGGGCAAGACGGAAAGTCAACACTAGTGTGGAGGAAATGGGAAATTTACTAGTCTGGTAGGTCTTGTCGACATCCAACCCAGTCAACGCAGTGCTAACAAGACTCCAGTTATGTCACCATCAAATGACGCTTTTACAAGGGTCTTCTTTATCTTACGGTCTATTCGACGCCCGACCAGCGTTCTGTCGTATCTCTCTGTCTACTTTCTGCGGCGTTTGATCTTCGATCTTCATTTTCTGGGGCAATTCTAGCTTTTTCTGGGGTTTCTATTTCATAGTCAGGAGATACACTATTTTCCTTTTGTTCAATTTCCAAAACAATATAAAAAGCAGTCCGCTAGTTGGGTTAAGCCTTCTTCGGTTCCTTTCTGGTTTTCTCTGTTTATCATAGTGGATCTATTCGTGCATTGTTTCAGTCTGCAAAGCCTCAGCCACAATAGGACCCCAGCCTCAGCCGTCACTTGAGCACACTACACCTACTGCGCCGGCATCCACTAATGCTCAAAGAATCGGATCCATACCATGATAACCTTTCCAAGCTGGACGCAATGGCCCACGCATACTCACGGCACGAGAAGTCGAGACTGCACCGGACGGTAAAATTTGAGACATATCGAGCGAAATGAAAATAATGATAGTTGATACCTATAGTAAAGTAACTCATAGCGAGATATAAAAAAAAGGAAGGAATAAGCCAGACCCAAGTTTTCACTTCGCCGCCCAGGAACCAGTTCCTCGATTTGTCCCAAACCTTCATGAGCACCCAAACTGCGAAAACATCAAAAAGGAAAAGAGATAAAAAAAAAAACGAAGTCGAACGAATGAGGGTTCGGACGAGAAACCAGCATGTAATGTCGTTATATGTAGCATAGGCACGAGGTGCGATTGCGGTTGGCATGACTGCCGAGGTATGACAGAACAATGCTGGAGATGTTAAGTTGGAGGTTTGAGGGGGCGGGGTGGTTGGTCTGAAGGAATCGATGCGCAAGATATACGAATGTGTACCAAAAACAGTGGCGCCTGCACACCTTGATTATGTAGAATCACTGGAAAGACCAGAAAATGCTTATATGCAGGGATCAAAAGTGCATAGTGGTAGGGGATCTGGGAGAGATCGAGTGGAGATACCCGTGAAGATCGGCAGGGAGGTTCGATCCAAAGGATAGTTTCATCAACCGCTAGAAGAAGGTCGGTGTTTATGCCTCCATTGAGGTACAATAACAACATTCGGAAGAAAGCATTAGGAGTTTCTCCAGGAGAGGCTCCTTTAAAACCGTGATGTCGAGCGCAGAGCACTGGTGCGGGCAAACCCGTTCCCCGACACAGCCCTATGCTTAGCCGCTGCAGCACCCGGTCGTGTATCGCGTTCTTTGGTCCATCTTGAAAATAGTCAGCCTGGACTCTATCAAGTGTGGGGTAGATAGGGCTACGTCTTACATTCTGACCATGTAGTCATCGCCTGCTGAGGCGAACATCCCCGAATTAGCCGGATTCCATGATAATGAATTCACACAGCCCCGGGTATGCGCTTCCAGCACTTCGACGAGAGTTCCATTCTCTTTGTGCCAGATGTAAATACGAGAATCTGTGACGGGATTAGCCCAAACATCCAACAAAGGAGACAAATCCAAAACCCACCTTCGCTCCCGCTCACAATAAAGTTATCAGCAGCGCCTCCAAAGACGCTGCGGATGACGAAATTGCCCTGTTTCTGCCCCTGGAAGCGCCGTACCACTTCAGTCGTGTTGAGGTCAATAAGCTGCAGTTGATTGTCGGCCAGATTAACAAGCAGATACCGCGAGTCCTTGCTGACAGCCACCGACGTCGGCCTGCTTTTCGTTGTAAGGCAATATTCTTCATCACGCGTGGCAAAGTTGTAAACATGCAATTTTCCCTCCAGATCCGCCGCGACTAGTCTCCGACCGTCAGGAGTCATAGTACAGTCTTGTACCCTGAAACCACCATCCCAAGAGTGTAGGTTATGCCCGCGCATGCTCCAATAGCAAAGTTGCGTGCTAAGATCAAGAGAAGCCGTGACAAACGTCTCCCCGTCTGGAGCCCATGCTGCAGACGTTACTGGTTGCCGATGATGATTTATGGTTAACAGACAACGGCCGGTCTGTGTTCCGTGTTAGCATTGAGAAAGGAATGAGAGCATTACAAGGTGGAGAATTTACCTCGACACTCCATACGCGAGCTGTCTTGTCTTGGGAGCAAGTGATGAGTTTGGAATCGTCCGGACTGAATTCGCAATGCACAACACCATCTGTGTGCTCCTTGAGCGTGTGGAGCACAGTGAAAGTATCCGTGTCGTAGAGAATCACTGTGGAGTCCTTGCAGGCTGTGACCAGCCTGGTCCCATCATGCGAAAAGGAGCACCACCAGACTTCATCCCGTTGCTCGGTCAATTGAATCTCTGTCCGGAGAGGGAAGTCTTTTCGATCGCACATATGGTCCGAATATAAAGAGGGGGGATTTGCCGTATTGTGATACAAACATTGATTGATTTGATTCTGCTTGACGTGGTCTAGAAGAATAGCAAGACGATTATCCGGAATCATAACAGAAGGTGAAATGGACTCTGCAGAATTGTGAGTTAAGATTGATGGACTGGATTTGAGTTGCGACATACTTGATAATTCCGATAATAAACGTTCCCGAGAAGAGCTTATTGGGCTGTCCCAACCAGCTTGATCGTGAAGATGCTCAGGAGGGCACATGAGGAGGCTTTTTTATAGTAAGTTAGCGGCACATTTTCTGATCAATGGGAATGCTAGGTATAAGTCCTACCTCGAAAGAGCATGTAAACGACCAATGTCATAATTGAGAGGTGTTAGTTCATGCCGGAGAACTATTAAAGCCGCACCCAGATCACGAGCCTCCAACAGCTCCAGGAACTTTTGTTGTCTGAGATGGAAAAGCATTTCGTTCTTTTCGGCATGCTCCACTAATATTAATCTCTCCTTGGTGGGATGCTGCTCGGTGCGACGTCCTCCCCTGCCACTATCCCGTTCATAGTGAAATGAGTGGACCAAGATTTGTTCCGCTTCAGCCCATCGCCCCTCAAGAACCGCGTTCCTAAACGTAGCAACCGCCGGGCTTTCCAGTTGATAACCGCTCTCCTTACTCAACAATGATGCCGCTCCGTCATACCCAAGCTCGTAGAGACTCTGTATCAAGATCCTTGTAACCTCTTCCCGATCGTGACCAAAGTAGGTAGAGGAATTTAGCCTCGACTTTTGCGATCCGTTTGTATGCAAGTCTCCATTGGAGGTTGTATGCAAGGCTTGGCCGTTCATCGACAACGGGAATGCTGCCTTTTGCGATGGAGATGCAGGCGAACCATTAAGCGTATGGGAAGAGCCATTTGTACTAGATATCACATCGGGACGCATATTTGCCAGGCGCCTGCGCTTGGGAGATGGTGTGTAGCCCGCCGATGAGTCTTGTGATTGGATTGCTTGATGGCCGGCCTCGCTTGCCGTACCTCCCGCAAGACCTCCCGTACCCTCTGTTATCGGACCTCGAGAAGTAGGTGTTATACTTCGGCGACGTCGGCGAGACGATCTGGATGAGATGCCACTAGGACTTACTGTGCCAATCTGATCACCGATGACCGAGTTACGGAGGGGCGCTGCGGATAGGCCGCTCGTGGCGGAAGTGGTGCGAAGTGGCGGCGGGGATGCGAGGGGTGGAGGGGGATCGGGGTGGTCGGGAGCGGCGGAGGAGGGTATATATGGAGGAGGATTGTCTGCCAGTTCGAATGTTTCTGGATCTGCCCTTTCACCTGGCTCTGTTGGAGAACCAGGGGAGCAGACCTCTATCAGTGGCGGTTCACTGATGTTCGCCGAAGGTCAGTGTACTGTATGTACGTCTGCAACCTTGTCACAAGCCTCAGCAGTCTACCAATCTGCTTGTTGGAGAGCGTCTGTTAGTATACTCTGTATCGCATGGCGTTCAGATGAGCTCTGCCATGCGTGCTGGTCGGGAGCAAAGTGCTTCTTACAGTAGACAAGCGGAGAGGTCTTATCGGGCTTGGACGGGGTTAACTGACTCCTCCCACGAGAGGTCACCGGATAATGGGGAATGGAAGAGCTAGAAAGGTGTGAAGGGGGCACCGAAAACAGGTTTAAAAATGGCCGGAATGACCAAGCCAGAGATATGTAAGAACCTAGTAAGTGGAAAGGGAATATTATGGACGAGGGGAAGAGAAAACTTTAGGTGGGTTGATTGAGGAACAACTGGAGGATTAGAGCGGAGGTTGAGGTCGAGCACATCGGCGGCTGCTGGGTCTCACTGACCTGACTGAACTGTCTTCCCGTGGGGCTAAGCAGCCCCCGACAATCAATGCTTATTGAATGCCTGCCTGCCTGTCAATCTCACCCCCTCCCTCCCTCCCTCCGCCCCCGTGCTCTTTCTTCCATTACCCACACTGCCCAATTCATCAGACCCATAAACTAAACCATCATTTCGTTTGCCCATTTCAGTTTTGTACCTGGTCTCGAGGCTAAACATGCTTATACAAAATTTCAATTATCTGAGTAGCAGAGAGACTCGAAACAAAGAGGTCTATGGAATCCACTTGCTACCGAATCGAGTTAACCTACGGTACTTAAAGTTGCTAGTTACTATGAATGACGATATCCATGATACATACGGGGGTATGACGATACATGGAAAAAGGCAATCATTCCCGTAGTATAACTCGAATATGATTCATGTGTGATAAGCGATCAACACTAGTTCAGTCTGTATGTCTTCTACTACCTTGAGCTTCCTATAATATCTTACACACTACCTTGGTGTTTTTTCTTAGAAATCGTATGTAAGTCATGTACAGTATGTGTTTCAGAACCAGCGATAACCGAAAGCCCTTCCCAAGCTGGATTGGAGCAGAGATGCTTGCATCACCTGAACCCCCAAGACCTCTTCGATCAAGCAAGCAGCTGACACGCAGCTAACTCGGTTTCAACATACTCGCAAATGACACCATCTGATACTCATTGATTCTGAGGAAACACGAATTAGAGGGGGCACGACCACAGATCCGCAACTGATATTGGCCACAGATCATCCGCAGCCCGACACATCACCTGCACACCTGTCCGGCCACATGGAATGAGTTGTTCTCATGCCTTTTGTCTCTTTTGTCTCAGGGGCACGGAACTCTGATGAGCAATCGCTGATCGGATGCCTTATCTGTCTCTGTGACGGCTAGATATCACAACCACCGAGAATACTACTATGTAGAAAAGTAGGCGTGCCATGCAGGAGCCCGAGTCTGCCACTACGTTTCATTTGGCCGAGTTGCATGTCGTAGATGTACCCAACCGCCCGTTATGGCAAGTAAATGTGAAGAGACTCAAATGGACCGTATGGTACCACAAGCTACAGCCCAGGTGGAGGGGTTATGCTGGCCAATCCTGAGCCATGAGCTTCTTCCTCTTCCTCTTCTTCTTCCAAGTGTCATTGCTCCGGGTAGGCACTTAAGGCATAATTTACAGGCAATGTCGTCACTGCTGAGGCTGAGTGGCTTTTTATACCTCTTTTCAGAACAAGAAGCTTGACAACTACCTCTACTACGCTGCATAGTCTGAGTGAGACTCAAGTCTATATTTCACATTAGGACAAAACATAATGGGGGTGGGAGAACTATCTTCTTCGATTCGGATGAAAATTCACAAATCGAATGGCTCGAGAGACTCTTTCAAGGTCAGAAATAAAATGTTTGTCATTGTCTGATCAAATACCCGACATCTCTCACCGCTGGTTCTGATGCATGGTCCCGTCGGAAGTCCCTGGTGTCCTCAATACTCCGCAAATGGCCATGGTAAGTCGGTTTGTTAAAAAACAATGTTTGTCCCGGCCAGATATGAACAGCAGCGATCTATGGTATCTCATCATATACATATGTATCGGTGCTGCCTCTGCCTGTCATTAGAGTCGCAGGTTGACTTAACCATACGCAGCATTAAACCGTCGTCACTATGTTTTCCTGGCTTATCGTCGAATTCTCAAGACAAAATATACCGAGTTCAAAGCTTTACAAGAGCTTGCATGCTGAATATCTTGGGAACACACGAGAACCAGAAGCACCATGTACGTAACATATTTGCTTGGTCGGGAATTCGCCTTTCATACTACGCATTTACTGCATGATGTTCAAGGAGATTGTGTGATCGACTTGATATTCTTTCCGCTGGGCTGAATTGCAATGGCCAAGCTTGTTTATGCTATGAATCCCCCAACTTTATCAAAAGGAGCTATGTTGACATTCTCAGATGCAGGACTATATATGTATATGTAAAACTGGTTGCGACCTCCAACTGAGACCTCTAAATTGATCGATTAATTTCCTCATCATCCTCGGGAGGACAACCATTGGCTCTGCTTAGCCTGAGCCTCACTGATGTTATGTGAGGCTCCAAGCCGCCGTCTACCCCGGGCCTAAACCTCGAGAGAACCACTTACCCCAGTGCAAGTTTTATACAGAAATCAGGAACTTCGAGGACGATACAACCACTACCAATCGGACAGTAAGCCCGAATCTATGTGCGACACATGCGATCGGTTCGGCTTGACTCGGGTCTTTGTCTTCCCCGTCCATGACATAACCCGTCAACTGACCTCATCATGATTCAAGCCACGGCACCTACAAGTATATATATCGAGATAACTCCTTCGTCCCCAAGGTTCTCAGTCTATCATAAGCGTTGAAGCCAAAAAATCAGTCAAACGATCCAATAAATACATTTATCATTCCATTTAACCAAAATCTCGAACAACATGGGCTGCGATTGCGGTTCCGGAAACACCTGCGGATGCAGTGGACCTAGCAGCTGCACTTGTGGAAGCTCGTGCTCTTGCACGCAGTGCGGCGTACGTTGAGATCCTCTCTCCATGAATCTTACAAGGAACTTACAGGTATATATAGAAGTAAATCCTTGCAACCTATTGAATCCAGTCCAAACTGGTCACCTGAGTGATGAATCATGACGATAATTAATGGTGGAGGATGCGATTTGCCAAGGCGTGGAAATGTTCCTCTGATTATCATGTACCTTAGGACTAAATGACTTATATTATCAACCTATAAGTCTTCATCCCTAACGATGTAACGATGACCATTATGTCCAAAATCCTGTAGGCTGAGCTTCAAAGAGATCAAGAACCATTATCGAGCAGTAGGACATATGAAGAGACGGCAGACATGTTCGGTGGCGAGGGCTGTTATCTAGTGTCATAGACTCCGATGACCTTCTCTGAAGCGCAATCTTGTTTTGCCAAAAGGAAATCTATTCCCTGTATAGATTGTATGTATCGCAAGTATTGTAAGGTCGAAAAAGCCATCGAGCCTAGCGGTGATGCTATTGACAACGGCGAGCTAGTAATCCCATTGACCGGTGATCGTCCGTGCGGTCTCCAAGAACGGCTGAGTAAACAGGGTAGCCTGCACCGCCCCAGATATCCTTAGGGGAGCTTGGATTTCGAGACCTGAGGAAACGTTGATTCAATTGGGATTATGGTCGCAATAATTAACTTAGAGTCGGATGTTAGGATTAGGCGTGCCTCGACTTCGCACACGACCCTCGTTGCTGGATCTGATTGCCAGTCAAAAAGCCGCAGTGTTGTCGGAAGTTGGTTCGAGGTCGTCATCACCGCCTGAGCTAGAAGGCCAAAACCAGCAGTTGGAACTGCCACCGCTCCCCGTGTCGCCCACTTCATCATCCTGCAGCAGCGACAACAGCCTCTCCTCCCCTCTTTCTCCCATCTACCGCCGCCCCTCTTCCTCCACTCTCTCCATCCACGACCGTACTTCTCACAAGATGGCCCCCTCCGCTGCTGATGGCGAGAACCAGCATGGTTCCGTCTTCTCCGTCTCCGGACCCGTCGTCGTGGCCGAGCATATGATCGGTTGTGCTATGTACGAGTTGGTAGGTTCTCCCCGCAGCTCCTTCTACCCCATAACAGTGCACGAGGGACTCGCATGTCGATACAACCCCACACTTAGTCTCTATCGTCTCTGATAACCTCCGCAGTGTCGAGTCGGTCATGATCTGCTTGTCGGAGAAGTCATTCGTATCGATGGAGATAAGGCCACCATTCAGGTCTACGAGGAAACCGGTACAGCACCATTCATCTCCCGCTTTCCACCATCTCAATCTCTAACAATTTTCGCCATCAGCCGGCTTGACGGTTGGCGACCCCGTTCAGCGTACAGGCAAGCCCCTTTCGGTTGAGCTCGGGCCCGGTTTGATGGAAACGATTTACGATGGTATTCAGCGCCCCCTGAAGGATATCTCCGAACAGTCCAAGGGCATCTACATTCCCCGTGGTATTGCAGTCAATGCCTTGGATCGTGAGAGGAAGTGGGACTTCAAGCCCGGGAAATACAAGGTCGGCGATCACATCACTGGCGGTGACATCTGGGGCACCGTTTTCGAGAACAGCTTGGTGAACGACCACAAGATCATCCTTCCTCCCCGCGCGAGGGGTACTATTACCAGAATTGCCGAGGCTGGTAGCTACACGGTTGACGAGAAACTGCTTGAAATCGAGTTCAATGGCGTGAAGACTGAGCACAGTATGATGCACACCTGGCCCGTCCGTGTGCCCAGACCTGTGAACGAGAAGCTGGCCTCCGACTCTCCGTTCATTGTCGGCCAGAGAGTCTTGGATTCTCTTTTCCCCAGTGTCCAGGGTGGTACCGTCTGCATTCCCGGTGCCTTCGGATGCGGTAAGACTGTTATCTCTCAGAGTGTGTCCAAGTTCTCCAACAGTGATATCATCGTCTACGTGGGTTGCGGTGAGCGTGGTAATGAGATGGCTGAAGTGTTGATGGATTTCCCCGAGGTTTGTCGCTTTCCCCGCAAGAGCCCCATCAATTACTGATCAACGTCTTTTTAGCTCTCCATCGACATCGACGGTCGCAAGGAGCCTATCATGAAGCGTACCTGCCTGATCGCTAACACCTCCAACATGCCTGTCGCCGCCCGTGAAGCCTCTATCTACACCGGTATTACGATCGCCGAATACTTCCGTGACCAAGGAAAGGACGTGGCTATGATGGCGGATTCCAGTTCTCGCTGGGCCGAGGCTCTCCGTGAAATCTCCGGTCGTCTGGGAGAGATGCCTGCTGATCAGGGTTTCCCCGCCTACCTTGGTGCTAAGCTTGCCTCCTTCTATGAGCGTGCCGGAAGGAGTATCGCCCTCGGAAGCCCCGAGAGAACCGGCAGTGTCAGTATTGTCGGTGCCGTCAGCCCTCCAGGTGGTGATTTCTCGGACCCTGTTACCAGCAGCACTCTCGGTATCGTCCAGGTTTTCTGGGGTCTGGACAAGAAGCTGGCTCAGCGCAAGCACTTCCCTTCGATCAATACGTCGATCTCCTACAGCAAGTATACCACGGTTCTGGACCGGTACTACGAGAAGCACCACCCCGAGTTCCCTCGTCTGCGTGATCAGATTCGTGAGCTTTTGACCAAATCGGAAGATCTGGACCAGGTGGTGCAGTTGGTCGGTAAGGCGGCATTGGGTGACTCGGATAAGATCACCCTGGATGTGGCTGCCATGGTCAAGGATGATTTCCTGCAACAGAACGGCTACAGTGACTACGATCAGTTCTGTCCTCTCTGGAAGACCGAGTACATGATGAAAGCTTTCATGGGCTACCATGACGAAGCGCAGAAGGCCGTTGCCCAAGGTCAGAATTGGGCCAAGGTTCGCGACGCCACGGGCGATATCCAGACCGCTCTGCGGAACATGAAGTTCGAAGTGCCAGACAACGAGGCGGAGGTGTCTAACAAGGTGAGTCCGATTCTCTTGCATGCCACGACGTAATAACTCTAACTCCTTCCAGTATGAGAAGATCCTCCAAACCATGTCGGAGCGTTTCGCTTCGGTGTCGGATGAGTAGAGGATATCAACACGTCCGGGAGATGATCTTCAGGATCGTGTCGTCATTTCTTTCTTTTGAATTTCAAGAGCTTTGTAGCATAGCAAATTCCCATTATCTGTAGTTATTGCAGTTTCGTTGAAGATCTTCCAGAAAATTCCTTTTGCCCAACAATGATAGATTTTGAGCCCATTTGAGTCAGTGGTCAGGCAGCATCATTGTTTGGCCGGTTTGGGTGGCCAGAAGCACATGACGCGTCCCAGTGAATTCGTGGTTTTGCATTATGACATTCAAGAGAAAGAAGTTTTGTTGCTGCTTCCAACTGTGTATTTTGTAGGGGTAGAGATACATTGATTAACAGCAAGGCCTTGAATCGCCACCACTGGTAATATTCTTTATGCTGTTGTGGCTTTGTAGTAGCTGTTGTATCGATCTTTATCTCTGATCTGGGCCGAAGCGAAAGGCTACACTTGGCACTTCCCGTCGCCGCCGCCGCCTTCGCTCACTCCGACACTCTTCCCCCTTCAACTTAAACCCTCCCCCCCCCACCATTCACAGCTACTACGCTTAACAGGCATTCATTCATACACTCGATTCCATACACTTGATTGCTGTCTTTTTATCAGACGAAGCTTCCTTTTTTAATTTGGAGCGATTCCCTAAATCATCATTGCCAGCCATGGCAAGCCCAACTGGCTTCTCGTGCGCAATCCCCCCTCCCCCTTGGGCCCTCGTGCTCTCGATGTTAGCTTGACTGACTGACCTCGCTTGTCGGACAGGATAAATGTCAACGATCCCAGCTTGATCTCCCTGGTCAATAAGCTGCAGGATGTCTTCGCTACTGTCGGAGTAAGTGATTGCTGTTTCGTGGAGCTCTCATGCGGCCCCTCCGCATACTGACACCGCTTGTTCTGTTTAGGTTCACAACCCCATCGACCTGCCTCAAATCGCCGTCGTCGGTTCGCAGTCTAGCGGAAAGAGTTCCGTCTTGGAGAATATCGTTGGCCGCGATTTGTAAGTGACCCTGACTGTCGCCATCGCAACCACTGTCGCATTCGCTGACTATCAACCCTGCCCCCCCCCCCCTAGCCTGCCCCGTGGTTCCGGAATTGTCACTCGCAGACCCCTCATTCTGCAACTGATCAACAAGCCCGCTGCCAACGCACAGACCAACAGTGTGAAGGAAGAAGAGTTGGAAGGCACGGATAAGGAGGCAAACGTGGACGAGTACGGCGAGTTCCTGCACATTCCCGGCCAAAAGTTCTACGACTTCAACAAGATCCGCGATGAAATCGTGCGCGAAACCGAACAGAAAGTTGGCCGCAATGCCGGCATCTCGCCCGCCCCGATCAACCTCCGCATCTACTCGCCCAACGTTTTGACGCTGACGCTGGTTGACTTGCCCGGTTTGACCAAGGTGCCGGTGGGTGATCAGCCCAAGGACATCGAGAAGCAGATTCGGGACATGGTCATGAAGTATATCAGCAAGCCCAATGCTATCATCCTTGCTGTCACTTCCGCTAACCAGGATTTGGCCAATTCGGATGGCTTGAAGCTGGCGCGCGAGGTGGATCCCGAGGGTCAGCGCACCATCGGTGTCTTGACCAAGGTGGATCTGATGGACGAGGGCACCGATGTCGTGGATATTCTTGCGGGCAGGATTATCCCCTTGCGCCTGGGTTATGTGCCGGTGGTCAACCGCGGTCAGCGCGATATTGAGAACAAGAAGCCCATTGCGTATGCGCTGGAGAACGAGAAGAACTTTTTCGAGAACCACAAGGCTTATCGCAACAAGTCGTCATACTGTGGAACGCCCTATCTTGCCAGGAAGTTGAACTTGGTGCGCATAGCTCCCTGGTGCATGACTCCATGTGCGCTAACCATGCCATAGATCCTCATGATGCACATCAAGCAAACGCTTCCCGACATCAAGGCCCGCATCTCGTCCTCTCTCCAGAAATACTCTTCCGAACTTTCGCAGCTTGGCGACTCGATGCTCGGCAACAGCGCTAACATCATACTGAACATTATCACCGAGTTCAGCAATGAGTACCGCACTGTGCTGGAGGGTAACAACACCGAACTTTCGAGTATTGAGCTGTCCGGAGGTGCCCGTATCAGCTTCGTGTTCCACGAGCTCTACTCGAACGGTGTCAAGGCAGTCGATCCTTTTGATCAGGTGAAGGACATTGATATCCGTACTATTCTCTACAACTCCTCCGGATCGTCACCAGCTCTCTTCGTTGGCACGACCGCTTTCGAACTGATTGTGAAGCAACAGATCAAGCGACTGGAGGATCCTAGCTTGAAGTGTATTTCCCTGGTGTACGACGAACTCGTCCGCATTCTTGGTCAGCTTTTGAACAAGCAGCTCTTCCGGAGGTATCCTATGCTAAAGGAGAAGTTCCATGCCGTGGTCATTGGATTCTTTAAGAAGTGCATGGAGCCGACTAACAAATTGGTTCGGGATCTTATCGCTATGGAGACGGTTTACATTAATACTGGCCACCCTGACTTCCTTAACGGACACCGCGTAAGTTATTCGCACAATCTCTGTAGCTGAGCGATACTGACTGATCAGGCCATGGCTATTGTCAACGAACGTCAACTTGGAAGCAAGCCTACGCAAGTAGACCCCAAGACCGGCAAGCCTCTCCCTCCGCGGGCCAACAGCCCTTCGGTCGAGACCCCTACCGACACCGGCAGCTCTGGGTTCTTCGGCAGCTTCTGGGCCTCGAAGAACAAGAAGAAGATGGCTGCTATGGAGCCGCCACCGCCCACTCTGAAGGCCTCTGCCGCCCTGTCCGAGCGGGAGAGCAGTGAAGTTGAAGTTATCAGTGAGTACTGTTCAATAGTTTTGCAGATTGGATGCTTACACAAAACAGAGCTGCTCATCACATCTTACTTCAACATTGTCAAGCGCACCATGATCGATATGGTTCCCAAGGCCATCATGTACACCCTCGTCCAGTAAGTTCGATCCTACGAGCGTTTTATATTTGTTACTAACACAGAGCCAGATTCACCAAGGATGAGATGCAGCGCGAGCTCCTGGAGATGATGTACCGCAACAACGAGTTGGATGAACTCCTCAAGGAGAGCGACTACACCATCCGCCGGCGGAAAGAGTGCCAGCAAATGGTGGAGAGCCTATCCCGCGCTAGCGAGATTGTCAGCCAGGTCCAGTGAGTCCCAGAGTTGGATGGTTGATTTCACATTCATACACCCGGTTGCTTTCTGTTGTCCTGGTAGCCAGCCTTTTTGGAGGGGCTCAGTCTCTTGCGGGGAGTTGATGATGCCTTACGTTTATATTTTCTTCTGATGCAAGAATTCCACGGCCGCATGGTGGATGAACGGTTGCCAAGATTTGACGAATTTGTATCGCCTAATGACTGCGGATGATTGCGGCTTGTTTAGAATTGAGACTATTTTGCAGATTAGCAGTTGCAATGTACAGTAACTCAAGAGGAGAACCCGTACTGTTCAGGCTTGATGTTTAGAAGCATGCTCGCTCAGGATGGGTAGCAGCTCTACCTACAATGGTCACAGGCTGAAGCTTATTAGTGGATGATTATAGTAGTACTTCTACGACTGCCTTGACATAAACCAGCTTTGCTGAACGTTTAAAATATCTACAAGAATATGCTAGGGCAGTCCCCGTCAAATCTGTTCTGGTGAAGTATGAACTGTACACATGTCCTTGCCAGTGAAAGGGATGCATTGCTAAATTGTTAGGTGCAGTGGTGCAGTGGGTGCTGTGCCAGGCCCGGGTGCATGCGAAAAGGGGCTTAGCGTACCAATGAAGTGGGTCACTATCAGATAAGCCCATGTTTAGCGTGGCTCGCGTGGCCAATAGCCGCTCGGCCCGGTGATCCGAAGTATATCACTGTAGGTGCCATGTTGCTGGGTAGACTATGTATGAAAGGGATAATCATATCTACGCAAGATAGCAAGCAGAAGAATAGAATGAAAAAAGCTGGTTTGTATGTCTTTAGTTAGAAGTGTCAAAGATTGAGTAACACGCTGTAGTGAGTGTAATTACCATCAGGCAACGATCACAAGTGACGAGCTGCCTTTCACTTCTCTTCTCCTCTTTCTTCCTCTCCCTTTCTCACTTTTGTTTCCTCTTCATCTCCCACACTCCTTTCCCTGTTCTCTGTAAAACTTCATCTTTTCTTTCATCTCTCTCAATCTCATCTCACCTTGAGCATCTCATCATCTCCCGCTTGTTTCAAACCCAAGAAGTGAAACCAAGTAAGTCAACACTCACCGTAACCACAGATCACATACTGATCCCCTCAAGCATGTGCTTCGGATACAAATTCCCGGTAATCTCCACCAGGTGCACTCAGGAGGTCCGTCATCTCGCTTGGAAAGAGATTTACTTCCAATGCCGTGACCGGTGCGACGATTCGACGAACTTCCAGCCGTACGTACCCCACACCTTACATTCTGTGAAAGCCCCTGCTAACTCACCTCTTTCCTCAGTTGTGAGCAGAACAGTATGCAGGACTTTGTTTCAGTGGGCAGCTTGTATATAAGGAACGCCCCATGCCGCCTCTGCCAATGGGATTACAAGGCCGAAGGCTTTGATCCGAGCAACGGTGCGAGGCTGTGCCAAGTGAGTTCTCTCTCTCTCACCTTCCTGCTTGCCTTTTTCTCAACAAAGAATAGACACACTGACCAAAACCCCCCATCACGGGAGAAACAGGTCATCAAGCGTCCTCACGATTACGAATTCAACTGGATCATGGAATACATGAGCGACCTCGTCCCCGTCGGCTCGCGGGCCATCCCTCCAGTCGAGACAGCCAAGAACCCTCGCAGTATGGTCGATTACTGGCTGGCCGTCGAGGACCCAGAGGTCGATGATGACACTGATGACACTGACGACTTCGAGGCGTCCGAGGACGACGTCGCTGATGATTTCGACTTCGTCACCGATGAGGACTACACTTCTGACTTCGAGGTGCTTGATGAGTTCGAGCTGTAAGCGGGCTTGATCGTTTATCGTTCATCGTTCTTTGCTCTTGATTGCGTGCTTACGCTGTACTTCAACACCCCTCTGGTCTGCTCTTGGCGAGCTCTGTTGGGTCTTGATGTTCTCAGCGAGCATGACTTTATGTCGTTTTGCTTGTTCTGTGGCTTTTGTGGTTCATTGGGGGTGTTGGCTGAAGGATACGGCTGGGTTAGCTATGGCTCCTATCTTGTCATAGGGTATGCATGGCTGGTCAGTCGACATGAAGCTTTGGTGTTGATGATTATTCTTCTCATATCCTCTCCTTGTTTCATCTGGTTTTTATCTCAGTCGAAGATGGGAGAAGTTTGTGTCTGGCTATGGCTTCCACCTTGTCGTGGGGTATGCATAGTCCGGCTGTGGCTTCTGACTATTTTCGCTGCTTTGCTTCTGTTTCTATTTCCCAATGGTTGCCAATCTGGCTTCATTAGTGCAACAGTTGTGACACTGGACATGACATATTTGTGGTTGGATTCAGGCCTTTGGAGTTCGTCTCGGCCGTGTTTCTGAATATCTCTGGAGAAAGTCACATAGCTAGCCATAATCCAACAACGTTGCAAGTTTGCACCCACTCTCTCAATCTGCAACCATCTCCTCTAATCTTAAATAAGACAGTCTATGCAATCGAAGAATGTCTATACGTATAATGCCACCCCTCCCTCTCCATATCCCCACGGACCTTGTAATTCTCCTCCGCGATCCTCACCAGCCCCAAATCCATATCCACCACCAGCACCCCTTCCTCATCGCCCATCTGCCCCACCGGCCCAACGACCGGCAAAACCACCCGCGAGAGACCCATAAACTTGTCCTCCGGATCCTGGCCCCGCGCGACATTGGCAAAGATAATCCCGCAGGTATTCTCGAAGCACCGCGCCGTGAGGGTCGTCTCGAGGAACAATTTCTCCGACTCCGGGTTATGTTTCAGCATCGCGGGCGAGGCGTCGTAGCGACTCCCTATCGTAAAACCCCCCTCATTAGCCATGTCGCTTTTCTAAGAACAACAAAAACCACCCCTCCCACCCTTTACCGAATGGGCGTAGCCACCCAACCCACTCACACCCCCCCCCCAAAAAAAACAAAGAAAAACAAAGAAAAAAAGACAACTCACAAAAAGTCGGCAAAATCACCACCTCCGCGCCCTTGGAGATCAACTCGCGGAAGGCCTCCGGGAACGCCAGATCCCAACAGATCAGTAGCCCCACCTTCCCCAGCGGCGTGTCGAACACCTCGTGCGGCTCCTCCCCGGATGACGTCAGATACTCGCGCTCCGGGTGCCAGATGTTCTTCTTGCGGTAATGGCCCAGAATGCGGCCGTCGTGGGAGATGAAGTACGCCGTATTGTAGAGGAGGGCGTCCTTTTTGCTTGCATCGGTGGGGTTGGGGCTTTTGGTGAGGTTGGTGGTCGCGGGCTGCGGCTCGTGACGTTCGACGATTGTGCCGGGTACGATGCAGATGTGCAGGTCGCGGGCGAGGGCTTGGTAGGCTTGCAGGTATTTCTGGGTGGAGGCCGCGTGGTCGAGCCAGAGGGGGTCGGAGGGGGCCCAGCCGTTTAGGTGGTATCTTTTTTGTTTTGGATGGGTTAGTTGGTGGGTTTGGGGATGGAAATGCCCGGGGAAGGGGGGTTGTGCGGGGGTTTGAGGTATAGGGCGAGAGAGCGTATGCATACTCTGGGAGGACGGCGAGCTTAGCACCTTGGGCTGCGGCTTCGCGGATGTAATCGCATGCTTTGCGGTGGTTTTCTTCGATGGCTAGGTCCTGCGAGATATGGTTGGTGAGATGTTGCGATTTCTGAGGTAGCTGGGCGACGTACCTGGATGTTCCATTGAATGACGGCTACTCGATGAGTGGGTGCCATTGTGCGTTACAGTGATGTGAGGGATAAGAAGAAGAGATCAGAGTCTTGCGGAATGCGACGAAAGAGAAAGTCATGATGTTCACCCAGTGCCGGGTGGAAGTTGGAGGTTGGAGATGTGGAGTCATTGAGTTCCCCGCGTTGGAGTCGCCTTGATAAGAGCGGGGTGTGTTTATGTAACTCTTTCCTTCCCTCTGCAACTTTCTCCTGAACTTCGAGATAAGACAACATCAAACAGGATGCTTTCGTATTTGAATTGTTATGAATGACCGACTAACTATCACTACTGACTGATTTGTCTTCAACCGCAGATGGAAACATCTGGAGGTGCAGGGGGTTTTCAAACGCGCCAGCCATGTCATGAAGCTGATCCTTTCCCAGGGATGAAGACCTCTTCGCCTTAACTCAAAATCAATTCGGACGAGAAACCACCCCAAGCATCCAGAACCCGCCACTGTTGAGAATGCAGATTCTCGTGCCGCCGGCTCTCCAGAATCCAAGGCCAGTGAAGTTGCCATTGGCCAGGTGGCAAGACCCTACAAGGGGACTGGAGTTGGACCTCCCCACGATAGTCGAGTAGCTCGAACAATGGCTGTTCGATCAGTGGCTGGATGATATACATAGTGCGACCTGGTTCAAGATCAGGGTCGCGAAGATCAAGCAAGAGACTTTCCCACTGGGAGACGGACAGCTCCCTACCGAGCAGAATTCCGTCCCCTCGACCACTCCGAACCGGCTTGATGATGTACTTGTCTTTATGAATCAGGGATCGGCTCTGCTGGCCGATCAACTTGCTCAGCTCCGGAGACCCAGGGTTGATGGTAGGTACGACGCCGTGCCGGAGGATCGCTGCTTGGTCTGGTGTAAGGACTTGCTTGCTGACAAGGCCGTCAAGCTCTTGGAGGAGCACCCCAAGGATCCGCTTGGTCGTGAATAAGAAGAACGCTTCCCAAATCATTGACACAGTGCAACGTCATGTGTCGTAAGATGTCTGTCGGGATGGAGCGCAGTTCATGCTGGAACAGATGAAGCCCGGTTTGGTACACACGGTCCAGACGCTCCCCGTCTGTGCTGACCATGTCAGGACAGTCCTTGTCAGACAGACAGTAAAGGTCAAATCCAGTGCGAGTTGTTACTCTTGATCAAGCGAAGGTCTGCTGGCTTGATTATAGTCGCACTAATTCTTCCACTTTGTTCAGCAAAGGAGACGAACATGTCAATGAAGGGCGTTCGATACTGGTCGCGCACAATATGTATTGGGTACTTCGGATCGAAAATATCTAGCTGACTCTTGATAAACTGGGCCATAGTCAGAACACCATAGTTGCTCACAAGGACGAAAGCCCTCTACATACCTTTCGTGCGTCTGCACCTGCAAAGACACAGCCTCTTTCAGCCGCCATCTCCTCGTATATCTGATAGCCATAGGCTGCAAGGTGCTGTGCATTGATGGAGTATCGTGCGTTGATCTCACAGATCTTGACAGTACCTGGGTGATTCGAAGGAAGAAGAAGATCAGATCGCCAGTGTCCCTGACAATCTCTGAAAAGTCTCAGATTGTTCGCTTCAGACTGCTCATGCAACCACTAAGTGGGAAGGTCAGCACCGCTGCTAAAGGTCAAGTTGATGAGTGTCTCACGTGCAGAAGGTCTTTCTCATGTGGTTCCAGTGGCATCCTTTGGGGGAACGCAGCCTGTTCGTCGGTCCACCAAGTGTCCACGATGCTGCTAAGTCCGCCGACTAGTGCCTCGTGAAGCTTCGCTACATTCCTTTGAAGTCTTTCAGGTAAGAGAAGCGGGTTTGGAGAGTTGTTGTTCACATTTCCCCGACAACCGCTAGAGAGAGACTCGAAGTACGTTCTAAAAGTCTGGTTCTGTCTATGCTGTACTTCCTTCTGGGCAGATTTCGGAGCCACAGGGTCTGCTGGACTTATTGTTGAAGCCAGACAAACCTGATGGATGCCGTATTGAGTGACCATCTTAAATTGCTTTACTGAGATGTGCGATTGTGCAAGCATTCGCACTCAGCTCATAGCTTCGTTCTCTGGCCCTGTTTAAGTATCTTGCCAACCCCTATTTGGAACGTTGTCTTAAATCAGAAGCATCTTTTTGCATTGACATCGCCACCTTGCCATTTCTCGAATACACGGCATACTCTTCTCGAGGGCTCGCAGTTCTATGGCGCTTTGCGCTTTTTCAGCGGTCAGCGACTGAGCCGTCGACATCTGAATCCTCGGCAAAGCAATGCGAAGTGTATCCTTTGTACTGAAGCAGGAATAGAGTCTAAAGAGTGGTCCATCTCGCCCCTCGGCCTCATATTACTTCCTTGATTGACTTGCTCTGGCTCGAGAGAGCTTGATTGCGTGCCCCAAGACCCCTATGAGATCGAAATGTCAGTCTCACGATATCACGGATTGTTTAAAACCAAGTGGCATCCTTTGCAATTGTGAATTGAAGATCCCGACCTGAGCACTCTCGCTTCGGACTGCCATATTGTCCTTTCGTGAAGATGATCGATTCCCCGCACTTGAAGGTTAATCCGACATGAGATTGAGGGATAAGTTCAGTCGAGAACCAATTTAGAGCTCTGACCCCAGGGACAGTCGTCAGGCTATCAGGGGTGCAATCAGCGTAATTTATTCGACATCTGTTGAACAATGAAACCTGGATTGAGCGACCGGCAACAGAGGAAGGATTGTGCACGGATAGGTCTCACAAGACCTATCCGTGTGTTACTATCACGAGACATAGTAAAGTTGCCGGACAGATGGTCCCTCAGGTATCCAGGACATCAAGATGACGTGGTTATCGCGATAACGAAAAAGAAGCAGTCGGGCATCAGCACTTTAAAACAGACACCAGGCCCAGAATGGAATATCAGGAACTGGTTCAGGTGGATCCGACCAGCGAGGCAAATCAAGGCCTCGGCCAATTGCCAAGCAATGAGGACATGTGCGCACTTGCCTCATTGCCTCTACATAATTTCCACCGGCACGTCATTCTTTCCGCCTTGTACATCACCACATTCCGCACACCTCCATCGAGTACTATACGCTTCATCAGTACTTTGGAGCGATGGCACCTCTCACAGCAGAGGAGCTCGTCAAGCATCCGGCGTACCCTACAGTCGAATGGGAACTCACCCCAACAACATCCGGGAAAAAAGCAGTGGCCCAGACCCGCCGTGGAGGGCCGATCAATCTGCACTATGAACTTCACGGCACTGGCCCAGTGAAGCTCGTCGTAAGTCTCAAGTGTGATTTTCAACTCATCGGGGTTCAACGGTGGTACTGACACAGACCGCGCAGTGGATTATGGGCCTTAACGGGACCCTGAAGGACTGGCGACGCCAGACCAGGTACTTTGGGCACAAGCACGGGTCGCGATACACCTGCTTGGTGTTTGACAATCGCGGCGTCGGCCTTTCAGACAAGCCGGTCTCCTACTACTCGACCTCCGAAATGGCCCAGGACGTGGTCGACCTGGTGAGCTCGTTGGGATGGATCGACCTGACCGGTCCGCCCGAGCGATCCATCCATGTTATCGGCGCTAGCATGGGCGGTATGATAGCCCAGGAGGTCGCGATGCTTATCCCTGATCGCCTGGCGAGCTTGATGCTGAACTGTACGGCACCGCGGCTGGTGCGGACAGGCCCTTTTGTGGAGAACCTGCGGCAGCGGGCGAACATGTTCATCCCTCGCCACATCGATGTGGAGCTGGAGCGGCTGGCGAAGAGCATTTTTGCCGACAAGTTCCTCGCGGAGCCCGACACTGAATACGAGGACCCCGCGAAGAATTTCCCGACCAAGCGTGATCGCTTCGCTGCGGGCGTTATCCAGAAGCGAGCCAACACCGACGAGTATACCAAGAAGGGTTTCTTGATGCAGATTGTCGCCTGCTATTTCCATCACAAGTCAGCGGCGCAGCTGAAGTCCCTTGGGGATCGAGTAGGCAGAGACCGCATCGCGGTGACTCATGGCACCAAGGACTTGATGCTGACGTTTCGGCACGGGGAGATCTTACGCGAGGAGATCGGTGATGGGATCACCTGGAGGGCTTTTGAGGGGAGTGGCCACATGCTGGGTTGGGAACGAGAAGACGAAATGCACGAGTTGATTGAAGAGATTGTGAACCGATGCAGTTAGAGGGTGATCTTGGGCAAGAGCATACACCATTTCCCCGCATGACTGAATTAACGACTGTACATTAGACTAAGATTATATTCTGATGATGAATTAGAAATGCTGACAACTTTCCCCAGATATCGGAAGGTACAGGACAGTACGCAGTAGACAGGTCGCAGTGACTGGTGGCGACTCGTATAGCTGCACTGACTGCACGTAGCTGAAACCCTCGTGACCAGCCACACCAGACACACCAGCGGTCAGCTGCTGCTCATCAACTGCATCTCATCTCATCCCATCCATCTCATCTTACCTCAACACCAATCATCACCTCTCCTCTCCTTCCATTCATTCCACAAACTCACTGATTATAATACAACAACAGCAACACCCAACCCCGTTTCCTGAAGAACTTCCTGGCTTCCTCACCTCCTCACCTCCTCACCTCCTCACTCATTTACACACCCTTACCATATGATAGATACCACAAAGCAGAGACCATGCCGCCCCATCCCAAAGACGACAGCTACGAGCCCGCCTCATCCAGCGATGCCCGCTCGCCCTGCCCGGTGCTCAACAGCCTGGCCAACCACCACCGCCTCCCGCACGACGGCCGCAACATCACGGCGCCGCAACTCCGCTCCGCGCTGGGCTCGATCGGGCTGGGCGCCGACGTCTCCGCGCTGCTGGTGTGGCGGGCCTTCACGATCCACAGCGACGACTCCGAATTTGGGCCGCACGGCTCCATCGGCGGCCTCCGCGACGCCACCGACCTCAACGCCGCGGGGGAGCCGGTCCTCCACCTCGACAAGGTCGGCCGCCCGCACGCCATCGAGCACGACGTCTCCGTCACGCGCCAGGACCGCGCCCTCGGCGACCCCATCCCCCTCGACCCCGCCCTCTACGAGCAGTTCCTCGGCTCCACCCCGCGCGGCGGCTTCGGCGTCCCCGAGCTCGGCCGCTACCGGAAGGTGCGGTACGCCGAATCGCTGAAGAGCAACCCTTCCCTCAAATTCGGGCGCCGTGAGCACTACATCGCCTGCGGGGAGTTGGCCGTGCTGCGGTGTTTGTTCGGTGAGGGGGCGGGCAAGGGGATCCCTAAGAGCTATTTGCAGGCGCTGTTTGGGGAGGAGCGCTTGCCGTTGGAGGAAGGGTGGAGGCCGAGGCGGTGGGTTAAGGCGTTTTTGCCCGAGGCTGCTGCGGTCATTCTTGGGATTTCGAGGTATGCCTGGCCATTTTGAGGGGGTTATTGGGTTGAGGAGGGGAGAGGGTGGGCAGGTGGAGATGGAGGGTCAGGATGTTGTTCTAGAGCCGGGTTTGCGAATCAGGGAGCCTGGATTATCAAGTGACTTGATACGTGGTGTTGCTGAGAGGCTGAAGGTTTATCTGTTCAGCTCGTATGGATTGCGCCTCAGGGTTCAGCCGTCTGGCAAGTATAGCCGACCCGTGCGGGTGTGTTGGCTGAGCTGCTTATCTCACGGCTGCAAGTGGTCGGTATATCAGACTGGACTACATGATGGGACGACTGCTCAGCATTGACGTGGAAAGTTCGTGCACTACCGTATCTGAAAGCAGATTTCGGGCAGGCCGGATGGGAGTCTCGGCTGAGAGGTAGAGTATAGTATAGCCTGAAGAGTACCTCGTGTGTCTACGGCGTTCTCGGCCAGCTTGGCGAACGCTTGTCTCGTGTGACGTTCCTATTTAAGCTTCTATATCGTGTTCAGATGGTGTGTATGGCTTGAGTTGTGAGGTATCTTATCAACATGTCATCTCCGTTGCAGAATCTCCTACGGCTTACGCTATTGGAGCACCTCGTCCATGAGTTGCCTCACTGGGAAACACTGGAAGTGCTTTGGTTACAATTAGCGAGTATTTACTTGTGATGCTGCAAATGATCGATCCCACAATATAGGATGCCAATCACGTTCTTCCCTGGTGCTCGGAACTCAGCTTCACATGCTTGGGTCAGCAGCCGTGGGTTGTACTATCAGACTTTCAACCTTGTGGTAGATATCTAAACAGCTTACAAGGTCGGTGCCTAAGCATGTCTCTTCTGTGGACTCGGTGGGTACGTGATGCATGGCCACAAGACGGGAGCTCATTATGCTCTTCGTACGGTCAATACACTAGAAGAGTCCATCGCCTGGCGAGTCATGCAAATGCCCCTTTGGTCCAATAGGTTGAGACTCGAAGGTTCTGCCAATGATGTGCCCAGTGTTGAGATAAGCATTCTCCTTCTGATATAAATAACCTTTGTACTCGGATGACAGCACCTTGAACCAATGGCTTATCACTCTCCTTAAACTCAGACGGAACACCAATACCACTTCAGCGTAGAGTTAGCAACAAACAGGCAACAGCAGCAAACACCTCTTTTGCTCAGTACTATCCTTCGAACCCCCCTATACGGTAGACAAATGTGACCTGTCGCACCAACCGCGTCATCACAACCACCATACACTTGGCTTGAGTATCTCACAGGGAACACTTCAGTAAGGTCTTACAGCTAAGACCGCTACTATAATCATACCTCTCCACCGTTCTCACACAGTCTCCAAACCACGCAGTCTCCAGGCTCCATTACGCAGGAACAGACCCCGATCAGCGGAACAACGCCTCACCTTTCCCCCTTCATCGAACAACTTTATTCCCCGAGGTCAGAGGCTACTGCAGGAACGCGCTGGGTGAAGGATCATCAGGGGAGGTGGTGGCCAGTTGCCACCACATGGAGTACGCGCGTCGAGTTGCGATCACTGCCCGGATGGATTGGTGAGGAATGGGCTTTACCCCTGCAGGATGCATGAGATTGATCCTATACATCGGAACAAGCTGTGAGTAAGCTTTGCAGAATTGATGTGAGGGTCGATTATGATGATTGATTGTTTGGGTGATTGCTTGTATCTTGTTGGTGGTGGATTGTATGGCTTAGGATGAGGGAGAGCTTTTAGCATTGGCGGATGATGGATGTGGTAGGCTACATCTACTCCAGTATAAAAACAGTACGTAAGCTACATCTGCTAAGCAGGGTACCTAAGTAAAGTACAGCAAGAAATCTACAGTACCTAGGTGATACTACCTGATTGGGGTTTTACTACAAGCTTGAAGCAACTGCTTCGGAGTAGGTCGCCGCCGCCGTACCTTCCGATCGAGTAATATTCACAAGCAATATCAAATCCTACAAAGCGGTCGATCTCAACCACTCTTACATCGATATTCCATCTATCCTGCTCCATTTGTGTTGCACTAACCTTTCTCAACCTTCTCCAACTATTCCAACTCGGATATAGTCACATTTCGTCATCGAGACTGGATAAACATCAATAGATTGTGTCGATCGATCCAACCGACTCCCACAGATTGCTCTCTCTCCTTGCTGTTTCCCCTCGAAAGCGGATAATCCGCTGGATCCAGAGCGTTCGGAGAATAATCCTCCTGCCAACGCAGTCTCCACCCAACGATGAACAAGTCATAGCAAGGCTCACAGACGTCATTTACATGCGGCCTGCCTGGCCTGGTAGTCTCGATAAGCCATGATGGCAACATTTGCTCGAGTTATGGCTATGCTCACTGCATCGAGATCAGGCTGACAGCAAGTCAACAACCATAATCACAAGGCCAGCCCCCTCGGAGATCTTCAGTCTGTGCCCTAAGTCATCTATAAGCTACGTTCTATACTAATATGTACTGTGTAGTCCAGTAAGTACACAAGATATTTCCCCGCATCATGGCCTACACTAGTCACGACATCTCTAGCGCAGGTCGCACCATCACCTGGTCAACTGCGGCAAGCAAGAAGAGCATCAAGCAAGCAACAATCCATCTTACCCTCGTGAGATGATCATGGTATCAGTCGATCCCGCGTTTCTGGGCGATTTCTGGGCGACGGCTTGAACCGAGTTCGAAGGAGGAATGTGATGAGGGGAAACGATGGGATTACATAAGTCCAATGAACAAGGCTGTGCAACCCCTTCCTTCGATCGCCCCCCAAACTGGTAACCAAAAAGATGCAGAAGTACCCAAGATATCATGACCAGATGCAAGGGCTCTCTCACCTCACTGTTGATGCGTTGCTGCTGACCGTTTCTCGAAGACTACCCCAATGTCAGGAACGGTTGGTTTGCCTGGGTATCGGGAAAATTCCCCACACGGTACGTACTGTATGTACGGTATGTATGCTCTGAAGTCCTTCGTACGGGATGGAGGTTTGGCGTAGCCCACTGACCAGCAGTTAATCAGCAGATCATGGAGATCAATCTAATTCCCAATCACGACATCCCGAAGCAGATGGCAACAAGGGCAAGACATCCAACGCGACGGCTTGACTCCATTTGGCGGGTCTGCCCCAATGATGATCGACCGATGGCTTACCCAAAGACCTCAGCAAGAGGCGCGCACTAGACACGGCTCTGGGGACACTGGGAGACACTAACCAGTCACTAAACAGGCACTAAACAGACACTAAACAACCCGTCATCGGTGTCCACGCATCCAATCAATCCTCGTCTACACCAACTGCACCAACTGTCGCGCCTGCATGGCTTGACACGTATCTACGGCCCTGCCGGTTTGTCAACACGTCAAGGCAAGCAACCCAGCCAGCCCAGTGGGGAAACAGAGGAAGAAGAAAGGTGAGAAGCAGACCGACTGGCTTAGTAACTTATGCAACCACAACAAACAAACAAAAGATGACGATGAGGCAAGATAATCCGACCGTGTTCTTCCCAGAGGTAAATTTGCATACCTATAGTTTTGTCCAGTACTGAACCAACCGAGCCGCAAAATGTCAATTAACCCCTCCTTTTTACTCCGTATAAGCCTTATAGTTTCAAGCCCTCCTTCTCTCAGGGGAAAAGAATCATGCGGGCCGAAAAGAGCAATGTGATGGAGGGCCACCCGATCGATCAGCTGCCTAACACTCTTAACCTAAAATCTTGTGTAGCTTTTCTTTCGCTTAACCTTTTTCTTCTCCATTCCTTATTTCAATAGTTTATGCGGTGTGAAGCTTCCCGGAGTCTTTTTTTTGCTTTTCTCGCTTACCACAATTAAGGGGAAAGGGAGAGAAGGAAACTTAGCCTGGGCCGCCACTGTTGTTATCTCCGATTACCCTGATTATCATACTGACGATGGACCAAGTCCAAGTCCAGGTCCAAGGGCTGTACAGCCTACCATGACCCGCTTTCCAGCATGAAATTCCGTTCTATAATCCGAGCGATCCACCAGACCACGGTAGCTAACGTTAGTTCATAGGCCCTTTGCTAGGGTTAAGACTTTTCGGACCCGGTATGATTGGTCTCGGCCTGCGCAGCAAGGGAGTAAATTGTTAGCCTTAGCATCTTTCTCGACCTTGACAGAGTAGTTCAGTCCGAGAATGACGAGAGGTCAATGCATGCGTAAGCTCAGCTGCCAGGCCACTTTCTGCAGCAGACAGGATGACAAGAAAATAAATCAGAAAGACAAAAAAACAAAAAAACAAGAAAGTAAAAATTGTCAGAAGGGTGACATCGTTGAAGCATGCATGCACGCCGAACTTCCCAATGGTACATAAAAAGGGCCATCTGCTCGACCCAGATGATAGAGGCTTGGATGGTTAGGAAAGCAGGCCTGTCACTTGTTTTCTTCTTCGTCTTTTCCTCTCTCCCTGCCTAACACGACTCTTTTTGGGACCATCATCATGCTTCCCTATGTTCTCCTTCTGCTGTTCACAGCCTTGGTGAATGCCTATTCAGACCCGGGAGCCTGCTCGGGGTCCTGCTGGGCTCACGACCCCAATGTCATCCGTCGCAAGACGGACGGCAAGTTCTTTCGCTTTTCCACCGGACTGGGGATCTTGATCTCGTCCGCCAGTGCCATCACCGGGCCCTGGACCGATTTGGGGTACGTGCTGCCCAATGGTTCATCGGTGACAGTGGGGAATGCATCCAATCTCTGGGTAAGACAATAGTCCTTCAATAACCCTATTACGTGTTTCCCCCCTTCCCCCATTCCCCCCTTCCCGTCGGGTAGCCCTAAGTCAAACATTCCTCGACTCACCGAATGTAACTCCAGGCCCCGGACGTGCACTACGACAGTGGAACCTACTACCTGTACTATGCCAGCTCCACGCTGGGCAGCCAAAGCTCGACGATCGGGGTGGCCACCTCGACGACGCTGGAGGCGGGCTCGTGGACCGACCACGGCACCATCGGGCTGACCTCGTCGTCGGCCAACACGTACAACGCCATCGACGCCAACTGGATCTCCATCGGCGGCACCGGGTACCTGCAATGGGGCTCGTACTGGCACGGCCTCTACCAGGCGCCCATGACTAGCTCGCTGCAGATCAGCTCCTCCACCCCGACCAACCTGGCCTACAATGCCTCGGGCAACCACGCCATTGAGGCGTCGTACCTCTTCGAGTACGGGGGCTACTACTACCTCACCTTTTCCAGTGGCCAGGCGCAGGGCTACACCAGCGGGCTCCCGGCACAGGGGCTCGAGTACCGCGTCGTCGTTTGCCGGTCGAAGACGGGGACGGGCAACTTTGTACGTTTACCATCCTTTCTCCTATGCTTCAAGGATACGGGCCCTCTGGCATCGCTCCGTGAGATCATGAAGACTCAACTGCTAACACCACCCCAAACAGGTCGACAAGAACGGGGTCGCATGCACCAACAGCGGTGGGACCACCGTTCTCGCCAGTCATGACTACGTCTACGGACCCGGTGGACAGTAAGCTTCCCTTTTCTTTTTGTCTTTCCCCCGCGGCCTCTGAGATCCGATCCGAAGCCTATTCCCCACATCCAACCCCACAACATATCCACAATGGCACCCATACATCATGATTGCATTACCATCTGAACGTGACACATACTAACCGGAGGTTCACTTCAGGGGCATCGTCAACACCACCAACCACGGCATCGTGCTGTACTACCACTACGCCAACCCCAACATCGGCCTGGACACCTCGCAGTACCAATTCGGCTGGAACACCCTAACCTGGGTGGATGGGTGGCCGACCGTTGCCTAATTTACAAGCTTATCCGATACAGTCTACGTATACCCTTGCTTGCTTACATTGTTGATGCCTTGCACCCATGGGGAGAGTGGGTCAGCAAGTGGCGACCTTTCGCGATCAATCAACAAACACAGACCTTTCACTAGTGAGGGAGGAGTTAACTGCCTTCCGAACTGGGCAAATAATCGTCATGACGTTTTGACCTTCGAAACAAGAAATCTGAGCTCGATTGCGAACGGACGACGGCGCTTGTTGGCTGGATTTCCCCGTGGGATTAGATTGGAATCTTCCCCGGGGGATAGTGGGTGAAAGGAAGGAGGGGGGGCGGGGGTTACACTTCTTCTTTTCTCCTTTTATCTTTGCATATATTTTGGTATAACTTTAGTACCTCGGTTCGAGTGAATATATTTTGCACATATGGTTGCATGTCATACCGTAGTCCCGGTCTTCCAGAATTGATGTTTTGTTGGTGAAGTCAGTCTGTGAGTAAGAAGAGCGCACAGGATAATTAGAGCAATAGCAACCCCATACAAGTCCCAAGAAAGGGGCAAACCGGCAAACCGTTGCCCCTGGAAGCTCCGAACCAACAAACTCCCAACCCTACCAGTAGGGAGGCTGACTGGGAGTGAAGTTAGTCATGATTTCCAATCCGGACGCAGATCGACCTGGACCAAACATCCAGCAAACAAAGCAAAACTTACAGCGAATACAAACAACCCAGCCAAATAAGACACTAACTTCCTCCGGAGATTCTTTATGATGTAGCGTAGGTAGTAGCCTTTTCCGCACCCTAGCCGTTCCGTCCCTGAATATCTTGCTGCGCATTCCCCTTGGATATGTATGGTATGTACGGAAATGTATGCCGCGGCCCGCGACGCGGTATGCAACCATGGGCTCAGACTCATAATACGGGGGAGTGCATTTTCCATCCCCTTTCCCTTTGGGAAGTGCGATTCCAGGGATGGGCTAGATTTTTATTTGGTGATTCTTTTGGGGTTGTGTCTTTGCTCGAGAAGTAGAGGTGAGCTCGAGTCTGGATCTCGGTTCTAGACGCGACTGGGCTTGACTCTGAACTTGACTCCCTCTAGATTGCGAGATTCCAGACTCGATGTTTCAGATCTCCAGTTTCGGATTTCGAGATCGCGGAATGGCATCAAGAAGGGACTATCTGAGCATTTGCTGCGAGAGTAAGACTTTGTATTAGAGGTTTCCTGTTTTACTTTCGTTCATTGTTTGTAAGTAGCCCCCCTTCCCAACACCAACCGCTGTTGTTCTTTGTGTGACGGGAAACTTTGGGGGTGCAGTAACGTTACTGGATGCAAGGGCAGACAGAGGCACAGGGGTTCGCGACTCGGGAGTGATCTGACAGGTCAGATTGTGTTGGGTGTGATGTACGTACAGTATAGTGCTAAGTAATTAGGTACAGTGAGGGTTTGTGCTAGTTGGACGTGGCTTGGCTTGGGGAGTCCTGTTATTGTATAGGGGTGTTGAGTTGAGCACTCCGATTCTAGCTTCAATGGATTTGGTTGATTCGGGAACCTGATCACATAATATGGGATTGTATGTGGTGTTGTAGTGTTGGTCATGGGGTGTTGTTGATGCTATCACTGACCGTAGCTAGTGTATAGCATCCCTCATCATTCTTACTTTTTCTGGTGCTGTGTGTGCTGATATAACCCACAGAGTAGGAGAAGTCCAGCGATGCTTGGCCTTGGCATCGAAGATGTGCAGCGGCCAACAGTCAAGCTTTTGTTGAATCATAGGATAACTCATAGGAAGACCTATTTACCCATGTTCTGGAAGAGAAAACAACAAGACATCAAGTTTCCATGCTCTAGCTCTGAATGAGAGGCTTTCCGACTCCTGTCTCACGACTAGCCAGCAGATATACTACAGTGACAGACAGAGCGTAAGAACCAAAGCAAAGGAAGGGGGAGGTCAATTGCGCCACGGAAATAAGTACGGTACAGTATAGTACATTCAGACTCATCTCCTCGCCCAGTCTTAGAGACGCAAGTCCAGCATAAACCATAACAAATCAACCATCAAACCATACGCCAGCCATTTTCCCCACCGTCAGACACCTACAACCGCACATCATCAAAGTACTTCCTCCCCTTCTCGCCCAACAACCCCGCAACGACCTCCTCCAGCTCGACCTCCCCCCGCTCCATCCGCCTCTCCTTCCGCTGCTCATACTGCTTATACATCACGCCCCCCGGCAGAAAACTCAGCGTCATCTCAACGAAAGGCCCGACGGCAGTCTCCGGCAAGAACCGCCGAAAGTACTCCGGCAGATTCTCCTTCTCGACGGGGCGCAGCTCCACCTCGCAACCCAGCACCTTCGCGAATGCCCGCTGCACATCCACGGACGAATACTCGCGCGGCCCGTGCAGCTCAAACACATACGGCGATGTTTCTGTACTGCCCGTCTTGGGGGACAGGATACATTTCGCGCTGTGGTATCCGATATCTTTGACTGCGACCTGTTTTTTTCCGGGAGTTAGCACCCTACCCCAACGTCTCTTACTTCTTCAAAAGTAAGCTATACAGAGACCGAGGGGAACCTTGCCATGGGCACCTCAAACTCCACCGGCGTAATCACCGTCTCCAGGTACGGATGTTCCTTGTGCCGGACATCCTGCACCGCCGTCGCCCAGTTCTCCATGAAGTACGCGCACCGCACGATCGTCACCTCGGCCGCGGCGTCGCGCAGGATCACTTCCGAGATATGGTTCGTCATGATTTCGCCCTGCGCCCCATCCATCCATCCATTGTAGGCTGTATTAGCTGGGTAGCTCTATTCAGTCCACAATCCACAATCCACCCTCCAAGCTAATTCACCAAAGCAGCGCCAGAGCTAACCCCAAGCCAACCACAAAGCAGCGCCAGGATGCAAGGAAAGGAAAGGGAAAACGCACCGTGCCCGCCCCGACCTCCGCCCCCAAGCTCGACAGCAGCACCAGCCGCCGCACGGTGCCGGAGCGCTGGATCGCCAGCCGGATGTTCGTGGACACGTTCGTGGCCCACTGGTCAGGCGGCGTGTGGCCGTCCAGGCACGGCGGCAGCACGAAGAAGACGGTGTCGAAGCCGTGAAAGTTGAGCGTCGCGGGGACGGTCAGGTCGCCGGGGTAGGGGTCGAAGTGCGGGTGGTTCTGGAGGGTTGGGGGTACGCGGTGGAAGTTGCGGTAGAGGCCGCGGATGTAGTTTGTGTCTGAGTGGGCGAGGAGGGCGGTGATGGTTGCTTGGGCGGTTTGCGGGGAGGCGGGGACTATTAGGATGCGCATTTTCGAAGGGGTATGGTTATGTGGTTTGGTTTTGGGGTGTTGGGTTAGAGGGAGTGGATGGAAATTATACAGGTGTAAATGTTGTATGGAGTCGATGGCTACACTTTACAGTTAAGTAGGTGGTGATGATGCATGGGCTCCATTTGTTTGGGATCGGGATACGAAGAGCACTGCGGGGAAGTATTGTGATCATTGGGTACCGTTCTGCTGCATCCGAGATTTGAGTTACTCGTCCGTGAACCCTAATCGAGGACACTTTTCATGGACATTGTAGATGCCATGCGTGGTACAGGACAAGCAACAACTGGCAAGCAACCTCGAGATGATCTCACCGACCCGAGTCTAGCCCCAACGCAGTCTAGTTCCACCCAGCAATCACGCCATCGACCACGTGATACCCGCTGACTAACGCCGACCATCGGCCCTGTCCGGGGGTGATGGATGATGGATGATGAGCCACCCTCATCAGCTGCACTTATCCTCTCTATACATCGCTGATTCCCAAGGAAAAGCAGCAATGTTCCGCCAGAGTATCCGCCGCTTCGGCACGACCGCTCTCCGCGCCGCGGAAGCCTCCTACAACGTCCGGGTCTCACAGGCCCAGGGTGTCGTCAATGGTCTGACGGAAGGTATGTACATGTACTTCCGTCCGCCTGTACCCCAACACATACCCAAACTAAAACCCCCGCGACAGCAATCGGCAACACGCCCCTCATCCGGCTGAAGCGCCTCTCCGACGAAACAGGGTGCAACATCCTGGGGAAAGCCGAGTTCCAGAACCCGGGGGGCAGCGTCAAGGACCGCGCAGCCCTCTTCGTGGTGGAGGACGCGGAGCGGCGGGGGCTCCTGAAGCCGGGGGGCACGGTGGTGGAGGGGACGGCGGGCAACACGGGGATCGGGCTGGCGCACGTGTGCCGGTCGAAGGGGTACAAGCTGGTGATCTACATGCCCAACACGCAGTCGCAGGGGAAGATCGACCTGCTGCGGCTGCTGGGCGCGGAGGTGTACCCCGTGCCCGCGGTGGCGTTCGACAACCCGGCCAACTACAACCACCAGGCGCGGCGGCATGCCGAGTCGCTCGACAATGCGGTCTGGACGAACCAGTTCGATAACACGGCCAACCGCCAGGCGCATATCGAGACCACGGGGCCGGAGATCTGGGCCCAGACCGCCGGGAAGGTGGATGCGTTTACGTGCGCGACGGGGACCGGGGGCACGCTCGCCGGCATTACGCGGTACTTGAAGACGGTGAGCGAGGGCAAGGTCAAGTGTTTCCTGGCGGATCCCCCCGGGTCGGTGCTGCATAGTTATATTCAGAGTGGCGGGACCTTGGTCGAGCGGTCGGGCAGCAGTATCACGGAGGGGATCGGGCAGGGTCGTGTGACGGATAATCTGTCCCCGGATATTGGGCTGCTGGATGGGTCGTTGAATATCCCCGATGAGAAGTCGATTGAGATGGTGTATCGCTGTCTCGATGAGGAAGGGCTGTACTTGGGTGCGAGCTCGGCGCTGAATGTCGCGGCTGCGCATGAGGTTGCGCTCAAGCTCGGTAAGGGTAGCACCGTCGTGACGGTCCTGTGCGATGGCGCGTACCGCTACGCCGACCGTCTATTCTCCAACTCCTGGCTGCAGGGCAAGGGGCTGCGCACGGCGATTCCCAAGCACTTGGAGAAGTATATTGTGCTGCCTTAGTTGGAGGGGTGTTTGTATAGTAGAGTTTGTGCATGTTGAATAGATAACGATTCATGTTTTGTTCATCCGGTGTATCGGTGGGGAAATAGTAATACTATACAAGAGTAGTGAGTCCATAGACCAGACAAAAGCAGCCGCAGCTCAGATCCAACCCAAAAAGCAGGAAAAAACGAAACGCCATCATGCACCCATTTCTATCCCGAAGAAAAGACTTAACGCCAACCCATGTATAGAACATGTACAAGTAGCAGCCACCACCACCACCCTCTCCATGACCCCCATCAAGCCCCCCATTTCCCCTCCCCTCGAAAAGAGAGTCTAATCATCATCCGCCGGCATCCGCATATAAGCATCGATGGCGGCACTAAACGCCGCGAAACCCGCACACCCGGCCGCAGCAGCCTGGGGCCCGGCCTTAGCCCCCAGAATCCCGCCGGTGATGCAACCCGCCGCGACGCTGTTGGTGAGGTCGTTCTTGGCCCGCAACCCCTCGATGCAGCACTCAGTGCCCGAGTAGAGCGCGCCCACGATGCCGAAGTTCTTGGCCGACGACCACGACCGCGAGCCCATGTCCTTGAAGCCGCGGCGGACCTGTTCGCGCCAGGGGAGGTCCATGATCGCTTTGCCTTGGGGGGTGAAGGTGGAGTCGTAGGACATCTGTTCATTCGTTTGTTAGTGTTTGTTGGGTGGTATTTTTGGGGGGGTGTTAGGGGCTGAGGGCTGCGAGCTGAGGGCTGAGGCTGAGGCTGAGGCTGAGGCTGAGAGATTGACAAAGCAATCCCAGTGGTCTAGCTTTCCGACTTCCTCGCAAGGATAGAGATATGAACGGGGTAGGAGGAACGATGGGATACATACACTAGCCATAAACAAACCGAACACACCACCCAGACCGAAACCCATCGTACCCGAGATGACCGTCTTCACGGGGCAGGATTCCATCGCGCCGTACATCTGCAGTTTCGAAGAATCAAGTCAGCAATCCTTCTCTTTTGGAGGGACTCATTTCAAGTCAAGCGTACCAGCTTCACCATCGCTTGCTCCTGCTCGCTCATGCCCTGCATGTTCGGGCCGCCGCCCATCCCTCCGAGGGGCGGGGTCACGCTGGGGAAACTCATGCTGTGCGTGGTCGAGGTGTTTGAAGTGTTGACTTAAGGAACTGTAGTCAACGGTGGAGACAGCCGATATGACAAAGTGAGGATGGAGGGAGTGGATGTCGACACCGAGCTCTATCGCGCCCCGGACTTTTTGCGGAGACGGAGTGGCGGCCCTCGCGCAAATTTATTCACGGCACGCCGTTGCGGCCACTTGCGCAGCTTGCACGTGATACCATCTATGTGGACTCTACGAACGGGCATTCTTTGCAAAGAAAAGAACTCAATCATACGGTGTATTTGTCAAATCATTTGTATCAGCTATATTTAACAGACAATAGTCACGGCCATATATCCAAAGCCATCAAAGCCAAAATAAGTCAACGAGTGAAAGAATGTAACAAACGCTCATCGTAAAGGGTATTGCGATCAACAATCATAACCCTGCGTAAATCCGTACTGGCCTCATGTCCGATGGCTGCAACCCATCGTCTACCGTTCAATCCCCACTCAGGATTGAGGGCGCAAATCTCATGTGCTGTATTTACAATGTGCCGGAATCAATCCCGCTTGTCGTCCTTGTCGGGGAAGAATTCCCTCCTCTCCGGCGAGGGACTCAAACTGCGCTCCCACTCCGCCATCAGGTTCGACGCCGTGCGGGTCAACTTTGACGGCGCCAGTTTGGTCATCGCCGGCCAGGGAATCCCGTCGGAAACGCTGGGGTCCGGAATGCTGGTATCGTGCAGCGGGCGCCAGTCGCCAAAGCTAGGTGGTTTCCGTCAGGACTATACTCCACCCAATAAAAAAGAAAGACAAAACTTACCTGGCGCTGGTGCGGGGGCTGCTGTTCTGCGTCATCGGCGACTGGTCATGCTTCGTCTCCAATGTGCTGCGACTGGACGACGGCGTGTGCGTCTTCTTCGGCTTCGGAGACTCCCACTCCCAGTTGTCTTCAACGTCCGGGGGGTTACTGTGGTCGCCCCATCGGGGTTCGTTCGGCCCGCTTGGGGTAGTGGCGGCTCCGCGAGCGCGAGGGGACTTCTGCCCAGGTGGATCAATGCCGAATTCACTCCAGAACGACGAATCGATATCCGCCGAATTAGAGTCTTTACCAGAATGTTTGCCCCCAGACCCCTTGCTCCCCGAGGAGGATCGCGACAGCGTAGCCCCTCCGTAGACCGACAACCGATCCCGACTGCGCGATGTCGAACTGGATGATACCCGCTGGCGCACCGGCGGCACACCCCGCGACTCGGTCGCACTGATTCCCTCTTCTCCCACCGTAGCTTGTCGAATATCCTCCAAGAACGTCCAGAGTCCTTCCTTCAAATCCGATGCCATCTGCTTGCCGGTCCGCACGAGGGCATCGCGCGACGGGGGCGGCATGGTGTTCCGCCACTGCGAAATCATGTCATCTGCAGGTTTCGAGTTCACGCCACCCGCAATGGCATTGCGTTCGACAGAAGAGGGCAAGGTCGCCGACCGCGGGGACCGACCAATCCGTTGACTGCCAGCCTCCGACTCTGACCCTGTCTTGCTCTCCCCAGATCCCGTCGTTGGGGAAAGCAAGGACAGGGCCCGAGTGTGGGAACCTCGGAAAACCCGTCGGCCATTGGCAGAAACGTTGGTGCCCTTGGTCGCGGCCGCACGAAGGCTCTGCCGCCGCTCCAGCTCTCGGCTGAGTCGGACTTGGGCCGCCGACGAGCTGCCGGCACTGCTCACACTGTGGTCTCGGCGGTGTGGGAAAGTGGGCTCGTCAGGGGATCGCAGGGAGACCAACGGCTCGGCGCGATGGCTGATCTCCGTGCGTTTCTTTGTTTTCTCGGTTGACGCCCACTGCTTTTTCAAAGAGTCCAGCTCCGTCTCGGCCCGGTTCAGCTCTTCCCGAAGCTCCAGCACTTTTCTCTCCTGAGAGGCGATCGCGGTCAGCAGACCCGAGCCGTCATCCTTTTCCTCGAACGCCAGCGGGGTTCCGAGATGGGGGGCCGGCGAATGATGAGCGGAGGTCCGTGTCACGGGCGTCATCGATCCGGGGGACGCAAGACTGGGGTCGTAAGCTTCGGGTCCGGAGGGGATGTTGATGGGAAAGTTGAGGGTGAGTCGCTTGGCGTGTCTGGCAGCACCATGGGGGCGAGGTGGGAGGGAAGATCGCTTGAGTTGGGTGGGAGTCCGGCCGGTCGGCGATGCAGGGTGAGGGTGATGGTTGAGCTGGTCAGGCGACGATGGCAGCAGCTTCGCTGTTTGGGACGTTTCCGGCGCAGTTTCCGCCTCGCCCGTTCCCGGGAAATCCCCCATGACGGGCCAGCGTATGGAGGTCGTGCGCGAAGCTGATAAGGGTTCGGAGATTTATTGATAGACCAAGAGCGTAGTAATCATGACATTCATTCCCTTGGGATTGGGAGAGGAGGGGAAGAGGAGAGAAATGCGAGGCCCACCGCCACAGTCGAGGGGAATTGCAATTGTTGGCTGATAAGAAAAGAATGTATGTACGTATGTATGGATGTATGGATGTATGGATGGGCCCGTCAGCAGTGATAAACAATCATCAATGACAACAATAACAACACAAAGGACAGTGGGCAGCAACCAGACTGGACACGGAACGGAAAGACAATGGGATTAGAAGCAGAGAAGAAAGGGAGAAGAAGAAAGGAGAAAAGGAAGCGAGGGAAAGTTTAGACAAAGTAGGTAAGGGAAGGACTAGACCCAACACGGGGGGGGGTCCTTCTCTTTTCTTGTAAATGGGTCGTTGGGTGAAGTTCAGTTCACTAAAAGACGGTGATTTCGGTAGCGGGTCGCAACGCGCATCCCTTCCGCCTCCGCCTCTTCCAGTTCCCGTCTCAGGGGAGAGGGAAATTTGAAAGAGAAAGAAGAGAGTCAAAGCAGCTTGGAATGTATTTTGCCACTCAGTAGTGACGTCTGCCTTGGCATAAATTGCACAGATTAGTGTACCCAAACGATGTCTAGATAGTACAGTTTCAAGACATGCATATCTTGAAAAGCAATGCCACCAGTGCAAACTGCAAGCTGCAAGCTGCAAACTGCAAACAGAATATCACGATCTCCGCTGGCCCTGATAAGGATCATCATGTGGTTGACAGCCCCCAAGCTGAAACCGCCAAATACTGCCCAGCACGAGTCGCTCCACGCGGGTGGCCAGTTTGATTACTCCGTCCATCTTTACCTGCTTCTGGCCCTCCCCTGTCTTTATTTCCATAGCAATGAGGGGGTTGTAAAATTGCCCAATTGCATTACTATGTCCACAATTCCATATACACGCACGCATGCAAGAATCAACTTCGCCTTACTTACAAATCCCACCAATTATTCTCTCACACCTTGCCAGAAATTGTCCAACAAAAATAAACACATGTAGCCACACAAGGAGAACCTATGACAAGAAAAGAATGAATAGTAAATCACAAGCTCGCCAGAATATCGGCTTCGCAGAAATATAACCAGTAAAAGTTCTGAACGCCGGAACCGAGCCCTATCCGACTGTCAATTGGTACATAGGAAATTATAGTCGTTGGTTGACCAAATATCACAAACGCAAAGAGACCAGATGTCAAAGAGAGGCCACGGTGCCCTCATGGTCGGTCTCTCGCCAGACGAGACGAGTCTGGGGTATATCGTCGTCCGAAATTGTCTCCATGGGTTCTCGTTGACCAGCAGCAGACCCGAAGTGCGAGAGATTAGGACCCGTGTGTTTACAGGCCATGAGAGCACAAACAATACCAAGTGAGGGGGAATAATGCAACAATGAAAGAAAAGAAACAGCGCATAGAAAGAAAAGACCGCGGGCGGCCAGATGGCCGAATATTTCAACGCCTCATGTGAGCCCAAATTTTTGTACAATGATGAATCTTGTTGTCTCGCGTTGAGATTCGTGGAGTTCGAGATCTCCAGATCGCAGTATGCAAGGGGTTGAAGAAAATGCAGAGAACCAAATTCTAGATTCCGGGCCATCGATTGCGCAGGCCTTCGGACCAACGCTGATAGAGCACGTCTGACAACTGCTTGGTGTGTTCCATCCCCGGCACCTGTTGCCCGGGGAGGTTTGCAAGCTGGGTGGGTTGAAGGCTAGGCTCGGCCACGGCGGCGCTCTGGCGGCGCCGGTGGGATTTGAGGTGTGGGTTGCTCTGCGCCAAAACCAGTCGCGGCCTCTGTGGGGAATCGCCCGGTGGAGCTGCGGGTGGGACGAGACTGGCCAGCTTCGGGTCACTAAACCATCCACCAACACGAGCGTTGTTAGCAACCCAGAAACTTTATTTGACAAGTACTACTGCAGGGGAGGCACGCTTACCTCTGTAGCTTCTCCGTCGTCGCTCGGAGGATATGATAGAGTCCCTCGGGATCGACCATCTCCAGATCACTCCAGGCCTCCGCCAGCCGTGAGATCGCTTCTCGCTTCTCTTGGTCGCCCGTGGTCCCCAACACTTCCTGGCAGGCGAGCCCGACCGCCTTGCTGTACGCCCGACGCCCCAGTTGTGCTTCCTTGCTGTTCGGCTCGGAGAATAGCGTCTTCGGACTAGCATTTTCATCCCCTCCGAAAAGGTACTGCGGCGGATAAGATGCGTCGCTGGGGCTCTTGTTGTCCGACACCCGACGGAACTGCCGCACCGTCGATGGGCTGTTGCCGAAACTCATATCCACTCCGAGAGGCTGCTTCACTCCACTCGACCGTCGCTTGGCCCGTCGAATTGATGGGCTGTGGTCGGGAGCTTGAGTTCGTCGTACTGCAGTGTTGGTCGTATGCTTTGACGGAGGGCTGGACACATAAAGGTCGTCCATCATGTCGGCGGTTTCGTCGAAAACCCAGTCTTCCTGTGGCTCTGGCTCTGGCTCTGGCTCATTCTCCTCCTCGTCTCCGACTTCACGTATAGTCGTTGTAGAAGCTTTCACGGTGTCGAAAATCCACCCATCGTCGTCGTTCAGGTTCCGAATAGTATTCCTGTGCGACAGAAACAGTCAGTACGAAGAGCATGGGCAATGGAACTTGGATTTGCATACAGCGACTCCGCATAATACTTAATCTTGTGGGTCACTCCTCGTCCAGCATCGAAATCCTGCTTGCGGTGAATCAACTCTTGTAGCGCCTCCGTTTTTCCCGCATTGCGAATGAATTTGTGCCGTAGAAGCTCCTTCGCGCTCGGTCGCCGATCGGGATCTTTGGTCAAACACTGTGTGATGAAGTCCTTGAAGGTATTGCTGTACTGATCTCCCTGTAGGCGCGGGGCGGGTTCTTTGGGAATAAGGAAGAGCACCTTCATGGGATGGGTGCTCGCATGGGGTGGCTCGCCGTTAATCATTTCGATTGCGGTAATTCCGAGCGACCAGATATCCGCCTTATAATCATACCCAGACTGTTGAATGACTTCCGGGGCCATCCAGAACGGTGTTCCGACAAATGTGTTGCGCTGGGATTTAATGTTGATCAATTGCGCGGCAACTCCGAAATCCGCTAGCTTCACTTTGCCCGTGTGCGACAGAAGTACATTTGCGGCTTTGATGTCGCGGTGAATCTTGCCTTCGCTGTGCAGGTAGTCGAGTCCGAGTAGCAGTTGTTGGCAAATAATGGCGACGTGTGCTTCGTTGAAGACTCCGGGTTTGAGCTAGGGAGTATTAGCGGAGGGGACGAAGCTGACTCCTCAGCTGCGGAGGTGCTAGGTGGGTTATTACCAGGTCCAGACACGATCCTCCACCGAGGAATTCCATGACAATCCACAACTTATGTCCTCGAAGAAAACTAGCCTTGTATTGCGTGACGAATGGACTGGCGCAGGTGGCAAGGACCGAGATCTCCTGCTGGATCTCCTGGATATCATCTTCGCTGGACTCGAGATCGATCTAGAAAGGCCGAAAATGGTCAATCGGACGATCGGACAAAGAAAGAGACCAGTCACACGCACATGCTTGATCGCTACGATCTCGCCCGTAGCCTTGTCAATGGCTTTGTATACTGTTCCAAAGCTACCACCTGTAGCATCCCGGTCAGCCGCCATCGGCGCAATGGACTCAATTGGAAGGCAGAGAGAGACTTACTTCCCAGCTCTTCCATCATCTGGTAGTGACTTGCCATGTCGTCCTCCATTTTTGTCGCGTGCAAGCCGTAGCTGGAGGGCTATCGGCGCAGGTGAAGAATCTGGGAGAGATAGCTCAGAGAAACAAATAGAAAAGAGAAGGGGGAAAGAAGCAAAAAAGAAGAAAAAGAAAAGAGAGGAGAGCTAAAACAGGGCACACAAGGGGGGGGGGGGCTCCCGCACCGCCAGTCAGCTATTTATTTCCTGTCCGACGAAAGGACGGATGGAGCTGGAGCTGGAGCTGGAGCAAGGACGAGTGGAACCTGGCCCTGTAGATAGAAGATCGAGAAATGAGGGGGAAAGAAGTGGGAAGATAGCGAGTGCTTCGATAGGATCGATACCTACTACCGTACCTACTAACTAACCTAACCGTCCTCTCACAGTCTCACCAGAAAGTGCCCCATTCTTTGCTACTGGCAGCCGCTCCTCTTCCATGGTACGCGGCAGAGACAACAGGCGGTAGTGCATGGCAACCATGGATCAGCTACCGAGTCACCGCCTCGGGCACCGCAGGACCGCTGGTATTTCCCGGCCTTGATTGGGTGCAAAATTCCCCGTTTACGGCTGTTGCCTCAGGCACGACTGCAACCCGCAGTACCCCAGCCCTGCATGGTGCAGGTGATGCAGATGGGGCATGCAGCCCGCCAGGTACGGGGAGGTCAGCAGGACTTCATCGGTATGGAGAAATATGATCCAGCAAATTAAATATCCGCATTGATATATTTTACGGATTCCTCAGACTATAAACTTGGTCCAGCTTTTCCCACCCTCAACTACCCCTCTGCAACACATTTACAATTCATCGCGTGGTGCCAGGGTAGCGTGTCCAGTTCTAGATATACTTATACGGGTTCATGATTCCATTCTGTATCGCACAGCAAGTTAGTTTAGGTCTCAAAGCACAATGCAAGAAAATCAACAGGGCACGATGATCCTTACCGGGTCATACACGTTCTTCAGCTGCTTCATCAACTTCACCATCGTCTCGTTCTGGCTGTATCCGATGAACTCCTTCTTGGCCAGACCGAGGCCGTGTTCTGCACTGATGCTACCTTTCCGCTGCTGGATCCACTCATACACCCAAGGCTCGATGGCCTTCTCGACTTCCTTGTTGTACTGCCGCACAGAAATGTTCAAATGCAGGTTGGAATCACCCATGTGACCATAGCCGACAACGGCCCGAACAGGGAAGGAATCGTCATCACCCACGAAGCCAAGCTTCGTCAAACGCTCCTTGCAGTCCTCAACCAGCTGGTACAGCTCGGGCAGAGGAATGGAGACGTCATACTTGTAGGTTCCGCCCAAGTGGCTCAAGGCCTCCGTAATACCCTCTCTCCACCGCCAGATTGAGTGGAATTGAGTCTCATCCTGAGCCAAAACACCATCTGCGACAATACCCTCACCCATGACGTGTTCCAAGAAGGTCTCCAGCTTAGCCATGTCATGCTCAGCGTTAGAACCACTGGTCTCCACCAGACAGTAGAAAGGATACTCAGTTTCGAGGGGATAGTTGTTGCCAGTCGACTCGTGAACCAGCTTCTGAGTGCGCCCATCCATCAACTCGAAAGCGGAAAGGATTTCGGACAGGTGTCCCTTGGCCTCCTGGTAAGCCTTGCGGACCTGGTCATAGCTCTCCAGTCCGAAATACGCGACGTTAACGGCCTTGGGGCGAGAAGGACATTGAATAGAGACCTTCGTAATAATGCCAATGGTACCTTCGGCGCCAATAAACAGTTGCTTCAAGTCATAGCCAGTGTTGTTCTTGCGCAGGGTCGACATAGCATCCACGACGGTTCCATCTGCCAGCACCGCTTCAATACCAAGCACAGTACCGTGAAGACTGCCATAGCGGAGCAGACGCAGACCACCGGCGTTGGTGGCAACGTTACCGCCGACATGGCATGAGCCCTTAGCACCCAGGTCCAGCGGGAAAAGGTGGTTCCGCTCGGCCAAGTACTGGTCAGCTACCTCCAGAATGACACCAGAATCAACCACCAAGACTCCGGACGCTTCATCGAAGGAGTGGATCTGGTTCATGCGGGAAAGGTTGATGACGATCTCGTCAAAGACGGGCACGGAGCCTCCGACCAATCCCGTGTTGCCTCCCTGGGGCACGACAGCCAACTTCTTCTCATTACAGTATTGTAGTACCTTGCTAACCTCCTCGGTGGTTTGGGGCTTCAAAACCAACTTGGTCTGGCCACGGTACTTGCGCATCCAGTCGCTGTTGAAGGGTTCGATATCATCAGCGTTGTCGGCGGTCACTCCATCGATCACGGCGGACTGTGCGCCCAGCAAGTCCTTGAAGAACTTGACATCATCGGCAGAGATTTCGGCGAACTTCGGGTCACGCTTGAGGTTGGGATAAGCATTGGTGGTGTACTGAATCTCCTTGGTCGCATTGGCGCGGGCGGTAACAGTGAAGGTGCGTGTGGCGGCGAAGGAGGGAGTCTGGACCGCAGCGACAGGGCGGAATAAGCAGCGAGGCTTGAGCACACGAGCCCTTCGCAGAGCGGCTGAAATATTCCTGGCACCGGACATGGTGGAGCGTGGAGTGGGAGGTGAGGGTGAAGAAAAAGGCACTGGAAGAGTCAATAGAGCGGCAAGCGGCGAGCGGCCATCTAAAAAGCCTAATTTCTCCCCCGATGGCGGAGATGGAGTCGTCGTCTCGACTTGGAGTCAGCAGCGCCGAACGGTCTTCCCGTCCCGACGGATGTCGTGGCCTCAGGCAGACAAAAAGGTCCGCGGGAACCTGAATAGTGATTAATCAATTGCCTCGAACTGAAGTTGGTGGTCGATAGAGTTAAGCAGTGGGTAGCTTAAACTACTCTGTTCTATAAGTTAGGTCAATGAAGTATACGCAGTGTACACCCGACATATGTCAAAAGTAGAACCACGTGGTAAATTCCCAGTAGAAGCTATCCAGCTTGAGCCAGTTGATATTCAACAAGGTGAGCACTCGTTTTCTTGTCTGTACTGTACCCTCGTCGTCACATAGCGATCCTCCTCCATCTCAACGACCCATTGATTTGACCAGTCCTCAATCGGGATCTGACCACGCCTACCAAGGGCGAGGGGCAACAACAAGCGACAAGCATCATGCTGGAAGGGCTGGAAGCCCAACGGTCCTTCTGCAGCGATGCCTGTTGAGGGAAAAGAGCGACAAGCGTCGCCAAGCCCGTCCGTCACTGGACGTTTTGTGTCATCTTCCTCGCCATCCTCGATCAATAAGCCGATGCAGTAACAATAATAGTACTGGGTACCTAATCAGTGATCACAATCACCGCGGAGGACAGCTCTCCAGGTATCCACCGCCCATCGACCTTCCTCGACCCTCATCGAAGCATCGAACCAGCGATCCCTCGATCCAGACCGGATCTCGTCTCCCTTCGGTGTGTCTTTTCGAGTGAAACCACCACGCGGTTCTTGTTACGTCATTACAGGTGCCCCGCAGTCGACCAGAATCTCTTCTTCATCGTCCCAGCTTCCCAAAGCTCGATTCTTTTCCATCATGTCCTCTTCTGACAATCCCATTGCAAACATGTCTACCTGTGTTCTTGTTACCGGTGCCACTGGTCTTCTGGGCCGCCAGGTCTTCAATACTTTCAAGCACTCCGGATGCCTCGTTGTCGGCCAAGGCTACTCACGAGCCATCCCACCCACGATACAGAAGGCTGACTTGGAGAACCCCGATGCGATCAAAGCTCTCCTTGACGAGGCGAAGTAAGTTTTTCTGCCCGGTTGAAGCTGTAATTTGTGCACCCATAATTTTCTCTGGTGGAATTCAATGCCAATACTGACCTGCTGTAGGCCTCAGATCGTTGTCCACTGTACGTGATGCCAGGCTTGCAAAAGCAACTGATTTGTCCCTGCTTGGATTCTGACCTTTGCAGGTGCCGCCAACCGATCTCCCGACTTGTGCGACAAGAACCCTGAGCAAGCGCGCCGAGTCAACGTTGACGCCACCCGCGTTCTCGCGGAGGAAACGTCGCGCCGTAGTATCCTGCTCATCTACATCTCGACCGACTACGTTTTCCCCGGCATTGAGGGGGAAGCCCCGTATGAGGCCGATGCGGAGACCAATCCACCCAACATGTATGGCCGGTTGAAGCGGGATGGTGAGCTGGCAGTACTGGAGGCTACGAAAGAGACTGGTCTCGGGTTGATCCTTCGCGTGCCCGTACTGTACGGAGTGGCCAAGGACAATTCAGAGAGCGCCGTCAACACTTTAATTGATGCGGTGTACAAAGCGCAAGATGAGAATGCGGGGATCAAGATGGACGACTGGGCACAGCGGTACCCGACCAATACGGAGGACGTCGCTCGGGTGTGCCGTGACATTGTAATCAAGTATATCAAGGAACGTCGTCGCATCCAAGAACTGCCCAAAATTTTGCAGTTCTCGTCCGAGGATCGGATGACCAAGTACGAAATCTGTGAGAAGCTAGCGGATGTGCTCGGACTGTCCCTGGTAGGGATGATCAGGAACAAGGAGGGGAATGACCCCAACTCGGCCGTGCAGCGTCCCTACGACGTGCATCTGTCCACTAAGGTGCTGAAGGATCTGGGAATTGAAGTTCGGACTGTGGACTTTGTGGCATGGTGGTAAGTAGTGACCTGACATGTTTGTGTGTATATGGCGGAATCTAACACTGAATTACAGGCGGAAGTACCTAGGAGCGTACAAGAAATGAGTGGCGGCCTAAAAACACCAAGGATCCAAACCGAAAACTGAGATATAGAGATGCTGGCGGTGGTAAAAAGTCCTTTTCAGGTTGCATCCTAAACGACCGCGATGCCCATGGATTATTGGTTAATCACCGACTAATGAGAAATAGCTCGCTAATAGCATGCAATATTATGTATTATGATGATACAATATACGTTTGTTTGTGTTTGTGTTGTGCTTGTGTTTGTACTTGTGTTTGTACTTGTGTTTGTACAGTACTTGTGTATTAGTGTACTGTCCTGCAATCAGGAGAGAGACGAGCTGGGTTGAATCTGACAGTTTGGGGGTGGCTCAGAAATAGCGCATTTACTGGGGGGGGAGGATTGGAGGGGGGGGGGATGAGACCCGGGCCGGGAAGTAGTCGGTGGTGGTGGCTGAGGCCGGCATGGCAGTGATCCACTCGGATCTACTAGCCATGACTTTGATTGTTCGTTGATAGACAAACAATCCAGAACTATAGAGTCGATCTCGGTGTGGACACAAAGCATAATCGTATTTATAGTGGACGGAGATCCCATGTCAAAGGCAGATCCCCCATCATTCAAGAATAACCATGAGCAGAGGCAAGTCTATCTCTTCTGGCAATCCAGTTGACTTTCGTTCCTCACAATCTGGGGCAATTGCGGGCAATGCTGGGGCCAAGCCTAGCCTGACCGAAAACAGCCGCTATCTATCTCTATTTTAGTCTAGACTTTTTTTTAATTTTAGTTCTATCAATTTTCATCTTAATTTTTTGGGTCTCAGTTTGGCTGTCTTTCCCCAGCCGTCATGGAGGATGCTCTTGAGATCACACGAACCTTTTAATTAATTTAAGATCTCGAGTTCAGGATCACCTGCCAGCCCAATAGGATCTTTATCCTGACCTATAGTATGTAAAATTCTTATTCATCGGAAATTCCAATCCCTTCCCGTCCCTTTGGAGACTTCTTCCTTTTCGTCTTTGCTACTTCAAAGTTCCACCAAACCCTTCCCCCCCTTACGTCGAGCAGGTGGTGGTCAAGAAAAGAAAAGAAGAAAAGAAAAAAAGAACTCCACCCACCCACCCACAGACAATTCAGAGGGGAAATAAGCAAAAAGTAAACCAAGAAGGAAAAAAAATAATAAAAATAAAAATAAAAAAAGGGAAAGCAAGAGAGAGTGCAATGGAATAGAAACGGATTTGTCTGAATGCAGCCTATTCGTTTCTGTCCGTCCGTCTGGGTTTGGCACTGCTTCTTCTTCGTCTTCCTCCCTCCACTATCTTTCTCGACTCCGTCCCGCGGTGGAAATTAGACCCTTTCGTTGCGAGGCCGTTTTCCGCTCTCCACAAAAAAGTGCCTGGACAATGCGTTCTTGACGGAATCTAGCATCGTGGTCCCTCGTTACACTCACCAGCTTCTTCTGTCCAGTGTCTGTTCTCTTCCCTTCCTTCCTTTTTCCTTCCTGCCTGCCCGCCTACATTCATCACTTTCTCCTTCTTGAAACTCCCTCCCCTCCTTCTCCCCGCCCCCCCTTTCTGCGTTCTATTTTTTTCTCTGGGAAGAAACAAAACTCTCCTTTGCTCATACTCCCCCCCCCCCAACCCTCTCTCTACCCCCTCATTGTACGGGGAAGTTTCCAAGTGAAGCCGTGATTGTATCCCTGTGAAACATGTCTGCAACGTTTAGGGGGTGGAGACACGCGAACACTCATTATTTGACCCAAATCCTTCTCCCTTGTGTCGACTGGATCGACCAGTAGACCCTTTCTGCCTCCCTTGTGAAATCCTGTCCTCTTTTCTCAGTGACTGCTGTCAACACGTTGCTGCAACTTGATCACTTCCGGAACCTTAGCGACTGACCCAGCTGCCACCAACAAACCGCAGGCTGCCTGATATCATCGTCATTGCGGCAGTTGGAGCTAAAGCAGCCAAGTGACTTTTTTTTTCGGCCTTACAGGGAAAAGAAAAGAGAGCTAAAAGATCCATCGCAATCTAAAACCTGTTTCCAAACGCGCGCCATCGGCTACTTGACGCAATTGACAGTATTACGCTCTGCGATTTCTCTGTGACCGTGTGACGCCAAAGAACATATGCCTGGGCAGCAATCGAGATACTACTACACTACCAGTATATCTACACTTCCTAGATCAGCAGCGCAGAACGGGTTTCTTTCCCTTTCCCCCATACTTCGATCGACTACTACTTCTACTACCTTTGGCTCTTTCCCTTTTGTTCTCTGCCTATAATCGCAGTGGGATTCTTTCCCAGCCATGACCATGGAGACACCCGACATGATGTCTGCTGGCCAGCATGCAGCACCCATGAAATTTTCGCGATACCGAAGTGTACGAAAGGCGGCGACCAAACAGCCACCAGCATTACCACCACCGCCAACTGGAACGTCCAAATTCCACTCCCCGCCACCTCCACTTGCTCACCCGCCAATCGCTGCACTTCCGGGCTCGGTGTCGCATGACCATGCCGCCAACGCCGATGCCGCCGCCGCAAACAATAATAGCAGCACTGCTATTCAAAGAAGCATGTCGCGGTATCGTCGCAGAAACCCGCCGCCTACGCAGCAGCCCTTAGAGGCTACATCACAGCCTCCTTTGCTCACTTCTGCACCCGGCTATAAATCACACGTAGCAAGCAATGGCACCTCAGTCTCGCAACCTCCGCAGGATCGACCTGAGGAAACACAAATGGCTCGTATTCGACAAAAGTTGGCCCTAAGAATAGCCACCCGAGAAAAACGGGTCCCCGATGACAGCGAAGACGAAGATGCCGAGCGCCACAGACATCGACAGAATGCAATGGACCGTCTGACCGGAGGTGAGGATGTGCCGATTTCCAACCCCTTCGAGACAACAACCACACGCGACAAGCCAGCCAAGGAGGTGTGTGAAAAACGCGCAAACGGAGGAACGGCCGCGAGTCGCCGTACGAGCCGTGAACCCAAACGACGATCCCTCAACATTGCGACAGCAAAGGCCACTCAAGTCAAAAGTTCCAAGGGCGATTCCTCCGCGAGTAGTCCGACCGAAGCTAGTCCTGGCGCCCAATTCCCCGATGCTCCTGTATCGGCCGTGAATGCACGGGAGCGTCGCGTTTTGGTCCAGTATAGAAAAACCTCAATGAAAGTCTGCGTCAATCCCTCGACATCCGCGCAAGATATCCTCGCCACTGGCATGACTTACATGGCTAAAGGGGAGGACCCCGGGAAGTTCATCTTGATGGAATCTTTCGCCGATTTAGGACTAGAGCGGCCGTTGCGTCGGTACGAATGTGTACGCGATGTGATGAACTCTTGGGCCCACGATGAGCAGAACTCATTGATCATCGTTCCTGCAGCCAGTCTCGATGCCCTTTCTCTGCTCGACGCTCAGAATGTGTCACTTGGCCAGCCTGCGGAGACGACGTTTTACTTGTATTACTCTCAGCGTCCCCGCAAATGGGACAAGCGATATGTTACTCTACGGTCAGATGGACAAATTACAATATCCAAGAAAGAAGGCCAGGAGCAAACAAATGTGTGCCACCTCTCCGACTTCGATATATATTCGCCAACAGCGAGCTCTTTGGCGAACAACGTCAAACCACCGAAGAAGTTCTGTCAAGCCATCAAGAGTCAGCAAAAATCAACGATGTTCTTATCGACCGAGAACTTCGTCCACTACTTCTCCACCAGTGACCGAGACATGGCTGATAACTGGCAGAAGGCGGTCCAGACCTGGCGCAGCTGGTACCTGGTCACTATGCTTGGAGCAGGCAAGCCGTCGGAGACGGATAATGCCACATCCTCCGATGAATCGGTAGCAGCTGGAAAGCGGTTTCAGAAGCCTTTATTGAACCCTTTTGAAGAGGCCAGCAATGAGATTAAGGCGCCTGCCCTGCCTCTGGCAGAGCGCACGCAGCCTACAAAGGCCAAGGAATTGTTCTCCCATAAGAAAAGCATCCGCGAGCGTGGACCTCCCCCGACGTCGTTTCCCAAACTTTTGACTGGGGAGGCTGATCTTGCTGCAGAGTCTTCCGATGAAGCTACTTTCTCAGCCAGTGGTCTCTTAGGCCGGACCTACACCATGCGTCAACGGGCCATGAAAGAGCGTGAAGAGCAAGAAAAGCGTGACAATGAGGACCGCCTTCGTCAGGGCCTCGTGGGCACTATGGGTACCCGCCGTGTCAATACTGGTCCTAGTAGCCGGTCCAACACCATGACATCTACTCACGCGCCAGACTTCAGCGCCGTGAAACGGTCCCAGTCCGTCAAGGCAAAGCCTCTGGTGGATTTGACCCCGGTGTATAGCGAACCCCCACAGCATATCCGCAAGGGAAGGGGAGTGACTGTTGACCCAGGCGTCCCCTTGATCGACGCAGCCACAGGCCCCGAAGTCCCAGGAGGCATCCAGATACCGTCGGCTACTACCTGGCGCCGACCCCCAGTGCCCCCTGAGCCGATGTCCGCCGTTGAACCCAGAACTCGTAAACGATCGAACACCGCGCGCAGTATCAATGGTCAACAACGTTACCACCACACCGCTCCTACCACCCCAATCTCCCCCGTGGACCTCGTTTCCGGCCGTGACGGCCCCTTCATACCCCATAGCCTACTGGCTCGCGCTCAACCGGCGCCCGCACCAGGTCCTCCCGTGGGCCATGGCGTGGCAACCGGAGATCGCAATGCCACTAAACCGATGCTGGATATGGCCCCCGAAAATCCTTTCGCCGAGGGAAGCTTGCTTCGGGGCTTGTAGCGGCAACACATACCACTATCCCACTACCATACAAATCACGATTTAAACGGCACTTGACAATCACTTAGCAATGGCGTTAATACCCTTTCGGCTGGGACTTTGTGTTATCACAGCGATCTAGAATGGCATGGCTCGAACCTTGTGCCTCTTTATTGCCTCGTTCCAATATACCTTCTGGTTTATAGTCGGAATTCATGGCATGGGTTGTACTTCTAGTTTTATTTGATCATTATTTGACAATGCTGGTCTGGTGATCGGTGCAGGTCCTTACATCTATATCCATTTACCATTCGATGCACTGAAGTTGAAACAATCCAATTGTTCTTAGCTTGACATGTTTCCAGATTGAGTTTCATTCTCTTGATCGATACCTACTCTTAGACTTTTCTGCGGTCAACTTTCCATAAATCCCGACAGCCTTGATGACGAGATTTTCCATCTTGGAACATTGGGCAGAATATCTACTATTGGTATCATCTTCGAAGGTGACGAGAACCTGAACTCGGGCTATCTTCTGGAGGGATGAGCCCACTCGTGGTTATATATTTGCGGTACGCGCAGACAGAACTGAAGTCAGAAAGATACCAATTCGGACTTGGAGCAGACCATAACCACCAAAACTGAGAATAGTATCAGATACGAGCTAATTATCAAGTTGATCTGTTGGCTTGAGATACGATAATCAGTTCTAGTCACATATTAGGCCAAAAGTACTGTAGTGAGATACTGGGGTCGTCACTGGGGTCAAGAACAATAGCGGTACACGTGAAGCCCTAGCCCTTATCGGGAATTACCCGTTTGGGCTGTTTGTTTATCCAACGCCTCCTCCGGCCCCGTGACTGAACCTCCGCAACTGGAATAACAATCGCTGGGTCCAGAGGATTATCATCAAGTCTGGCTCTTCAGAACACCGCCGCCAAACACGCCGATACGATCCTGGAACCGACCACACCGTGTCTGATCAACCTCCATGCCGCCGACCTAGAATGAATTTGTGACATTAATCGATTTCCTACTATAACCGACCGAAAAAATCTCAGCAAGGTCTTGCCAGGCTTACCCCTCCCTCCCCCCACCTACCGAGCCACCATGCCTAGCAGAGTTCCCGCCCGTTCAACTTCTGCCTCGACGCGCAAGAACTCCGCGCAACCATCCGCGTCGGGGCGCGCAGCGTCGGTGACGCCTTCATTCGCCGTTCCCGATGAGCCCGCCTTGCCCGAGGCAGTCCCCACCCTGCGACGAGATATCTGTGCCATCTTCGCCGACGCCCAACGCTCGACCACTGGACACCGAAAACTCGTGGTGCGCCTTCGCAAGCTCCAGGAAGCCTGCTGCGGGATCACGCAAAAGAGCTCAAAGAAGGATGGAAAGCGGGAACAGAGTCGTTCGGAGCTGGTGCTGCCGTCCGAGGAAACAATCCCCGAGAAAGAGTTCAACACAGAAGTCGGCCGCTGCGTGCTGCGCATTCTGCCCGTTAAGAAATCGGAGCCGGTAGGAGACCGGATCCTACGCTTCCTGGGCACATTCCTGCACCAGGCCTCCGAGAAAGACGCCGAGTTGTTTGCGTCGAACGAGGAGGAGGACGACGACCTCGAAAATGTAACAGAGACCCCGACTGCCCGCTTGACCACGACCTTGGTCAACCTCATCATACCCTTGTTGGTCGCGAAGGACAAGACCGTTCGGTTTCGCGCGACACAGATCGTCGCGCATATCGTCAACTCGCTCGAGACGATAGATGATGACCAGTATCACGCTATCCGCCACGGCCTTCTGAAGCGCATCCGCGACAAGGAACCCGCTGTCAGAGTGCAGGCGGTGATGGGACTGGGCCGACTCGCCGGCAATGACGATGACGACGATGATAACGACGAGAGTTCCCGAGCCATCCTGGAGAAATTGGTCGATATTATGCAGAATGATACCAGTGCCGACGTGCGGAAGACGCTGCTCATCAACCTACCGCTGGTCCCGGCCACCCTCAAGTATCTCCTCGAACGAGCCCGCGATCTCGACGCACCGACCAGACGAGCCGTGTATGCGCGTCTACTCCCTAGCCTCGGCGATTTCCGACATTTGTCGCTGTCAATGCGAGAAAAGTTGCTGCGCTGGGGTCTGCGCGATCGCGACGAAAGCGTCAGAAAAGCGACGGGCAAATTGTTTTACGATCGATGGATCGAGGACTGCGCCGGTACCAACAAGGATCCCGAAGCTGGACCCGTGGGCCAGCGTTCTCCTCCCGACACCTCGGCGCTTCTGGAGCTGCTGGAGAGAATCGATGTGGTCAACTCCGGTGTGGAGTCGGGAATTGCTCATGAAGCTATGCGTGGCTTCTGGGAAGGACGCCCCGATTACCGAGAAGCCGTGGTCTTCGACGAGCCCTTCTGGGAATCTCTGACGGCAGAATCTGCCTTCCTCATCCGCTCATTCAACGACTTTTGTCGCGTCGAGAACGAGGGCAAGTATGACAAACTTGCCGATGAGAAGATACCCGAAGTTACGGCGCTGGCATTCTATTTACATAAATACATGACTAGCCTTCTGCAGAAGAAGAAGTCCGTCAAAGAGGCCGGCGATGCCAACGAGGACGATGCCGTTGAGAACGAATTTATCGTGGAGCAGCTGCTGCATATTGCTATGACTCTCGATTACAGTGATGAAGTTGGCCGTCGAAAGATGTACTCTCTTTTGCGCGAGTCTTTGGCCGTGCCGGACTTGCCTGAGGAGTGCACCAAACTTACAGTCGAAACATTGCGGTTTGTCTGTGGACCGAATTCTGCCGCTGAGAACGAATTTTGCAGTGTCGTTCTTGAAGCTATTGCCGAGGTGCACGACACAATCACTACGGAGGACAGCTTTGTTTCTGCTAAGTCGGAAATCAGCGATGCCAGTTCGTCTCGTGCCCGATCGGAGACGCCCCAAACCGAAGATGAGAAGCCTTTCAACAAAGAGGAGGCAAAGGCGAAGGTTCTTCGCGAGATTGTGGTGAATATGAAGTGTCTTCATATTGCCCTCTGCATGCTGCAGAATGTCGAAGGAAATCTCCAGGCCAATATGAACCTAGTAACCATGTTGAATAACCTGGTTGTCCCTGCCGTACGAAGTCACGAGGCTCCGATTCGTGAGAGGGGTCTCGAGTGCCTGGGACTTTGTTGCTTGCTGGACAAGGTAAGTTTTTCTTTCTGCATACCTGCGATAAACCTAGCTAATAAGTGCATGCAGACCCTGGCGGAAGAGAACATGACTCTGTTTATTCACTGTTACAGCAAAGGGCACGAACTTCTGCAAGTCACTGCCATCCACATCCTTTGCGACATGCTGGCTACGCATCCCACCTTGCTCACCCCCGTGACTCAATCCGATGGAGAGACGGTAACACCACCGGTCTTCCAAAAGCCGTTGCTGAAAGTCTTTGCCAGGGCATTGAAGTCCAGCTCCCCGAACAGCGTGCAGACGGCCGCCGCCACTGCCCTTTCCAAATTACTACTTACAAGCGCTTTCAACCCCGGCCGAACCAATGTGCCGCCGGCCATCCAGGAATACAACCAGGCTGCTATCGAGACACTCCTGCAGTCACTTGTTGTTTCCTTCTTCCACCCGCGCACGCGTGATAACCCTGCATTTCGACAGGCCCTGGCCTATTTCTTCCCCGTCTACTGCCATTCTCGACTGGAAAACGCACAGTACATGCGCAGGGTGGCCGTGCCGGTCGTTCGGGCGACATTGAACGCCGCTGAAGAGTACTACTCGCTGGAAGCTGAGGAAGATAGCGATGGCGATATTGACGACACAGTCGGCCAAAGAGAGCTGAAGGCCCTCATGAGCGGTGTCCTGGGCATGTTGGCGGAATGGACCGATGAGCGGAGAGTCATTGGTTTGGGTGGAGAGAAGGTCCTTGCGGGCCAACCGACTAGCTCGACGGCATGTGGCTTCGTTCATCTGGAGCTGGTGAAGGATATCCTCGAGCGGGTGCTGGGGATCAGCACAGGCACCAATCGCTGCTCGAAAGAAGAGAAGAAGCTTCTCTTCTCCCTTCTCAGCAAACTCTACATTACAGCACCTGTGGTTCCCTCACGCTCGGGATCTCGTGCTCCCGAAGGCGAGGACCCATTGCGTTCCAGCGTGCGCAGCGCACAGCCGGAGATTTCTCCCGAGAACGCTGCCCTCGCTCAGGAAGTCAAGGAGCTGTTGGACGAGACGATCGAAGAGGGGCTGGCTGCCGAAGCCGCCAGCCGCAACGCCCTGGTCAAGGTCAAGAACTCGATACTCAAGCTGTTAGCGGCCGCCAATGGCCGTCCTGCCAGTGTGAGAATGCGAGAGGGCGACGAAGGCGACAGCGATGTCATGAGCGTGCGATCGATGAGCGTGCGGTCCGGCAGCGTGCGGCCTTCGATCGAGCCGGGGGCGATGCGTCGAGGATTCTCGGTTGAGCCGAGCATCATTGAGGAGGAAGACGAGAACGAGGACAGTCACACGACGGTGATCAAGGCGGAAATTCGCGAGGAGTAATTTGTTGATTTCTGGTCTGGTTGGATTGGCGTTTTCGGATTTGCGTCGGCGGGGGGCGGTTCCTTGGCTGGGTATCAGCATGCTGATGGGATTTATCATTTGTACTTAAGTGTTTCTTTTCTTTTCTTTTCTTTTATTCTTTTTTTTTTCCCGGTGACGATTGTAAATGCTGTAATGTCTGAACAGTGGAATATGTTTCAGGTAACCTTTTTGATTCTCTATTTGTGTATATGAGTTTCTTAATTGCGGGTGAAGCGGATAGTCTTATCCCGGATATGCTGGAAGCAGTGATCCTGAAGGCTGAAGCAGGAGGTCCGGTGGGACAGTCTAGTGAGTTGGTGGCCCATTCATCTCACAGTCCCCTCCCTCCCGCTAGTGGCAGTTTAGACTGCCATTATAAAATCAATGGCGCGACGCGCTTTTCGGCTGCGGGTGGAGGAGAGGAAGAGAACGCGTCCCACCACGCTTGCTGTTCTTAGATTGATGCAGGCTGAGGGGTGAAGCTGTCACCATATGGCTCACTTGATGTTGCTCCAGCAATGAATACCTTACTACAGAGTACTAGGAGTCAATTATTCTACCTCTTGACCATGGATAATGGAAGAGTACCGTACGGTATGGATGCATTCATGATTCGGAAGCGAGACCGGCGGGCGGTGGATCCGGGTAGCTTGTCAATTGGCTGATGCCGACCGTCTCTGGGTCTTTCTTTCTCTCTCTCCCCTCTCAACTTCAATACCTTTTAACTTCGATACCTTACACTGCAGT